TTCCAGGCCTGCCTGCAGTGGCCCATGCAGGAGGACCCACCTGTGGCACGAACATGGATCTGGTTATAGGAGCCAGGGTGAGCAAAAGAGCAGAGCGGACAGGTGCACTTGCTCTTTAGTGCAGCGAGACCCATCCTGGAGGCCAGGTAAGGAAGTGGTGAGGGGATGAAAGCCGAGGACACAATGTGGGGCTTGGCCCCCAACGTACCTTTTGTAGAGGCTATCTCTGGATTGGAGCTTTTCTGCTTAGGATATGGAACTTGGAACATTAGGAGATTTGAGCACCTTTATCATAGGCCTCCAGGAATAAAGAGGCCTGTCTTATGCAGTTCTGCATACAGGCAGGCCCATTCAGCAGTGCACTGCCCCTGTCTTTTAGAATTGCTTCAAGAGCGAAAGAAGTAAATTCATGTAAAGGTGCTCAAAATAATGTCTGGCACATAATAGTCATCACCCAAGTGTTGGTCATTAGTCCTAGCTCACATACCTCTCTGGACTGTAAGATTTCTGAGGACAGAGACTATATTCAAGACAGAATAGTGCTAATGAGTCAGGCTGCCTGAGTTCTAAATCCCAGTTCCACTACATTACTAGCTGAGTGACCTTGGACAAATTACCTAACCTCTCCGTTCCTCAGTTTATTCCTCTGTACAATGGGGATAACAGTATCAAGCTCCCTGGGTTGTTTTATGGATTAACTGAGTTGATGAATATAAATAACATAGAACGGTACCTAACACATAGATGGATCGTAGTGAGTGAATAGATTAATTCGTGCCCAGACCTGCCCTGAGCACATTTTGCAAAGGCAGCCTGCTTTTCCTTTGGCATCTTCCTACCTCCTCTTTTTTCTTAGGACCTCTTTCTGTTTGTTGCCTTGTATTTTTCTCTTGTCCCCAGAATTCCTTAGACTTTTCTGTCATCCATTCCTGAAAGGCCTATTTGACAATACATTTCAAGGACCATTACTCTCAACCAAAGTGTTGGCTGTTAAAGGACTGCTTTCCTTCATGCAGGTATCCTTGACTTCAGAGGGCACTCTGTAACCTTGATAGGTACAAAACCTGCACATTAGTCATCACCTGAGAGATGCAGAATCTTGGGCCACCCCAGACCCACAGAATCAGAATTTGCATTTTTACAAGTTTTGAAACAATACTTCTTTACATCCCCATGTCTATCCTGTAACTACCAATTTGTACTTCTCAATCCCTTTACCTTTTGCACCCATCAAGTATGCATAGAGAATATAGTCAATAATCCTATATAATAAAAGGGTAATATGCAAATTGACCCTAACAGTGGAATGACTGGTTGCTATGACGCACACTGACTACCAGGGGGCAGACGCTCACTGCAGGAGCTGCCCCCTGGTGGTCAGTGCGCTCCCACAGGGGGAGCGCCACTCAGCCAGAAGCTAGGCTCACAGCTGGTAAGTGCTGTGGCAATGGCGAGCGGGCCTAAGCTGTCGGTCAGACATCCCCCGAGGGCTCCCGGACTGAGAAAGGGTGCAGGCTGGGCTGAGGGACACCCCCACCCCAATGCACGAATGTCGTGCACTTGGCCTCTAGTATTGTAATAACTATGTATGGTGTCAGATGGATACTAGATCTATTGGGGTGATCACTTTGTGAATTATATAAATGTCTAATCACTGGGTTGTACACCTGAAACTAATCTAATATTGTACGTTGACTGTAATTGAAAAATAAAAAAATACTTAAAAAACAATACTTTTTAATCTTTAATGTGCCTATAATTTTCCTTGAGATTCTTTTGTAATTTTCTGTGAGATCCATTTAATTTTCTGGGCTCTGCTACCAGAGTTCTGATTCAGTAGGTATGAGGTGGGGCCTGAGAACTTGCATTTCTAGCAGCTCCCATGCCATGGGAATGGTGCTGGTGAGAGACTGCACGTTGTGAAGCACTGTTCCAAGACTGACAGCCTCCAGGACCAATGAAATGAAGCTCTAACAGGGAAATCTGAGACACTGGAGGAAGTTGCTTTTTAAGATGGTGGGCTCTTTCCCAGTCTTTTAAGAGCACATCAGAAGATCTCTGCCTGTGGTATCTTAGCACAAAGATGCTTTTGATTATTAATGCTATTTCCATATTTGTTCAAAATTCTACAGTTTAAGAGTTCTTTCATTTGTTTGATCTTATTTCATCTTGCAACAACCCTATAAGTTGAGCCAGGAGAAAGTATTACCTCATTTCCAAAAGAGAGAGCTGAGGCATGGAGAGCTATGAGAGTTAGAGATCTCATAGCCAGCTAGCTGCCGTTGGCTGCCCCCTGAGTTGGCACACAGGTATTATTGCAAATTCTTACCACCCTTCACAGACGACAATGCTAGTCTTACTTTATAGAGGGACAAACTGAAAGGCTTGACGAGGTTCAGGAACTTTCCCAAGGTCACAAATGAGGTGAGTTCTTACTCTTCACCATATCATTTCCCTACAGTAATAACTCCTTTCTTGTTTCTATCACAGACACACACATGCCAAACCAAGGGGCCATTTTAATTTTCACACTCAGCATTAATTAAGGAACAGGCTATAGCTTTGCCTTTTGCCTTTAGAAGTGATAGGAGATGGCAAGGGGAGGAAAAACAGGAAACCTTCTTTCTGCTTTCTCCTACTCAGGGCATATCTCCTTTCTCATTCTCTGCTCAGAGAATTAGAGTTTAGTCTTGGCTCTAATTTACTAAAGATTCTCTATTTGGAAAAAAATTATTAAGTCAAACAATTCTTTCCTCAGCTCCAATTTCTCTTGCCTAGCATCAACTCCTCTTCCATCAACCCCCGACAACACCAACTGAAAACACACACACACACACACACACACACCCCAAAACTACAGCCAAACAAAAAACCCTCTTTACAGGACAGTTAGGATTTCTCTCATCTCATCTGTAAGAAATGTTAGGCCTGGACCCCACCTTCGGTTCTGTTCTCTGCTTGCCCGTTTGGCCCAGTTGGTGGGGGAGACACCAGGCACCAATATGAGGGGAAGGGAGCCTGCCACTCTGGTTCCAGTCCTGACTTCCCTGTGGGACCCTTGGAGCGTCCCTGCTTCTTCTGAGCCTGTCTCCTCATCAGTGAAATAGGGGGAGGTTGATTAGATGATCTATCTCTAGGGGATCTTTAAATGTCAGTATTGTGATTCTACATAAGAGGTTCACACAGGAAAAAATGTCAACTCTACTTTGAGGGGATGTAAGGTGACCTGTCAATTGAGTTCTACAAATTGTGTTGTATCAATGTAGAACATGACTTTAGGACACAATTTGCAAATCTATTTATCTCTAGTGATGCCTCCCTTCATTTTTCTACACTAACACCAGTGTTCCCACTGCCTTAGTACCCTGTACCTGAGCCCTCACCTGCTTCACTCTGACTCTCCTGCTGTCCTAGCACGGAGACAGCTTAGAGAGCATGCATGAAACACACTTATTGGGTAGGGGGATGCTGAAGCCCAGGGAGGCAGAGTCTTTGCTAAGATTACATAATGACAATTACTACCCTTCCAGTATGGGAGAAGACCCTCCAGCTCAGAGGCTAGGAGCATGGGCCCCAGAACCCCAAAGATGCCCTACCTCTTGTGAAAGCACGCAACTTAGCCTTCTGGAGCCTCAGCTGCTTCCTTCCTACAAGTCAGGATGGTGACAATCACTCATCCTTTACATGCATGATCTATAATGACCTCTTAGAGCTGAAGGGACATGGGACACTATCGAGGCCAAACTCCCACCTTGAATGGCTCCTGCAACATTTCTGGAAGGAGGTAGTGATAGGGCCTATTCTATCTTTGAATGGTTCTGGCCGTAAGAAAATGCTTCTTTACAAGGAGGGGAAACTGATTTCTCTGTAACCTCTACTCATTTGTATGGTGGAAAGAACACTGGGCTGTTAGAGGTCTTGGGCTAGTGTCCTAGCCCTTCCACCTAAAACTCCTCTGGGTCACAGTTTTCTGAGGTGAAAAGGAAGGAATTGGATGAGATGAGCTCTAGATTCTTCCTGGTTTGGACATTTGAGGATTATATAACTCACGAATGTGGACACAATACAGACTTAATCTGATTATAATGATGGAAACAGTGAAGGAGTGGACTCTGTGTTCCAAGAAACAGATCCATTTCTGCCAACATGTCTGTCAAGGCAGGTACCCTGCCAGCTGAGAAGAATCCAGAAGGTTCTTAGAAATGGAGTTCTCATCTTGTCTTAAAACAAAATCCCACCCCCCTTTTCTCCATTTCCCTCTTTCCTCTCTTCCTCCACTCTCTCCCCTTAATTTTTTCCTTTCTTCCTCCTCACTTTCTTCCATCCCTTCTTTCTGATTCAGAAGCCTGAAGGAATATTTTGATCTCCCAAAGTTATAGATCATGTCCCTGGCAACAGGTTTCTCACATGACATTACATATGCAGAATCAATCTGTTTTCAGGTAAAAGCCCCTGGAAACAGGATCCCGAGTTGCTCTGTGTCTCTGAGAAGCTCCCACACTTGGATGCTGAATGCCCAGCTTCTGAGGCAGGGGTTTTCAGTCGTGAGGTCATGTGTGGACTTTCATAGTGGCTTCTGAAACAGTATGCGAGCGTGTGCACTGTGGCCATAAGAAAGTGCTTCTTCACAAGGAACAAAAATCGATTTCTCTGTAACCTCCACTCATTTGCGTGGTGGGAAGAACACTGGGCTGTCAGAGGTGTGTGGAAGGGAAGAGGAGCCTTTGACAGCTGGGAGCTAGACTGGGAGTTGGGCCTTGGTATCCCTAGGAGCTGGCCTGGCCCTCAGAGCCAGGCTGTGGTGTTCTCTGCGTCTGATGTGACCAGACAAAAGCTGAGTTTCCTGAACTTCAATCATGTGCATGCCAACCTCATGTTTTTTGCCCTAAGAACAACCTATACTTTTATTTACTTAAAACTTTTCCTTAAATAGATTTATTTTTTTGAGAAATAAATTTATTTTAAAAGAAAATTGTGTATCTTGGCTTTTATGTGCTACTTATGTTTTTTCTAATACAGATAGTTGCTCCTCGACTTATGATGAGGTTATGTCTTGATAAACCCATCACAAGTTGAAAATATCGTAAGTAAAAAATGCATTTAATATACCTAACTTAACAAATATTATGGCTTACTTAGTCTAGCCTATCTTAATCATAGTCAAAACACAATATCCAAGATACTTTGGCAACACAGTGCACTGTATAGCATCGGTTATTTATCTGTGTGATCACGTGGCTGATGGAGCTGCGGCTTGCTGCTGTTGTCCAGCATCCTGAGTTAGTATTATGCTATATATCATTAACTTGAGAAAGATCAACATTCGAAATATGGTTTCTACTGAATGAGTATCACTTTTCACCATTGTAAAGCTGAAGAATCCTAAGTCAAACCATCACAAGTTGGGAACCATCTATATATATTAAAATAAGTATATAACTATTAAAATGAAGTGTTCATTTGTACCACCTAAATCCTCCTCCTCATTACCAGTAGAAACCTGCCTTATGCTTTTCTCCATAACCACAAAGACCCTCCTGTCTCTGCTTACACAGATCTCGCCCATCTTTCTCTAGGAAGCTCCCAGCAGCTCCTGCAGCTCACTCAATCACTCATCTCTGAGCTCCTTTCATGTTCACAGAAAGAAATCAATACCCAAGATTTGGATGCTTACATGCTACGTAGTTTTGTTTTCTGTTTCACAACATAAGATTATAAAATATCTTCTTACAGCTACAGGTAAAAGAGATACTAGTGTTCCACTCCCTCGTTCTGATGCCCACACTCAGTGGGGGATCCACAGAGTCCCTATAATGTTTCCAGCATTGTGCCAGGCACAGGAAATAGTGGTGAATAGAATGGACCCACATGGAGCTTACAGTGGAGCCAGAAGCTTCGCACTAAACAATAGTCATGATTAAGTAAGTTATTGCAAGTGCCTTGGAAGAGAAGTGCAGGGCCCCAGCTTGTTTGGAGGGACACAAAAGCCTCACTAAGGAAGTATGTTTCAATGCATAGGAATTAGCTGAAGAGGAGCTGGCAGATTTTTAAGTGGTGCCAGGCTAACTCACAAAGGTCTGCTTTGATGTTTAAAAGCTCAGCTGTATTGTGGGTGAATTAGGCCACTGTGGCCCACCCTATTGGCCACAGTGCTCAGGGAGAAGGCAACCCAACAGTTCAGAAACTCTGGTGCTCCTGGAGCACTGCAGGGTCCCCTCCACCCTGCATCAGAAAGATGGTGACACTTCAGGCCTGCTCTGGAGGGCCCTCACCCCTCGCTGGCAGAGAGTTTAGGCATATTGGACACACTGGTTGTTTTTGCCAAGGGAGTGTCTACAATGTGAGCTTTGACATTAACAAAAATAAATCCTTAGTTCCTGGAAGTGGAAAATCTTAGTGTTACAAGGCACACTGCAGGGTTGGTTAAAAAAAAAAAAAAAGCAGATTTTTCAAAAAGGCAATGCATTTTAGTCACAGTTACTGTTACATCCAGAGTTTATCTTCACACTTCCTTGGCAATATTTCAGTGGGGCTGGTTAAACTATACACATCTGAGAAACTCCAACTGCATCCTGTCTTAGTCTTAGAAAGTGAAACCTGACAAGCAATGTGGCGGGTGCAGTGATGCAGAAGAGGGGTGTGCTTACACTGAGAGAGCCTTGAGATGTGGTCACTGACTCTGCCCCTTAATAGGCTGGGAAAATTGCTTCATTTTTCTGGGCCTCCATGTCCTCATCTGTAAAATGTGGATAATAATAATTCTTATACCTTGTGAGATGCTTGAGCCATTAAATGGGAATATGTGTGAGAGCTTTAATGTGCTACAAAATGTCACTTAAATGAACATCCTGTTATAATTCCTCTGTTATAAAGCCAAACGAAGGCTTAGACATCTAGTTGGGGGTACAACAAAGGCCTCCTGGTTCCTGATTTCACCAGGTTGCTGCACTGGGGCCTATCTTCCAGGAGAACAATTATTAGCAAGGGTGAGTTCCTGGGGAAATGAGTATGTGCTGGGAGGGAAGGGAAGAAACTAGAGGTCCTGAAAGGGGGAAAGGAGAGGGCAACCGAAGGGGAAGGGCAAAGGCAAACTCTCCTACCTCCTCAGTTTGCTGAGGGCTTCAAGGTTAGGCCTTCTTGATTCTCTACTGCTGCCTTCTCCACCTCTCAATTTGCCTGTCTTTGTGTGGGTGAAGCATAAAATAACATGCTTTTCTGCTTTTTTGCACATTTTGAAAGCAAAGTTAGGCTTTAATGATCAGTTTTCTCTTCCTTGGTATTTTCTTTTAAGCAAGGGCGTGTTTTTCTAAGATACCACATTTCAATGGGCTATTCTTTTGTCCCCAGTAAACATTCCTGAGTGGTAGGTTTTAGGAGACGTTCCAATTTATTGCTTCTGGTGTCCAATAACCTTGGAATGAGTACCTGTCTCCATGCCCCCAAGGCCATGTTATTTCAGAATGTTACAGCTCTTAAAACCGTTCTCTAATAAAAGCAAGTGCCACTAATTCTAAGTAAAGTGAGCTTTCCAAATAAGACCAGCTGTGAACGTTTAAAAAAAGAAAAGGAAGAAACTTCAACAACAGGAATTCATAGTGAAAACTGTACACTGATGACTTTTTTCAGGGATTTTCGCAGCCATTTAAAAAGATGTCTTCAGCAAACATATCTAAATTGGCTAAAAATGTTTGGCATGATGGACACCTTGTGTCTGTAGGCCAATATTCAATCCAGGTGGAGGAATCTAAAGGGTAGATGTACCTGCCAAGAAAAAATAAAAACGAAGCGTTTGTGATGATGGCCACAGATAGAGGAGAGCCAAATTTGATTGAGTTCAGGCTGTTCAGGTCCTAGGGGGTCAGGCTGTCGGCCAAACTCTTCTGGACTCGCCTCCCAGTGGGAAGATCCACAGGCCCCTGCTGGTCATGAAGCTGCTTGGAGCTCTCACAGTTAAAGGCAGAAACGACATCTGTTTCAATGTCTATTTTTTAAAAATGATAATAAAAAGTGTATGTAAGCACTTTTCTCTTTACAAACAGAATAGCCTGAGAACTTATTGAGGGAGCAGATGTGGTGTAGGGGGTTTGGATAAGCACCCTTAGATTCATCTTCAGACCCAGGCACACGGTTTATCTGTCAGCGAGTCCTCAGTTACCCTAATGGTTTTAAATATTGCTTTGTTTCAAACTCATGTTCACTTTTGCTCCTAATGGTTTGTTTGATTAACAGCAGGGCACATAAGAAACGTATAGTGTATTTAAGGATAAATTATACTCAATTTTGGAGAGAAGATCAGAGACTCCAAAATATTGGTGACTTACTTGATACTGAAATTGTGTTTTATCTGGAGAGCTTCTTTACCCATAATTAAATACTGCCTTCCTTTTTGCAGGTTAGCATTAACACAGGTTGCCTTTTTAATGAAGGTGATTTCAGAGTCTTTCTCAGCAGCAGCTTCACCTGAGAGGCATAGAAGAAAGTTATCACATTCCTGTTATGGTGTCACAATTATCTCTCTCTTAAGCATTCCAGTCCCTCAAGGCTATTGATTAGTGTGTGTAAATTTATATCGGGAGACTAATGGATACTGGGGAGCAACAATGTCCATACAGTTAAGGCTTCAGACCCAGGTGCCCAGGTTATACCCCACTCTGCCACCTCCTGACTGTGTGGCCTGGGACAAATGACTTTTGCTCTTTGTGTAAGGGCTCAGTCCCCTCATCTGATAAACGGGCATGACAATAAAACCTACCTCGTAGAACTGTTGTGAGATTAAATGGGTTGATATATGAAAAGTGCTTAGAAATACATATACAGTAAGCACTAGATATTTGCTTATCATTACTCTTGCAGAACCAGGAATTAAAAGAACCTCTCTCTAGTTGAACATTATTAATCTCCGTAGCTGTATAGCAAAATTAAAAAGTAGTTGGTAGCTGGCAATGGGAAACTTTGTTAAAAAGTGCGAGACATGTAAAAGACTTGGAACTCTTTAAATATCTAACTTCCCCTTACTCCCATTATGCTTGAACTTCTACCATGATATTTCGCCCCACATGTCTGTCTCCTCAGCTTGGCTGGGAGTTTCTTGAGGCAGAGACTGGGTCTAATCCACTGTTATATATTCAGGACTGATTTCCAGTTAGCTGTCAAACTCTGGCAGAATCATCCTAATCAGTAAATCCTGAAAGGCTTCTGAATATATTGATAAAATAGTATACAATAGTAACTGTGTAAACAATCAACTTTAATTAGTAATACAAATTCTAATATACACACATTAGTTCAAGCTAATTTTCTTGGGCTTTTCCAATGACTTCCTATTGTAGCAACATGTAAACAACATTCTCAGTACTAACTGCCAGTTCAGTCCCTGTCAAGGTTAGCAGAGTGGCTGTGTGGTGCCTTACCATTATTTTAAAAAGCCTTTTGTTATGGAAAATTTCGAGCTTATTCAGGTGAAGAGAGAATAATTAATTAATCTCAGCGTCAACAATCACTAATCTGTTTATCATTTATATCCTCACCTACTCTAAGCATCCTGTGTTTTAGGAGAAACACCAATTTATTATCCTTGAACCACATAGTTGCCCTTGATTCTAAATAGTTTGTTTTTATTTTGGTTTATTATTAGTGTGCAGCAATTCTTGTGTAAGTTATTAAGTGTGTGGTGTTTTGATATTTTGATATTTTAAAAATTTACACATATTAAAAATGAATCCAGAGTGAAGAGATAACAAAGTATGCAAAATTTTTTACACCAAGACAGTTTTCAAAAATAATTATTTATTTTAGTTGCCCATTTCCTTTCTTTAAAAAAATGTGTCTCCCTAAATAGAATATAAGCTTCATAAGGACAGTAACTCTGGCTTTGTTATACAAGTTGTATTCTCTGTGTCTTATAAAATGTCTGGCACATAGTAAGTACTAAATCTTTGTTGAATGGAAAAATGAATGAGTATTCTCACCAGCTTTGTAGACATCCAGGAGGGTTGCAGTGTACTTGACAAAAACATTTTCTTCAGTGAGGGATGTGATACTAACTTTATAAGCTGGTAAAAAAAGAAAACAACAACAGTTCATGCTAAATACCACGAATGCCATGTCCAATAGAGACCAGAGTTTATCAAACAAATGAGAAATGAAGCATGGCCAGCTCTCTACCTTGAGGTAGACCTTATTTTTTCCAAGAAGCCTTCTCAAAGGCTTGGAAGTGTGATTCTACTGATTATTACTCTAATGATTCATTCTACGTAGAATCATTAGCCCTGGGCACTGTTATAGAACAGGCTGACTAGGATAAGAACAATAGTAAATTAAAGCAGCACACAAAACAAACAAAATGAGACTTTGTTAGATATAAAGTTCAGATTCGGATCCTGTAAGATTAGTGGAGTCATGCTGATGGACCCTGTGAAGAGCCCCTTCCTTCTCTGCACAAGCACGGAGGGGACCCTTTAGTTACATTCAGGCCAGCCTTGGGAGCCTCCTTGCTTTCTTGCTTCCACTGGCTTTGCTTTTTGGTTTTTGATAGGATTCTGTTTCCTGATTCATCTTTGCTTGGATTGGCAACTCTCTGACATAAGCCATTTCCAATGCTGTTTCTCTTCAGGCATCAATGTTTAATCCATGGTGTGTTTGACCTCCATCCTGGAATGACCAGCTTGAAGGGGCCCATTCCTTCCATGTGGCCTGAGAAAGGATCCTTTAGTTTTTGCTCTTGATGTGGTTGAAAGTTTTGTCCATTTTTGAGATCCTAGCTAGCTAGCTAGATACCAGAAACCTATTTTAACACAGAGAATAAATGCAACCTGGATTTAGTTTATTACTTTCAAGAAAAGACAAAATAGATGAATGAATGGACTCATTTTTTTGGGGAAAAAAGGCTGTGTAAATTAGTCACTTAAAATAAAAACTGTGCTGAATTTCGGATTCATAAATCTTTATGGTAGATACGAGCAATATATTTACTATTTTATTTTGTTTCTATCCTGTTATTCCGGTAAAAACCGATAATCTCCCAAAGAGCCAGCTAAGCTTTTTTTTTAAGTAATAAACTAAATCAAGATTGAATTTATTCTCTGTGTTAAATAGGTTTCTGACATTTAAAAGTTTAAATAGTTCTAAAATGGAAGTAAGAAATAATTTAATGAAATTTTTGTTTGCTAAAACAATATGGTATTTTCTTCAGGTCTCAATCTATTTTAAAAACTAATTTTAAAAACTACAGTGGGCGTTGGCTGAGTTGGGCTACTTTTTAGTTTTAGAAAAAAGAAAGAAGATGAATTAGAAAGAAAGAAAGACTATAACCACACAAAATTCATTCTGATTGTTATATTTTCATTGAGAGAATTCAGTGTAATATAACGGCAATCATACTGGAGACCAGGATACCTCCTAGTTCTACTACTTAACTTCCTGTATAGCTTTGAGAAAATTATTTCATTTCCTTGAGCCTCCGTTTTTTTCACTAGTAAAATAAAGATAATATGCTGTTACCTCAAAGTTGATATGAAAAGTTCCTCAAGAAAAGATATGAGATAGTGTACAATATCCAGAAATAAACATGAGAAAGTATGGGTAAAAAATAAAGGAGCTAATTCCATGAGGAACTTGAGATAACACAAAACTGTACTTGGGCACTTATTTAATTTAGAGCTGAGCTCTGAAAAACCAAGAGATGCTTTTTTTTGAAATGGAGAGTCTCAAACATGAATTTAAATTCTATGATTTAAATTCTATATATATTAAAATTATTTAGTATTGATGTTTTACTACGTCTTTGAAGAGATTAAAAAAAAAAAAAAAAAAAAAAAGACACCCAAACCCTAAAAACACTTTTTTCTCCACCTCTGCTCCATCAACTGGAAGAATAGAGTAAGTAGTGAAATCTTACATCTTTGTGATTTCTCAAAAATTCTCTTTGAGCCCTGGCTGGGTGGCTCAGCTGGTTGGAGGGTCATCCCATGCACCAAAGTATTGCAGGTTCGATTCCCAGCCAGGGCATATACTAGTACATATCTGGGTTGCGTGTTGGATCCCCGGTAAGGGTGCATATGGGAATCAACCGATCTGTTTCTCTCACACATCGATGTAGCTCTCCCTCTTTCCCTTCCTCCCTCTCTTTCTAAAAATCAATAAAAAACATTTACTTTGGTGAAGACTGGAAAAAACTGTCTTTGAATATGTTTAAGCCCCTTTAATTCAATGAGATATATGGGGGTAAAGTATCTTGGCTAGGTGTGCATGTCACTTCCATCATTGTTAATGAAAATCATGTTTCTTGCTGAAGGATAAATAACTTTGCATGTTAATGCTAAAAACTGCTGGCATTTTTCTTCAAAGAAATACATGTACTGTTGTATCCATATAATCACTACATAAAGTTACTGATCTTCCTGATTTTGTATTCATAAAATGTCAGGTTCAATGGAACTATATATTAAACTTTTGAACTTACCATATGCAATCTCTGGTTTACATGCTGTTTCTTTTCTAGTATCTGCAGAGATTGTCAAATCCAATTCTGGCTGCATTTGTCCACAGTCAGCTGGATTTTTGTGAAAAATGGTAAAAGATTAATACAAGGAAGCAGACACTCTCCATGGGAGTAAACACAGTGCCCATGAGCCCTGAGACAATCAAATATAATCTTATATATACCAGATTCCTAAGACCCGTCTATTTTCTCCTCTTCCATAAAGTGAAACATTATATAAAGCAAAAACAAAATAAATAAAAACAAAATTTTGAACATGAGACTTATTCTTAAAATGAATAGTCACTTCACATTCAGTTTTTCAGAAATGTAGATGCTTCCACTGAAGAATGGAGGAAATTTTCCAATTTTAAGTATAATAAAAAATCCCTTGAAGGAACAAAATGATAACTTCACTGATTTACAGATATAAAATGATGCAACAAGTACCCAAGAAATATGTACATAGTAGAGGCCTGGAGCACTGATTCATGCATGGGTGGGGTCCTTCAGCCTGGCCTGCGTCCTCTTGCAATCCGGGACCCCTCGGGGGGATGTTGGACTGCCAGGGAGGAGCCCCAGCTGGGGGAGGGCGTAGCTCCGCTGCTGCCTATTCTGGCTCCCTGCTGTGCCTGCCACTGCCACTGCTGCTTGGTAGCGCTCCCATGGAGGCGAGAGAGGCTCCTACTACCACAGCTGCGCTCGCCAGCCATGAACCTGGCTTCTGGCTGAGTGGTGCTCCCACTATGGGAGTGCACTGACCACCAAGGGGCAGCTCCTGTGTTAAGTGTCTGCCCCTGGTGGTCAGTGTGTGTCACAGCACCGGTCGACTGGTCATTCCAGTCGTCAGTCATAATGGTTGCTTAGGCTTTTATATATAGAGATTAAAGATTTGGAAAAACAAAATAAAACCAAACCAACGCCAACCCTCATGGAGTCAGTTGATTATTTGTGAGTTCTGGGTCTTTTTCTTGGCCAAGAAGGCTGTCTTGGATTTATAAAAGACTGAAGGGAGAATTCATTAACTGGGGAGGAACAAGAGAAAGAAAGGGGAGCCTCTATTCTGTTAGGTTGTGGACCTATTACATGAGAAAGACCAGGTGAAAAGTAAGAATTTCACATCCTGTTATCCCTCTAATAGTGAACAACTATCTGTACCGTAGAAAACATCAGGTTGTTCAGAAGTTGTTGAGAAGTAGCTTTATAGTGCTCAAGGCATCAGCTTTCAATTATCAGAGATTGTATTTTTATTTCTGATATACCACAGTTTGTCAGATAGCTTCTCCCAGAATAGCACCAGATTATGAGTGGCTGCTTTAAGCACGCATGCATCCTAAACATGTTAGATGACATTTACCTTCTACACATTTGCACGTTGCTCCTTCACAGACTTTCTGAAGTTGGCTATTGGAGGTACTATAAAATATGGTGCACTTTTTATCTGTGGCAATGAAAGCATGGTTAGGAGAGGGGGCTTGGTCAGTGTACAACACATTTACCACCCTGTGAATCTCGCCCGTGGTGTCTTGGAGATCACCAATTCCAAACCCTTCTTTTGTAGGTAAGGCTCATGGTGGTTAAATTTTGAATTGCTTATCCTAGCATGGCCCCTCAAAATGATCTTCCCTCCCCCCCCAAAAAAAGAAAAAAAAATGATCTTCCCTTTTGTGCTTGAAATTTTACTGTTCAATATTCATTTCTTAGAATGAAAATATTTGGTGCTTCCATGAATGAAAGGAAATATACTATGTTACATGAGAGTCTATTGAAATAATTGTAATTGTCTAGGCTGGAGAAGAAAACAGGTGTGTGTGTGTGTGTGTGTGTGTGTGTGTGTGTGTGTGTTATTTCTGAAGAGGAGGTGGGGTTAAGTATGTTCTATGCGATTTCAATAGTTAAAACTAGAATGAATGGATGTCAGAGTTTGGTTCACTCTAAAATTTTTCTAAGAAGTACAACTGTCCAAAGTGGAGTCATCTGTCCTGTGAATCAGAGAGCTCTCCAATCACGTAGTATTTTCAGAAGTGGCCAAATGTGGGCCAGTCATTCAACACTTATCAATACACATTATGTACCTGACACTGTGTTAGATACTAGGGACACAACAGATGATACATTCCATCTGGGCTGGTGAGAAAGATATGCAAACAAATAACTACAATGCAATGTGAATGTGGCAACTGCTCTAATAGAGTTCTCTGCAAAATATGATGAGAATACAGTTGGAGTAGAAGTTGATTCTGAGAGAATTTTAAAAGTTGTAGACTAAATGGACTTCTCTAAAAAGGAGAGTTTCAATGAAAATGAGGCAAATAATTTAAAAGCTGGGAATAATCTGCCCTGGCTGAAGTTCTCAGTGGTTAGAGAGTGTTGCCCCACACACCGAAGGGTTCCAGGTTCAATTCCTGGTCAAGGGCGTGGGTTGCTTGGTTTGATCCCCCCTCCCTCCCTTTTTCCCACCCTCCTATCTTCCTTCCCTTCCATTCTCTCTGAAAATCAATGGAAAAACTATCCTCGTGTAAGGATTAACAAAAAAAAAAAAAAAAAAAAAAGAAAGAAAAAAAAGAACTGGGACCAAACTAATCCAGTTATTTTTTAAAACGAAGAAATGAAGGGCCAGAGAGGGGAAATGATTTGCTCAAAGTCATGCTGTAGTTTGTATGTGTAAGTTGGGACTTTTGTGAAGAGTAAGTCCTCGAGAGGCAATATATAACATTTACAGGCCTCTAGTGGATTTCTAATGGTTCTGTAATGAATACAAAGTAGTCCTCTGGAGAAATTTCAGAGTAGAGTTGGTTACCTGGTCTGTGGTATTCATACACTGTGAAAGTAGCAGGATTCAGAAACCCAACTTGAAAAAGTTCAACTATCCGAAATCGAATGCAAACAAACTCATTGGAAGGAATCTGTTTGGCAAATTCAAGGTTTAATGAAATTATGAGAGAGAAGAAACTGATAATATTTTAGCTTGTACATTCTGAATAGTAATAGTAAATAAAGAATGATGGGAGGTGGAACTTACCGAATTCAGTTGCAGAATAACATGCCCATCTTTGATTTGGTAGTCAGTTAATACTTGATCCACCCCTTCTACAAGCTAAGGGAGGAAAGAGAAAAGCTTGAATTTAATTTTATGATCTTTTTGTTTAAATGCATTCACCCGGTAATGAGATGTTAGATAATGGTGACATAAACCACTATTAAAAAAAAAGTGGGGCTCCTCCTCTTGAAAAAGTTGGAACATGCTATCACATGCATTCCCAGTTTTTGTGCCATGGAAATATATGTCCTCACTTTGTTAGCATAGATAGCGAGTTAGTTAGAAAAGGGAGCAAATGAAATCAGACATTAAGCCTGATTCACTAGGGAGTTGAATTGGACATTAAGCCTGATTCACTCTGAAGCAGGAAGGTAGCCCGGATTACTGAGGGAGGGATAAATAAGGCAGGGCATTAGGCGTATATGCAGTAGAAGCCAAGATGGGGAAGGGAAAGGAAAGTTCATGCACAGTAGAAACCAGATGACTGCAGAACTTTGGAGCACTTGCAGAAGGAGCCAAATGAACTATAAAGGGGTGGAGTCTACCCTGGGAAAATCTGGGAAAAGAATCAGATTGGATAAGGGCATGGAACGCCAGAAGATCCAGGAAAGGAATTGGTTAGGAGGAGGGACCAACCCAAGCCTGTGAAAACCCAGGAAGTAGATTGGAGAGATGAAAGGAGGCCTGCTCCTTCTGAAAACCAAGGAAATATGTGGAAGATTATCAAGGCTCTCGGAGCAGTTGTTGTTAGAGCCTGCCCACCCTCTACATCAAGCATGTCTAACTAGCGGCCCGCGAGCAGCATGCCTTGTTTTATTTGGCCCGTGTTAGCCTTTGAGTTTGACATGCTTGCTCTACATCCATAAGGGCTTGTTGTATCCCTTCACTCCAATAAATCTTGCCACTATTAAATTTCTCCCACACGTGTGCCTTTGAAATTCTTTTCTCACTGCACTGCAAGAACCCATTTACACCAGCAATAACTTCACTGAAAAATCAAAATTTAGGTAGGTTATTGGTTTGGAAAGAATATTCTGGGTGATTCTTTGCAAGTGACATATTTGAGTTAGAAGAAATATCTTTGTAAAATAATGCAGTAAAGAAAAGCAAGAATTCATAAAAATATACAAAAAGATTTACAGCTCTTAAGTCTTCTGTGTTTGCATTGACTCCAGTAGGCAAAGAGATATCCATCACTGCATGGGAGGACCCGGATGATGATTCTTCTTTACTGTGTTTGTAGCTAAAATAATTAGAGATTATAAAATGGAGTAAATAAATAGATAAGATTCTTTAAGAAAAGGCTATGTTCCTTGATAGGCTTTCATTTTCAAAGTTGGATCTCCACCACAACATATGCATGTCAATCTCTGAATTTTTAGTTTCAAGAGGCCTTTTAATCATCTATAGCAGTGGTTCTCAACCTTCCTAATGCTGCGACCCTTTAATACAGTTCCTCATGTTGTGGTGACCCCAATTTCATTGTTACAAATTTAACATAATTAAAGCATAGTGATTAATCACAAAAACAATATATAATTATATATGTGTTTTCCGATGGTCTTAGGTGACCCCTGTGAAAGGGTCGTTCGACCCCCAAAGGGGTTGCGACCCACAGGTTGAGAACCACTGATCTATAGTAACTCTTTACTCACTTCACTAATAATCTCAATAGAGCTGGTAGAATTCATAAAAACCATTCATTCCAAGCTCTTAACTACTTGAGGAAACTGAGGGTGAGAGTAAGGCACCTGACTGAAGGTCACTTACATTACTGGTTCACCTCAGAGCTGCATTTTAGTTTTCATTTTAGTTCTTTATCCAACAGAGCATATTCAAAGAAGAAAATTAGTTGTATATTGTAAAAAGACTCAATAAGCATGGTTAGGAAAATACTGGAAGAAAATATACTAAAATATTAGCAGCTATTTTTTCTGCATTGTGAGATTACAAGTGATTACTTCTTTTCCATGCTTTTCTCTATTTTCTAAACTTTTCACAAAAGGCAATTTATTTTTTAAAAAATGTATGGGTTTCCCCCCCCCCCATCACTATTTATCCCGTCTATGCCCTTTTCCACTTCAACCCACTTCCCTCCCACTTCTGCAATCACTACACTGTTGTCCATGTCCATGAGTTCTCTTTTTTATTTTTATTTATTTATTTATTTTTGTTCAATCTCCCCACCAGAGCTTTCTGCCCACTCTCTATGAGCCTATCTCTATTTGGCGTGGTAGTTCAGTTTGTTCATGAAATTCCACATATGAGTGAAATCATATGGTACTTGTCTTTCTCTGACTGGCTTATTTCACTTAGCATAATGTTCTCCAGGTCCATCCATGCTGTTGCAAATGGTAAAAGTGTTGGTAAGTATGTGGAGAAAATGGAACCCTTGTGTGCTGTTGTTGGGAATGCAGATTGGTGCAGCCACTGTAGAAGCATTATGGAGTTATCTCAAAAAACTAAAAATGGAACTGACTTATGTCCCAGAAATTCCACTTTTGGGAATTTATCCACAGAAACATGAAACACTAATTCAAAAGAATATGTGTACTTCTATGTTTTTTTGCAGTGGTATTTACAGTAGCCAAGATGTGGAAGCAGCCCAAGTGTTCATCAATAGATGCGTGGATAAAAAGCTGTGGTACATTTACACAATGGAATACTATTCTGCCATAAAAAATGTTTTAAGGACTATCCTTTGTCTAGGAATTGTGCGTGTGGAACATCTAAGGAGTAAAGCAAAGGGAATAAAATGGAAGATTTGCTGTTTTGTGGGGTTTTTTTTTTTTTCTGGTAAGAGAGAAAAGAACACTGAAATGGGGATTCAGGAAACTTGGGTTTTTATCCCAGTTCTGTTGAGAGTTTTCCACAACCATCTTCCCATTTTAGAGCTCATTTTCTTATTTCTAAAATTAACTATGAAGAAGTATAAACTTGAGTTTTAAACTTATCTTTAAAATTCCAAAGTTTTTTTAAAAAAATATATTTTATTGATTTTTTACAGAGAGGAAGGGAGAAAGATAGAGAGAAACATCGATGAGAGAGAAACATCGATCAGCTGCCTCCTGCACATTTCCCACTGGGGATGTGCCCGCAACCCAGGTATATGCCCTTTGACCAGAATCGAACCTGGGACCCTTCAGTCCGCAGGCCGATGCTCTATCCACTGAGCCAAACTGGTTTCGGCAAAAATTCCAAAGTTTTAAGCAGAGTTAGAAGATTAAAAATGGAGCAAGCTGGTGAGTCTGAGACTGGGGACAGGGGCATAGTGAGTGTGGTTCTGCAAAGATTGAGTTCCAGGTTTTAGCTTCACTTCAAGGTGCTTGAGAGGTAGCTGGACATTCAAGAGTAGAGCTTGGGCCCTGACCAGGTGGCTCAATTGGTTGGAGCATTGTCCCATACACCAAAAAGGTTGTGGGGTTGTTCCCTGGGCAGGGCACCAACCTAGGTTGTAGGTTCCATCCCTGGTCGGGGCACACAGAGGAGGCAATAATCAATGTCTGTCTGTCTGTCTGTCTGTCTGTCTCTCTCTCTCATATCAATAAACATATTCTCAGGTGAGGGGTGGGGGGAAGAGTAGAGGTTGGAAGAACAGTCAGGATTAAAGGAAAAAACTGGGAAACGAGCTTTATAAGAGGGAAAATGAATTGTTCTCACTTAAAGGAATAAGTATTAGTGAAATAGGAGGTATTATTTGAGTTAGTGAGTTGGCAGAGGATCTCTGGTCCCCATCACACTTCATAGAGCATATATGAAGCAGACCCTATTTAAAGTTCTAGATGTATTATTTACCATAATAATTTAAAATATTGTAAGATTTCTGGTTTATAAAAATTTAACTCCATTCCTCACCAAGTTAACAATTTAAACAGAATATAAAGCAACTTGGGATGTAATATGACATCTGGACATATCCCTAATTGGATGGGTGAGTGTCACCAGAAGCAGAGAACTCTTGCTCACAGATGCAAATACTTTGTCAACAGGATGGAAAGGGGCCTCCCGAAAGGAAAGCTTCTATGAAAAGTTGCTGGAGCCTTGATGACTGATTACCATGGTGACGGTTTCAATCACAGAACAGAAACCTTTCTTTCAAGAAGCCCTTTGCCTGCTGCCAAAGACAGCACACTTTCCCAAAGGCATTTTGTTCCAAGAGAAGAAGAGAAATAAAATCCCTTTTTTCTTTTCTTATGAATGCAACAGAGATGTTGTAAAAAGCTAAGTACATGAAAGAGGCCCTCTGAACACAGAAACTGTGTGCTGGCATTTATTTTTTTTTTAAATCAGGAGAGAGAATATTAGGAGGCAAAGAATTCTTCACATGATTCAGTACTACCCAGTTACTTATCCAATGTAACTTCAGCATCACAGAGCCAAAAGCATATTCCATCTGGCTTTTTTGAACATTCTGTCCCCAGTTTACAAAAAAAAAAAAAAAAATTAGAGTGTTTGAAAGACAAAAAAAAAATTAGAGTGTTTGAATTAGAAAATGGCCAAAAACAGGAGGAAAAACTATATATGAGCAAAAATTGAAACTGGTCTGTATAGTAAATAGCTATTTAAAAATACCTGTTATGTTCTACATTTGAACAAGTGAACAACTTTGCACCTTAAAATTCAAAAAGATGTAGAGCAATAATATAATGGTAAATGTGAGATCTTGAAGTCTACAGTTCCTTCTGTGGAAATGCGCTCACCTGGCACATGCTACTAGGCGCTTGTATTCCGAGGTGTCTCTGAAGTTGGATGCTGGCACACACAACACACAAACAAGCAAACAAACAAAAAGGAGAATAAGCTGTTTTTAACTGTTTTGAACTCATCTGAACAGAATCATTAATGAGCAGGTCTCTGAACACACTTAAAAGTTATATGTGATTTGGAAGTTGGCACCTGTGGTGATTTTAATGAAAATTCATGACTACTGACAATACCAAGAAGTCTTTAAATCATTAGAACATATGTTGCTCTAAAATAACTTATAATTTAAGGAAGGGGTCATTTAAGGTAAATATGTATTGGTAACATGTTTGGGGGAGGTTGCAGGTAGAAAAAGCAGATGCCTGGATTCATGGGTAGTTGGAAGGTTTTGTGTAGGAAGAGGCCTCTGAGCCACACAGGAAAGCCATCAGGACAGAGGAGTAGCACACACCCTAACCCTGGGGTCACGCTTAGAGGAGGACTGGACTCGCTTTTGGACTGAAAAGGGAGAACCAACCCACCAGATGGGGGATATGAAGGCCACACATAGAAAAAAGGGTACATTAATAAAAGGCCGTAAGTACCGGGGAGGCCAAATTGAAGATGGAGGCAGAAAAATATTTGTCAGAACCCTTGGAATACAGAAAGGGTAAGGGGTGGAAATCCAACAGGATGATAGGGAAATTCAGGGTCCTAGAATGGAACACTGACACTAAAGTAACAGAAATTCAAATATCTGAAATTAGCATCCTTAAAGAATAAATTAGTCAAAACAATTTCTTGATCAATAATGCATACTTTTAGCCTAGTTATTGTTACTTAATATCAGTTTCTAACTATTATTAAAGAGTTATTTCTATTATAATAAATGGCAGTAATGTTTACTCTGATGTCAATCTGCTAAAGAATTTGATGAGGAAATTTTATTTTGGGGCCAGTACATTTTCCCATTCAGGGAAGCTCTCAGACGCTCTTTATGCTTAGGCAAAATTATAGTGTAAATCATGCTGTTTTACCGTCCATGTCCTGGGCGTCAATTTTCAAATGAAAGCTGCAAAATTCCTCAGAGGTACCAATTTTGTGAACCACAGTTGCTACCTGCATTGAGACAAGTAAACAAGATTATATTTAAAGTGAGAAAGTGCAAAATGTATTCTGGTAGGACTGCTGTTGTAAATGGGATGCTTGAAGTATCATTTTCAAAATCCAGTGCAAATGGGTATGATCAAGGCCCATTTTCCGAGCAGCTGGACTTCTGGCAAACTCCACAACCTGAATCATAGCTGAGAAGCCCAAATTAAGCAAAAACTGCCAGGCAGAATTTTGGTCCAAATTCCATGCAGTTAAATCTGAGCAACTCACTCTTCCTAAGATGTTCTTCTTTGAGCTTGTACACTCCAATTTTACACATAACACTACAAGAAAGTGTGATTTTCTCCTTGCCCACATACCACCATGGTAAACAAGAAATTATGGGTGTGTATGGATGGGCAGGGTTGCTGCCAGAAGTAGGTTTATTGAAGCAACTAGAAGTGATAGAAAGTGGACAATCCATCCCCTGTGCATGCAATCTGATAAACAGTCTTTGAAAGAATCAATGTATTCTATATAATAAAAGGATAATATGCAAATTGACTGAATGGCAGAATGACTGGAACGCCTGTGGCCCCTCCCCCTGGCCGGCCCCACCCCCAAGTGGGTGCCCACACCCTGATCATGGATGGGGCTGGCTGGCAAACTACCTGCGGCCTCTTGCCCCAGCCAGCCCTGCCCACAGCCCCTTGCCCTGGCCGGCCCATCCCGAATGACCGTCATTGGGGGCGGGCTGGCTGGACCCCACCAGTGCACGAATTTGTGCACCGTAGTGTGTGTGTGTGTGTGTGTGTGTGTGTGTGTGTGTGTGTATATATATATATATATATATATATAAAAGACAAGCGACCAGAAAGAACAGAACGACCAGAATGACCAATTGCTACAATGTGCACTGTGGCCGGCCAACCTCCTGCGGCCCCTCCCCCACATTGGCCCACTCTGATCGGGTCCCAATTGGGGGCAGGGCCGATGGAAAACCTCCCACAGCCCCTTCTCCAGGCCGGCCCAGCCCCGATCGGCCCTGATTGGTGCAGGTCAGCCAGACCCCACCCGAGCAGAAATTCGTCCACTGGGCCTCTAGTTAAAGATAAAAGTATAATTAAAATAATCAATAGCCGAAACCGGTTTGGCTCAGTGGATAGAGCGTCGGCCTGCGGACTGAAAGGTCCCAGGTTCGATTCCGGTCAAGGGCATGTACCTGGGTTGCGGGCATATCCCCAGTAGGAGATGTGCAGGAGGCAGCTGATCGATGTTTCTCTCTCATTGATGTTTCTGACTCTCTATCTCTCTCCCTTCCTCTCTGTAAAAAAATCAATAAAATATATTTAAAAAAAAATAATCAATAGAATGTTAATTTATGCTCAGAACACATATTTAATTTTATTGTAGTCATTTAGTGACAAGTTTTCCTAAGCTGTTTATGAATGTCTATGTAGTCTATAGCTAAAATAAAAGAAAATTAAGCCCTTACATATATATATATATATATATATATATCAATCCCCAATGATGCTGTATAAATAAGATGTGACTATGTTACTAATCATAGAAAACATGAATACATGTGTATGCATATACATATGTAAGCATAAGATTATATATGTACAATATACATACACATATGTAAACACAAAATTATACCTGCATAATATATAGGGTGGGGCAAAAAGTAGGTTTATAGTTGTGAGTATGTGAAACAGTTTATTCTTGTATTATTACTTATTAATTGTTATATTATTTTCCATACAAGCAACTGTAAACCTACTTTTGCCCAACTTTGTACGTATAATTATATACAGACTATATACTTACAAGGTTTGAAAATAGCCATTTTCAAAAAGAAATTGTGAGGACAGCTACTAAGATATCTAAAAAGAATTAGATAAATGAATCCTACTTCAGTCATAGTTACCAGAGCACAGATTTTTTTTTTAACTTTGTGGCAAAAAAAGTTACTTTATGTTACTTAATGCATGCACATAACTCCCAAATAAATCAGTTCTGAATGAAATACTTACATGCACTGTAGCCAAGCCACTGCTATATCCACTACGGACAATGAGGTCATCATTGAGAGGCACCTAGAAAGGTGGATGGAGAAAGCATGCTTTCTTTTATTATTTAAGAGGGAGAGAGGAGAGCAATGAAAACAGTGAGCCGACACCTGCCAGCTTCCTCTCTCAAAGTTCTTGTGAGATTAAATGGATAAGGCGTTGAAGATCCTACGCACATAGTAAAAAATCCTGGAATTTCCTTTCGCTTCCACATGTAAATAAGGTTTATGAAATAGCCTAAGTAAGCCAGCAACACCAACATGTCAGAAGTCACTTTGGTTACATTGTCATTTTTTTATGGTCTGGTAAAACTGGATCTTCACCTCCTTTGCCAACTAAATAAATTCCTTTCAGTGCCTAGCATCCTATGTGCCAAAGGAGATCCTTTTCATTAGCAAGAACAGGGAACCTCAACATAACTCTAAAGAAGGTGTAATCTATCTTTGTCCCTCCCACCTTCTGCTTTGCACACCTCTTTCACCTCCTAATGGTTTGCTTTCTCTACTTTCTCTGGTCTCTTTTAATAGAAACTTTGGCACCGCACCCAAACTCACTAGTAGCCCACCCACGCCTGCCAAATCCTTAGGTGCTACTGCTCTTTTTCCCACTCTGCTAGGAGGAGACTTGAAGATATGAACTGAGTAAGTTCTCCTTCCAGAGAAAATCTATCATACGAATGTTCTCCGATCTGTGCAAAGCATGGGAGAGATAATTTTGAGCAAGAGGCCTGAAGAGTTGGTTTTTTGCTCACTCCAAGGCTGCATCCAGCCTGTCTTTCCCTTTACCTATCACCTTAGAGCAGTGGTTGGCAAACTCATTAGTCAACAGAGCCAAATATCAACAGTACAATGATTGAAATTTCTTTTGAGAGCCAAATTTTTAAAACTTAAACTACATAGGTAGGTACATTGTTATTAACTTAATTAGGGTACTCCTAAGGCTTAGGAAGAGCCACACTTAAGGGGCCAAAGAGCCGCATGTGGCTCGCGAGCCGCAGTTTGCCGACCACAACCCTGGAGCAATAGGGATTCTGTGTGAATGAAAGGTTGTCAGGCCTTCCTTAAAATTTTAGTAAATGTAGGTAAATAGGCTAGCTTTCTTGTTCTCCTTGATGGGATATGGCAGCATTTACTGGAAAGCCAGTAAATCATGATACTGCAAGAGAGAAGGGTTCTATGGACAAATAAGTGACTAATAAGTTTGGCAAATGTACACTCCACTGTGCCCATAGCCCATTTTTCCCCAGAATCACCACACTTAGTCACATACAGATTAAAGAAAAGGGAATCCTGTACTAAAGAACTTATTTAACTTCATTTAAACTAGAGTACCCCACCAAACATTTTTCTCATATAACACATTTGAGGAAATGCTGGAGTAGAGAATTCCAAGCTAGATAAAAACAGTCCAGGTTTCACACAAAGGCAGCATCATGAGCTGAGGTTTAAATTATTTTAAGGTGACAAGAAGCCCTTATTGGCATTACTCCTATAAGAGAAGAATGATTCCAGCTACCTCAGATGGTGGTCTACCATGCTCTTCAGGCCAAGAGCTCCTCATTAGAGCTCAGACCCTTGCTCAGAATGTGAATGTCTGGTGAACTCTAAATGTTCCCAGGGAAAGGTTACCAAACTGAGGGCCAAAACCACAAATGCCTGCAGCGGCCCAGGCACAAAACAAGGATGGACATAAGTCAAATACATGCGTCACATGACTGGTGGGGACTGTAACAAATCGAAGAACGCATGCCACTGCTACAGCACCCTATTGCTAGATCTTTGTCTTTTGCATAAGAATTTGAAAACCAGGTTGAAATCTCTGAATTTTAAATATTGGAATATATCTATGTCTACATCTACATCTATATCCACATCCATCTTTATATATATACTAGAGGCCTGGTGCACAAAAATTTGTGCACTAGGTGGGGGAGGAGGGGTCCCTCAGCCCGGCCTGTGCCCTCTCGCAGTCTGGGACCCCTTGGGAGATAACGACCTGCTGGCTTAGGCCTGCTCCCGGGTGGCAGAGGGCAGGCCCAATCCCTAGGTGCAGCCCATGGTCGGGCTCAGAGCAGGGCCGATTGGGGAGTTGGGGCGCCGCCCCCTGTCATGCACAGAGCAGGGTGGATTAGGAAGTTGTGATGCCACCCTCAGTCACGCTCAGGGTAGGGCCGATTGGGGGGGGTTGGGGCACTGCCCCCTGTCACACTCAAGGCAGGGTCGATGGGGAGGTTGCGGTGCCACCCCCTGTCATGCACAGAGCAGGGTCAATCAGGGGGTTGGGGCACTGCCCCCTGTCACGCACAGAGCAAGGCCCATCAGGGGGTTGGGGCGCCGCCACTCTCACACTCAGGGCAGGGCCAATGGGGAGGTTATGGCTCTACCCCATCACATACAGAGCAGGGCCCGTGGGGTGGGGGTTGGGGCGCCGCCTTCTATTACCCACAGAGCAGGGCCAATCAGGGGGTTGGGGCGCCGCCACTCTCACACTCAGGGCAGGGCCGATGGGGAGGTTATGGCTGTACCCCGTCACACACAGAGCAGGGCCGATCAGGGGGTTGGGGCGCCGCACCCTGTCACACACAGAGCCGCAGGGCGATCATGGGGTTGGGGAGCTCCCCCTATCAGGCACAGAGCAGGGCTGATCAGGGGGTTGGGGCGCCTTCCCCTGTCACGAACAGAGCAGGGCGGATAGGGAGGTTGTGGCCCAGCCCCCTGTCACACACAGAGCCGCAGGGCGATCAGGGGGTTTGGGCGCTGCCCCCTGTCATGCTGATCCCGGTGCTGGGAGGCCTCTCGACTCCGCTGATCCCGGTGCTGGGAGGCATATTACCCTTTTACTATATAGGATAGAGGCCTGGTGCACGGGTTGGGGCCAGATGGTTTGCCCTGAAGGGTGTCCTGGATCAGGGTGGGGGTCCCCACTGGGGTGCCTGGCCAGCCTGGGTGAGGGGATGATGGCTGTTTGCAGCTGGTCACACACCCTTCAGGGTGGGGGTCCCCACTGGGGTGCCTGGCCAGTCTGGGTGAGGGGCTGAGGGCTGTTTTCAGGCTGGCGAGTGACTGAAGCTCCCAACCGCTCCTTTTTTTCTTTTTTTTTATTCTGGGCCAGCTTTAGCTTTGAGGCTAGGCTCCAGCTCTTAGGCCTCCGCTGCTGAAAGCAGGTTTCTGGCCTTTGTTTACCTTCTGTATTTGAAACAATGTTGTGATCCTGCTGGCTGAAGCCTGATGGACTAAAGCAGGTTTCTGGGGTTTTGTTTCGCTTCTATATTTGTAACATAGTTCTTAGAGTTGCAGCTCAGAGGCCTGCAGCGGCAGGCAGGGAACGTTGGAGTCCTCCGTCACTGAAGCAAGCAAGCCTCATGTTCACTTTAAGCTGCCTGGCTGCCAGCTGCCATCTTGGCTGGCAGTTAATTTGCATATCACCCTGATTAGCCAATGGGAAGGGTAGCGGTTGTACGCTAATTACCATGTTTCTCTTTTATTAGATAGGATACACACAGGGTGGGGCAAAAGTAGGCTTACAGTTGGGAGTGCATGAAACAGAGTTTATTCTTAATGTTATTATTATTTACCAGAGGCCTGGTACACGGACTCAGGGATTGGGTCAAAACTGGCTCTCTGACATCCTCTGAGGGGTCCCGGATTGCGAGAGGGCAGTTCTTGGGTGACGCACCCAGGGATCAGGCTCCCTCCTCTCTGGTTCTGAGTGCATCACCCGAGAACTGCAGTGACCGCAGCACGACAGCTCCTGCATTGAGCATCTTCCCACTGGTGGTAAGTGCACGTCATAGCTACAGGCCAGTTGGCCAGCTGCTTAGGCTTTTATATATAGATTAATTGTTATATTATTTTCAATATTAACAACAGTAAACCTACTTTTATTTTACTCTGTATATTTGCTATGAGCTATTAGCTTACAATTTTTACATTAAATTTTATTTCCCATGCTTATGGCTTTTCACAAACAAATTTGTGGAGAATGTGGACAGTAAGAACTATCTCTAGTTATTTGTACATTTAAATGTATCTTAAAATAATCTAAAATGTGGTAATTAGAAAAATAGGTATTAAAAAGCTGTATGTTGGCAGTTACTATTAGCAATAGTTTTTCCAATGTGTCCTTCTCTTTGGAATATTGTCATAGGCTGTCAAGGTTTTCATTTTTAAAAATGAAGTAGTAGCAAAGGACATGGGCAAGTTGTTGGAGGACCTAGGGTCAATTCCAATTTAGCCACAGTCTACATATGTGACTAGGCCAGATGGAACCATTGGAGGACTCCCAAATTTGTCTTCTCTCTTATTCTCCTGCTGTACTTTTGTGCATGCTATTCTCTATGTCTGGAATGTTTTTCCATTTCTTCACCTGGCTAAATTCTTTCAGATTTAACCTGCCCATCTGGATGCCTTTGACAAACTCCTCTTACTTCTCAGCCTGACTCAGGAGGTCCCTCTCTGTCTTTCCATGCATCTATCAAGGCTCATATTTTTCACTGTTGGTTTAAATGACAGTCCCCACTCCCTCCCCATATACACACAGGTTCTTTGAGCTTTACTTTTGAATCTTTAGTGCCAGGAAAAAGTAGGCACCCCTGCTTAGGACACAGAAGGCACTCATTGTTTAAGTAATGAATAGATACATTTATAAAACAAGGGGGGGGGGGGACATGATTTCAAAGGTCCCATCCAATTATAAAATATTATAAAACATCTTTCATTTACCTCTACTGGTCTTCCAAGGAAATTCGTCTTTGTTATCTTATAATGATAGAAGTCACCTTTATGCTTGTAAGAAACACTGATATCCATATTCAGTTGGAGTTTTTTAGTCAGGAGTGAATATTCTGTCAAGCCCTCGATGGCATTAATTGTATCCTATCAACAAGCAGCAAGGGACAAAAACAGGTTTAGCTTACTTATATGCTTTCTGTTTACAAGTACCCTTTCTTATGGATGGGGCAGTGTTGTCGGGAGATGAAACTTCAACTGAGTGAAACTGGTTAAGGGCCCCCTTGTGGAGGTGGAAGGAAGGTCTTTCCTTCCCCAGAGACAGGAAGGATGTGTGGTTTCAGGTCTAGATTCTCCACAATCCTGAATGTATATGACCACAGGCAAGTTGCCCTTTGAAAAATGATTCCAACTCCTTGCATGACTATTTTCTGTTCATCCTTTGGCTTCAGCTTGAAGCCATAAATAAGCTCCCCTTTTCCTTTCTTAAGGTTCCCCCTTCCGCCCTTTAGAGCATTCATCTCAATTTGTAATACTTTAATGCATAGTTTCTTGTTGGCCTTCCCCATTGTAATGTAAGAGTCAGAGGGAAAGTATTATATCTTTCCTGGAATCTATTACATTTAGTAGTACACACATGGCAGATATTCAACAAGTATCTGTTGAAAAGGTAAATGGATGAACTTAATTTTTCTGGATTTCCTCTTTCTCATCTATAAAATCAGGAAATGTAACCACATCAGAGTTTTCAAATACATGGCTATCCTGTCTGCCCATGTCTTGGTAGCCAATGCTAACCAATGCATCACTATTTCCTGTAAGCCTATAGATCAGTGGTTCTCAACCTTCCTAATGCTGCGACCCTTTAATACAGTTCCTCATGTTGTGGTGACCCCCAACCATAAAATTATTTTCATTGCCACTTCATAACTGTAATTTTGCTACTGTTATGAATCATAATGTAATTATATATGTGTTTTCTGATGGTCTTAGGCAACCCCTGTGAAAGGGTCGTTCGACCCCCAAAGGGGTCGCGACCCACAGGTTGAGAAATGCTGCTATAGATGTACCCAAGATGAAACACATTTGCCCCCCCAGAATTAGATGATCACTAAAGTAATTCTGAAGAACCCATGTAGCTCTAAGTTTTATATACATATTCACACACTCTGTAATTTCCCAAAAAATCCAGGGAACAGAGAAGATATAAACATTTGAACTAACCTTGAATATAGATGTATACTATACAACTATATAATAGTTTTAATGTAAAGCATACGTATTCAAATGAGTTTACCTTGGTAGATAAACATGTAAAAATCAGTATTTCTCTCAATTTTTGTTTATTTTAGGCGGGGAAGGGAACATCAGTACCTTTGTCTACATGGCAGCCACTGTCTATTACATAGGATATAACATAATTGCTGATACCCTTACTAGTCATTCATAATCACTGAGAATCACAAAGGAAGTGTTTGACTTACAGAGTCAGGAGAACTGAGTTTTTATTTTGACTCACCCACTAACTCCCTGAATGAACCTCTCAGGGTTGATCTGCTCCTCTGTGTTAGAAGGGTGCCAATGAAGATAACCTCTAAGAGCCCTTTGATTCTAGTCATTTACTCCTATCTATAGCATGCCAGAATGAGTGTGAAATGTGTGGTGAGGAAGGTAGCTAATATGTTTCAGGGGGATAAGATAAGAAAAAGAAACATTACCTGGGTTGAATAAAAGCCACCTCCATACCTCTGCTCTTCGGATAGCCACCTGATAATTGGGTTAGCATAATTCAAATCATTCAAGTTCAAAATGGTAAGTAAAGCATAGGAAGTGGTTTCCACCATATGTGCTGTACCAGTGTTAGGTACAGGGCTATCCGGCTGTTGATCATCTTTCCAAAAGCGATAACTGGATGAAATACCTAACCATCAACAAATGATATAGATTAATATAGATTTATATGATTAAAAATATGAATTTGACATAGCAAATCTAACAGATTTTTAGCAGTTTCTTCCAATAGAGGACTTCTGATTTCCAGAAGTTTCTTATTCTTTTATACAAACTCCTCAAGGTGACCAATACAAAACAAGATCCTTTAATACAGTGCCATTTGTCTTTATTTGAAAAGGTCAACATGGAATGCCCACATCTTTTAGTAGCTGAGGATAGTTTTGAGACTCATTTTCCAATGGGGTAGGGGTTTTCCACCACACCAACAACCAATTCTTGGACACCTGCAGGGTGCTGGAGAATTGAACTCAACTTTGACCCTATCTACTCTGAGATAGATAACATCAAATTTCACAGGTTAAAAATCAGCCTACAAGATGCTTTCTCCCCCAATCCTCCAATTCAGATGCTAATCCCAAACCTTTGTTGTTACCTATACATCAGACCAACTGGCTATAAATTGGAGGTTCCAAAGACCCTCCCCTCAGGCATGATTACTTTGCTAAAGCAGTTTACAGAACTCAGAGAAACATTTTACTTATTCAATTAGGGCAAGGTAGGGGGAAAGGGTACAGAGCTTCCATACCTTCTCCAGGCTTACTTATTTATCACATTGTTTCTCCTTCCCCTACTATTCTGCCTGAATCTCTCCATGTTCACCAACCTGGAAACTCTTTGAACCTTGTCTTTTTGGGGTTTTTTGGCGGCTTCATTGCATAGGCATGTTTGATCAAATCATTGGCCATTGATGACTAATTTAACCTCCAGCCCCTCTTTCCTTCCCTGAAGTTGTTGGTGGTAGCAGGTACTAAAAGCGCCAACCCTCTAATTACATGGTTGGTTCTCCTGGCAACCAGCCTCCATTCCTAGGTTACCTAAGGACTTTCCAAAAGTCACTTCTTTAATAAAAGACAACTTTATTGCTCTTAGCACTTAGGAAATTCCTTGACAGAAAATAATTACATTCTGGAAATTATGAGATCACACTCAAAGCCTGAGTTCATTCAGTCTTTTATTATCTACTTCCAATTTAAAGCACTAAACGTAATTTTATATATGCAGCACTTTTCATAAATTAGGTTCTAATTATATTTTTTCATTATTGTTCTAGTAATTTGAACTTGTCACCTCAAATTCTTTTTTAAAACAAATTATTTTAAAAAACTGTAAAGCATATTTAGAAATTATATTTTGAAGATTAGTGAAAATTTTGATGTGTCTGTTTACAATTCAGGATTCCATTATTTGCATGACTTTATACAAGATGTTCTCCTTTCCACTCAGAGACTCAGGTTTGCTATATTTAGAATGAAAGATTTGGTGTTTAAAGATACTTCCAGCTCAAATATTATTTGAATTAAGTTCTCATCTAGCTCTTAAATTCTATATTTTATGATCCATATCTTATAATACTCAAGACATTTGTTTGGTGTTAGTATAAGTATTGCATAAGTGGTTTTGAGATATATGTTAAAATTCAGTTATTTTTAAATGATGACAGAAGTCACATTTTATAGATGGTGACAAACCTCATGTAAGATATATTAAACTTTTAGAAAACATCAGCCAAGAGAGGGCTCAGAAGTGCTCAACCATGCCCATGCTGATATAGGCACATTGGCCAATCATCACTGTTACTCTCTGTTTCTTTACTCTTGACCTATAGGAAGCAATATCTTTAGTCTTCAAAGTGAAATATATGCCTTTATAGCCAAACTGGTACAATATAAGCTAAATAATGCACTCCTCTGCTCAAAATCCTCCAATGTCTTCCCTTCTCACTTAAAGTAGAAATTAAAGTTCTAGGGCTCTCACTGGCCCCCCTGGCACCTTGATGTGAAAGACACACAGACACTCCTTGCTCAGGTGGAAGCAGGCCCAAACCGCACACATGGGTGGGGAAGTGGAGCAAGGGCTGGATTTCAGCCTCAATTCATTGGCTTGCTTGAGAATCTTGTACATTGCACAACTATATACCGGAGTCCTGCAGAGCTCCTGTAATGACCTCCAAGGCCTCACATAATTGCTTCACCCTTTTTTTCCCTAACCTGATTTTCTACCCCTCATCTTTCTCTGCTCCAGCCACACCGGCCTCCTTGCCATTCTCAGAGCACCAGGCACACTCCTACCTCGGGGTATTTGCACATACTGTTACTCCACCAAAAACACCCTTCTAGATGGCCACTGGCTGGCTTCCTCAACTTACCTCCTTCAGCTTTCAATGCAAATATCATCTTCTCAGTGAGGTTTAAGCCTCATCACCCTATCAAAAATTACAACCGTCCAGCCTGGCTGGTGTGGCTCAATGGTTCAGCATCGACCTATGAACCAGGAGATCATGATTCGATTCCTGATCAGGACACATGCCTGAGTTTGAGGGCTGGTCCCCAGTAGGGGGCCTGCTGGAGACAGCCAATCAATGATTCTCTCTCATCATTGATGTTTCTATCTCCTCTCTCTCTGAAATCAATAAAAATATGTATTTTAAAAAATTAGAACCCACCACTTCATCCTGTCTTCCCTTCTCTGCTTGATTTTTCTTCATATTACCAACCTATTCACTATATGCAATGTTTTATTTATTTATCACATTGTTTCTCCTTAATGAGGATGTAAGTTTCATGAGGGCCTGGATTTTTCTTGTTGTTGTTGCTGCTGCTTTATCCCCAGAGCCTAGAACAGTGCCTGATACATAGGAGGTACTCGATACATATTTATTAGACTTAGGAATGAATAAGTATGTACTGAATGAATGGCACTTATTACATTGCATTTTGATGGTTTGTTCCTTTAGGGCAGTGATTGTGTTTTACTCAACTTTGATGCCACACCTACTTCCCAGAATGACCAGATTCTATATACTTAGTAAACACTTGCTGAAAAATGTATGGAGCCAGTCATACCTTTAACTAAAGCTTTCTTCTTCAGGGCTGAGACAATGGAACGAAACTGTGAGTGAGTTGTATCTCCCAGGGAAAGAGCATAAGCAGCAATGGCCAGTGTGAAGGTGCTCTGGGCCGAGAGGGCATTTTCAAGTAGAAATGAGTCAGCTTCATTTAGAGCTGTGTTGATTTTCTGGAAACAAGGGAAGAAGATACCTGTTTCTTTGTGAAGCATCAACCTATCAACTAATGTGAACTACCCCCATGTGGCACCATCCTGGGGTAGACAAAATAAGGGGTGGAAAGAGAAATAACTTAATGGAAATGGATGGTGTCTGGCAGAAGCAAACACTTCCCAGAGAAGGAGCAGAGCATAATCTCAGAAGTGAAAATGAGGTTGTCCAAATTGGGTCAAGCTCTTTGTGCCTCAATTTTCATCTCCTTCTAGAGCAATGGTTCTCAACCTTCCTAATGTGGCAACCCTTTAATACAGTTCCTCATGTTGTGGTGACCCCCAATTTCATTGTTACAAATTGAACATAATTAGAGCATAGTGATTAATCACAAAAACAATATGTAATTATATATGTGTTTTCCGATGGTCTTAGGCGACCCCTGTGAAAGGGTCGTTCGACCCCCAAAGGGGTCGTGACTCACAGGTTGGGAACCGCTGCTCTAGAGGTTTTCTACTTTAGTTTCTACTTCCAAGTCATACCTAGCCTCCAGGAAGAAAAAGCACTGAGCATAGACACAGCTTTCATCATCCCCCACCCCACCCCCAGCATAACTGGGACAGATTCACATTTTCAAAAGGAATTTTACTAAATAAAACCATAACTAGCAGAAAAAACGTTAAGCTGCCAAAGTACTTTTTGGTCCTAAGGATTCCTGGAAAAAAGTTTCTATTACTTAGTCCTGCGACAACTAAAATAGTTATTTTGGACAAGTGGTTAGGAGAAAGTGCAGTGCAATGCTGCTAACATCTTGCTTGGCTCCTTCTCTCCCAGCTCCATCTGTGTCTCACTCATGTACTGCTAGGGGCCAACTGGTTCTCTAGGCCCCTGTGAACTGGTCCTCATCAATTATTTTGTCTTGTTAAACATAAATAACAATTATCTTGAAACAAATGAAAAACATTATTTTGCTCTATGGTTCAAGTCCTACAAATTCCCTTGGGTTTTTTCATTTTCATTCTGAATGCTGGTTTGAAGGACTTGCCTAATTTACTTCTGATTTGTAGGCAGGAATGCTTAACTGCAGCTCAGGGACCCGTCTCTTCCCAGATCAGAGCTTCATATCTGTTACCCCTTTGAATCTTTTATGTTGATTCACTTAAGTGAATCCTCTCCTTTCTCCCCCCAGCTTACAAGCAAATGAAACAGCAAACATATTATTGTGTATCCTCAGTAGTTCCATGATATAGAGTGCTTCAACAATAGATAAGAGTCATATACATATCATAAGATTTGGCAGAGATAAAAGAAGGAAGCTGGGATACTGGGCCATTCTCTCATCACAGTCAGAAGTTACCAGTTCTAATCCCAGCTCTATAATTCAGTAGCCTGTGAAACTGCACAACTGAATTCACCTGTCCTATAGGTCTCAGTTTTCTCAACTGTCCAGTGGGTTGGATTAGGTGGTCTCTAATCGATCATAATTCTGAAATCCTTTGATTCTGGAGTTATAGTTACCTTCAAGGTCTGTCAACCCCCCGCCCCGCGGCCCCCCCCCCCCCCCCGCACCCTCTCTCCCCGCCCAGCCCCTCAAGTCCCCACTCCAGTAAGGTACAGAAATAGATGATGGGTTTTAGAGAAAAAAAATCCTCTTACTTACCACTAGTGGGCATATATCAAAAGCCTTTCTAATTCCAATCACAGTAAAGGCTGTAAGATATAAGGTGCTCTCTTGGGCTTCAGTAGACAAGGTTCCCTAAAAATAATGATAAAGGAGAGTGAAGTGGTGTCTTTAAAGCAAAATGACCTAGTTCTAATCTCCATTTTGAGCTTAATATCCCTCTCTCCCTTCATACCTTCTAGTTGGACAGGTTGCCATTTCTCAGTAAACCCTGTGTCTTTCTTACTTCGTGCTTTAACGTGCCCTTCTCTCCCTCACCTCCCCACCCTGAAACTCTACTTCATACCTCTTCACCACATTCAAATTCTTCCCCTCCTTCAAAACCCTGTTAAAATGAAACAAACAGTTCTAGCTGGTTTGGCTTAGTAGATGGAGCGTCGGCCTGGGGACTATTCTGGTCAAGGGCCATGCCTGGGTTGTGGGCTTATGCAGGAGGCAGCTGATCAATGATTCTTTCTCATCAATGATGTTTCTATCTCTCTCTCTCCCTCTCCATTCCTTTCTGAAATCAATAAAAGCATATTTTTTTAAAAAACGAACAAAGCTCTCTTAAAAAAAATGCACTATTCTGCCACTATTCTCCTATATTTTTTTTCTCTTGGGGCAGTGACATTCCAATGCAATGCTTCTAAGACCTTCCATGAAGTGACCTCTAATACCTCTCCAGTTTTATTTCATGTCACTCACCCCCTAGCTCTCTTGGCCCCAGCTCTTTGAATGAACCATCCTCTCTCTCCACTTCAAAAATGCCAGGGACGCTCCACTTGGAACACTCTTCCTGACTCCCTCCTACCTAGCTCCCAGGAGGTTGGCAACTCATTTTTTTTTAACTCCCCCAATCTAGGTTAGATCCCCTGCTTTCAATGAAATGATATTTCCATTTTCTAAACATGTATCTCAGACTTGAAATTACCTACTCAATGTCTCTGCTAGATCATAAGCTCTGTGGCCTCAGTGACCACACCCGTTTTGTTCACTGTTGTGACCCTACCATGTAGTACTTAATACACTTTCAATTAACATTTATTGAGAAGATGAATAAACATACACATTAATGTCTTGATTAGAATCATTAGTATTTTTATTCCACCTTCCCTATCAGTGTGTGAGCTCCTTTGTGGCAGGACACTGCCTGGTCCATCCTTCCCACTCTTCCTCCCCCATGCTGCCCAAAATAGGCCCTGGCCTGTATTAGGTGCTCAGTGAATAGTTGTTGAATGAATGTAGATAGATGGATGAATGGGATAGACATCTTAAGAAAAATAATTGTTATAGCATTTTATTCTTCAAATGCCATTTTCAGTTGCCCCCTTACCTTGAGAGAGTCCTAATCTGCTATTGGTCCAACAGAGGACCATTATGAGACTCCTGTTAGCCAGGGAGCTCCTTGTGTCTGATAAAAAATTTTCTAAGGAGTATAATATATTGGAGCAATACTGAAATTATTTTGTATGTCAAGCATATAAGTAGATTCTAATCTCAAACAACACTTTGTTACACTTTGTAATAAATTGACCTCAATCTCTCTTTCCAGCAGAGAGTAAATAGGGGCCTTCCCATCTTTCATGATAACACCCTGCAGCCTTGACTTGTAAGAGGGCTTTGAACTTCAGGTACAGATTCCATACCAAGGGTACATGGACAGTTAGTGCATTCTATTTGTTCCAGGATCTCTAGCTCTTGCTCCCTATGAACCATCAATGCCTGTTATATAAGATGTCTAAGGTAGCACTTATCTGACCTATACTGGATGGTCTAAAGAGCAATACAAGACCTTTCAAATTCTTTGTCTGTACACAAGAAGAGCTTCTTGCAGGGATACACCTATTTTTTTTCTCCTCTCTTCTCATCCTAAAATAGGATGAGAATGAAATTCGAACTTTTAAATAAAACTATTGCTGATCTGAATATTTGGTTTCCTTACCCGTAACTTTAGTGGTTGATAATGGGAATATTTCTTGAAAGATCCATTTGCTAGTTGACAATGTTCAACCAACCAGGTTAAAGAATTACAAATTGAGTTTTGGTCCTGAGGTAAATATTTATGTAATTGTCCCAGTACTCTTAAAACAAAAGCTGTTAACCTTTAAGACAAAAATCAAATAAATAAACATTTAGAATTGAATCCCTTTTGGCTGTCACTTTACAGTGTGTTTTAGTTCATACAGTGTTTGTTCTTTAAAAGTAAACATTTTAAAACATGCAATTCCAAAGTAAGTTGTCGTCATTTTACAAGAGAAGGGAAGATTTTAGGAAGATCTCCAAAAACATTCAGTCAGCAAGTGGGAGCCACACATCTTTTGTGATTGCAACACTGTTAGCCCATACACAAGCTAAAAATTGATGTCTGATGAAAAAAATTTTTTTAGGTTAAAGACAATAGAAAAACAAATAGTATTGAGTCAAGGCACTGACCCATGAATATGAGATGTGGGAGAGCAAAATCATAAAATTCTAGGTTATAAACCTTGTACAAACTATCAAGTCTAAATCCCTATCTGAGGCCTGAACACCCTTCCGGAACATCCGTGGGGATGTTTATCTACTTCCCCTTGAGTCATGTCATTGATTCAGGACTCATCATCTCACAATGAAGCTTTAATGATCATAATTACTCAGTCAAAAATCAATTAAAGCCTTTACTAAAATCTCTCAAAGAATACCAGACAGGATCTAATTCACAATCCCCATATTGCCTCTTATACCTTCATTCCTCTCCTCTGGTTCCCTCACTCACTCAACTGCCCAAGATCTGCCCATTCTTTAGCTCCTCAGATGCCTTTGAGACACTTGACTTACTCTCTCACTTTAAAATTTTGTTTTCATTTTCCTTAAAAAAAAAAAAGATATATTATTCATTGTACTTTTTGCATATTTCCTGTATTTCTCCCCCTCCCCCTCCCCCTCAGATTTTTGAAAGTATTCAGGTAGAAGCCATTTTTTTCTACGTATCTATTTATCTCAAGGAACTTATGGAAGTGGGTCTAGGACAGTACACAAGTGTTTCTATGTTTTTGGCTGAACACTATCCACTCAGTTTTGTCCAGAACTCCTGAGAGGCTCTGGGTGTTTACTGAGAGGCTGTCACATTTTCTTATGCGGGTTTCTGTTCTCCAGGCATTTAGTTCCCAGCTTCTGTTGTGGTGGTTTTCAGTCTGGATCAGCATCCACCCACTGTATCCTGACTGGTGTAGCTCAGTGATTGAGCATCGACCATACACATGGATCAGTTGTCTCCTGCACACCCCCTACTGGGGATTGAGCCTGCAACTGGGGCATATGCATATGCCCTGACTGGGAATCGAACCAGAGACCTCTTGCTTCATGTGCACTGAATAAGGGAACAGAGAAAGACCTGAGGGAGGTAAAGAAGCCAGCCATGCTGATACCTGGGGGGAACATTCCAGATAAAAGAAATAGTGAATGCAAAGGCCCTGAGTTGGAAGGATGGCTGGCATGTTTGAGGAACAGCAAGGAGGCCACTGGGGTTCTAGTGGAATGAAAGAGAGTAGAAGGGGATACAGATGGGGAGGTGAGGTGGGGCCAGAACAGGGAGGGCCTTATAGATCCCAGTAAGAACTTTGATAAAATGGGAAGGTTCTGAATGGTTTTGAATGGCATGAACTAACTTATATTTTAACAAGGTCATTCCAGACGTTGTGCTGCATAGACTGAAGAGGGTCAAGAGCTGAAGCCAAAAAAACCTAAGGAGGCTAATGCCATAATCCAGGTGAGTGGTAAGAGTGACTTAGATCAGGATGGTATAGTGCAGTTGGTAAGAAGTAGTCAAATTCAGGGTACATTTTGAAGGTGCAGCCAAAAGTATTTGATGGATCAGATCTGGCTTGTAAGAGAAAGAGCAGTGAAGGATGACTAGGCTTTTAGCCTGAGCAACTAGACAAATGAAATTTCCATTAAGGTTGTTATTCTTTAGTTAATTAATCAACTACTATGTAAAATGCAAATCAAAACCTTCTACTTACCAAGTACTAGCATCTCCACCTTTCCACATGCTATAAGAATAGTCAGGATTTTTGTAGGACATGATGCTTATCATCCCTAAGAGGCATCAGAAAAAGAACAGAGTGCTTCATTGACCTCCATATCTACTCAAAGAGTGCTTCATTAGCCCCTGGATAATAAAGTGGTAAATTTCCCTTGATGTTGGGCAGCAAGGATATGCTCTGTGGCCAACAGTGAACTCAGCAAAGGAAGATTACAAATCACCTGAATTGGGAATTATCAAGTAAAACATTCTGAGCTCATTCAAGAAGGGAGGAAGTGCTTTGGAATGCAGGTGTTTTGTCTCTCAGCCATGCAATTTAGAAAGTTAAGCCAAAATGCAGCAGCAAATAGTATTTATTCATATAGCAGAGTCTATCTTATGATTTTTTTTGCTGAAATGCTTTTATAATTAAGCTTTTGTGTAATTCTTAACAACATAAATATTAGTTTAATTAAACTATTGGTTTAAAAAACAGAAGATTTTTATGTACAGTATATGAAATAGATATTTTACCTTCTTTTAATTTTCTCTTCAAGTATTGTTTTTCAGTTAATGCATTTTGAAAAATGTTCCAATGATCTCCTGCTTCCAGGTAGTGGTAAACATAGAATACTGGGACAATGCTCATCAATTCCGCCTCTGCATTTCCCTTGGGGAGGTTGGTAAGCATATCAATACCTTCCCGACTCAGAACTGCAGATATGACCTCACCCATAAGTAGTCCTGAAACACACACACAATTCAAAAGAGGCACAGTTAATGTCTATTAATTTCTGAGTAATAGTATATTTTAAATAGAGATAAGAGCAAGCATCCCTATTCTTTCCTTTTTATCTAGGCAGTTGAATTACTTCTCAGAACTGGGGAGATAAAAAATAAAAGATCTGGTTAGAAAGATAGATTTTTTTAAAAACATACCAAAAGTAGGCTTAAAATACCACTGTTAGAGTCCAGCCAGCATGGCTCAGTGTCTGAATGTCGACCTATGAACCAGGAGGTCAGTTTTCAATTCCCAGTCAGAGCACATGCCCGGGTTGACGGCTCCATCCCCAGTCTGGGGTATGCAGGAGTCGGCTGATCAATGGTTCTCTCTCATCATTGATATTTCTCTCTCTCACTCCCTCTCCTTCTCTGAAATCAATAAAAATATATTTTAAAAAATACCACTGTTATACGGTGGTAAAATGGTATAATAACAGTAAGTAGATTACTGCATAGAGTACATGGCAAATTAATTGCTATTCAATCTGATAGCATTAAACATTGTAAACCTTATTGATCAGTTGCTTCCCCAAAGCAAAGCAAAGAATCTGAATTTGTGAATGCTCTATGAGTGCTGTGAGGGTCCCGTCCACAACTCACTATGCAATCCTGGGCAAACCACTTTCTTATACACACAAGGTTGCACAGGAGTTAAAAAGTCCTTGCCAGTACTAACATTCAGTGATTCCAAGATCTTATCTGAGATAAAGTGTAATCAGGATCTTCTATTATTTTGATGATATGTCATTGAATTGTAAAGGCTGGAGACCAGCAAAGTCACCACTTTTGCAAATGCAAAAGAACCCCCTGGGATTGGTACCTGAGCAGAGCAGTACTCAGTTTTGGGGCCATTTGCAGTTCATAAGGCATTCTCTGGAGCAGGACTGGCCACTAAACTCATGGAAAGTTCTTAAGTCTAGAAGCAGCTTCACCTGCATTGAAGAGAAATCTTTGGGCCAATGACAGCTCCCAAATTCCATCATGGAGAATAAGTTTCCATTGAAATCAGGCCAGTGGAAGAAGATAGTAGGAAAAGTGGTCAGGGATTTGAAGGAGGGAATAATTGTAGGGTGAATTTGTATATACCACTGAATAGAGAAGAGGAGAAACAGAATAATCATGATGATATTTGAATTTTGTTTGAAGCACAAAGTGAAATGATAAATAAAAATGGCATTTGTTAATTTACCTTTTACACTCACAATCCTTTTGACTTTTGTCTTGGGGACCAAATCTAATGGTACCCTGTATGGGAACTCCTTTTGTCTGCTAACGACACCTGAAATAAATTTTAAAAAAAGTTATTAGATTTACACAGAGTTCTTGAGGGAAGATTATTAGAAGATTATTTACAAGGAATCTTCCAAGGAATTAAAAAAATAAAACTCTTTAATAATAATAATATAAAAATTTGATAAGGGAGTTAAAAATAATTAAGGATTTTTATCAAACTCTAGGCTTTTGTAATCTCTTTAAATAAAAGATTAAATTTGACTGTAAGCTTTCTGGTTATTATAAAATGGGAAACAAATAGGTTATATAAATCTTATTCACCAGTAAAAATGAGATAGTCATTTTGTCCAAAGAGAAAATTGTTCTTGGAACTGAAATCTGAAAATAACATGTAACTCCTTAGTCAAGGAAATGTGAAGATTAGCTCCATTAGGAAACAGGCCCTGAAATTCTTTCCACCATCTCTTCTCAGTCTTAGTTAGATACTTGTTCTCTATACATTATAAGAGTTTTAGCACACCAGTATCAGAGCATTTTTCTACTATAACTTGTTTATTTCATAAGGATGATAATATCTACCATTTTACTGATAGAATAGCAAGGACTCTGCTAAGCTCTTTAAATGCAGTTACGTTGGATCCTCACAACATTCCTATATGCTAGGAGTTTATTATTTTTATTTTATAGATGAGGAAACTGGGGCTTAGAAAGTAAATTGTTCAAGGTCACACAGCTACTACAGACGGACCTGTGATCTGAACTCCAGAAATTATACTGCAGAGTCCACGGTAGTCATCACATATACTCCCACTGTCCTTCTAAGAAAGATCTTAGGGCAGGAACCATCTCTTATTGAATACTGTAGTCCTAGCATTTAATACAGTCCCTGGCACATGGTAGATGCTTTAAAAAATAGTGACATTTTGCAATTTAATGGACAAGTCACATGGGTTTGCAGAAGAGATAGGAACATTCCTCAGGTAACTTCTTTCTTCATTAATCTTTGATAAATGCTGAGGATATAATCTATGTATATAAAAGGCTAAGCAACCATTACGACTGAATGACTGAAACAACCAGCCGACCAGTCGCTATGACATGCACTGACCACCAAGGGGCAGACACTTAATGCAGGAGCTGCCTCCTGGTGGTCAGTGCACTCCAACAGTCAACCTCCCACGGCCGGCTGGCGATGTCAGTGTCTGGTGTCTGTTCTTTCTGCGCCCGGCCTGGCAACTGTCACCTCCTCTCCCAAAGGCCCCGGGCTGGGATGGAGAGCCAGGGGTGGGTGGTGGCGGACACGACACCTTTCCCAGAGGGGCCGAGGGCTGGCTCCCTCCTCAGGGCTGGCAGCCAACCTTCTGCGCCCTGTCTCTCACCAGGGCTGGCAGGCCCTGATCGGCCTGCCACTGCCTGCCCACCATGGTGGTGGCAAGGGAATGGGGAGGGGGAGGGGGAGGGGGGGAAACCGTGCAGTGGAGGGGCGCCAGCGTTGGCATATGGTGTCCGTTCCTTCCACACCCAGTCCGGTGACCACTGCCTCCTCTCCCAACCCCACCAGGGCCTTCAGGGCTTTGGGCTGGGATGGAGAACCGGGAGTGGGTGGCAGGTGTGGCCCCTTTCCCAGGGGGGCCAAAGGCCAGCTCCCTAGTTAGTGCCAGCAGCCAACCTCCTGTTCCCTGTCCCTCCCCTTGGCTGGCAGGCCCTGATTGGCCCGCAGTCCCCCTGTACCTCCCCCTGGCGGGCAGGCCCCAATCAGCATGGCCCTGATTGGCCCTGATCACCGGCAAGGCCTAGGGATCCCACCCATGCATGAATTTGTGCACCAGTCCTTTAGTATTAAAATAAAACTTGGTGGATACATTTAAGAGGTTTGCAGTGTCATTGAAAGAGCATGGAGTCCAGAAAGAACTTACTCTATATGTGACTATGGGCAAGACACTTAGTCTTTCTATGCCTTGTTTTACTTATCAGTTAAATAATAATGGTAATAATATTTTCCTCAAAGGAGTTTTGTGAGGGTAAAAATAATATAAACAAAGAATCAGGCAAACAGTGTTCATGCACTATATATGGTACTTAATGACAGTAGGTTTTTTGAAATTATCTTAATTTGATCCATTTTTCTCACCGATACCTGTTCTTGACTATTTCAATTCTCATTATCAACTCTCCTACCAGATGGAAAAAGTACAGAAGAGAAAGCTAACACTAAGAGAAGTCAATTTTACTCCTTGCCAGACATAAAAACATCCCATATAAAGGTAGATGCCAGGCAAATTAAAACATTTAAAAGTTGAATTTGTGAAACTAATAAAATATACAGCAATATCTTTGTTAACTAAAGGTGTGGAAAGGCTTCTTTATAATTAACCCCCCAATATCTTACCTAATAATAGACAAACATGTAAATTGACCATCCCTCCATTATGCTCACCAGCCAATCAGGAGAGTATGCAAATTAACCCAACAAAGATGGTGGTTAATTTGCATATGTACACATGAAGTGGTGGAGCGGCGAAGACTGAAGGCAAAGGCCTGGGTCCCCGGTGCCGGAGGAAAACCGGTGTCGGCAGCCAGGGGAAGGGAAGGCCTATTGCATGAATCTCTTCGTGCAATGGGCCTCTAGTATAAATAATAAAATGAAATGAATTTGACTATATCCAGCATTAAAAATTCCTATTTAAAACATACAATGGTTCATTATTGCATGAAGAAGTATATCAGAGATAAAAATCTATGAGAAATATACAAAAACCCAAATTAAAAAATAGGAAAAAAGTGTGAAAGGTAGGAATAAATAATTTATAGATGGGAAGCCCAAATGGCCAACACTTATATGAAGAAATGTCTAAAATCAATAGTAATCCGAAGAATCCAAATTAAAACAATAATGATATATCACTTTCTACCCCTCAAAAGTGGCACATTTTAGTGAGACAAGGAATACCAAATGTTGCTGAGGATGTGGAGGTATGAAAACCCTTATACAGTGCTGGTGGAAGTATAAATAGTAAAGCCATTATGAAGAGCAATATGACAGAAGTATATGACGTTCAATATATGTATGCTCTTTGACCCAGAAGTCCCAATCCTGGGTGCATAGTCCAGATAAATGCACACACAAATTCACAAAGGGAGATTCATAGGATGTCCACTGCAGCATTGTTTATGGTAGTGGGGAATCCATCAATTAAGGATGGCTAAGTAAAACTGTGGTGGACTATACTTTGAAATTAAATGTATGAAGCACTGAAATAGATGTATATACCACATTACAGATATTTCTTTAAAACATACTATTAAGAAATAGAGCAGGATCTATAGATCTATAGCAACATTATGTGCCTACTCAAAGACATATATCAAGCAAGCATTTTAAGTGGGAGCATTTGGAGGAAGGAAAAATGGGAGTGGGGGCCAAGAATGAAAGGAGGAAATAAAACATGAGAGGGGCCTGCCCAGACCAATGATAGTGTGTTAGGAAGTGGGGTGGGGGTCACATCTGAGATATGAAAATAGTACGGGAAAAGGGTTTGTCAAGGAGAGAAAGTAGAACTGACAACTAGGGCTAGTCTTAAGTTTTCAGTCCATAATAGTGTTTGGTCTCTTTTAAGTTGTTGTCACACAATGTTAATTACTATTACTTTATAATTTGTTCTGATACCTCATTCTTCCTCACTGATATACTTTTCAGGTTTCTTCTAATGTTATTGTTCATTTACTTTTCCAAATATATCTTAGCTTAAAAAAACAACAACAAACTCTATGAAGTTGTATCCTGGTATAGCAATTCCAATATATATGTATTTAAAGTATTTAATAAAATCTCTGAAATAAACTTGACAGAATTGATTGCTATCATTACCTTACTTAGCACTCTAGAAAGTGACAAAATTGCCTAAATCTAAATTGTCTAAAATGATAAGAGGAAAAAGTTGTATGACAAGATTGGAAAGAGGCATAGATTTTTTTTAACCAAGGTTTTTGATGGAGAGATCTATACCCAGTTAAAAGATCATTTATTCCCATCTTGTGGCCCTGATGTTCATACCTAGGATGGGTAAAACAGGGCTGTTTTGGAAAGCTGTTTTGCAATAATGTTAGTATAGCAGGGACAGGGGTAAAAAAGAGGAAAAGCCAAAGGATGCAGTGGCTCTGAGTCATGACTTAACTGTTTGAGGCTAAAATCCTCAGACCTTAAGGATAGCTCTTCCCACAGATCCCCCATAGTGGGCAAGCTGGGAGGAAGTCTGTGTGTAAATAAATTAGAGAAAAACGCTAGTGTATGGATACATGTATACAGGACAGGTTTTTCTTTTGCTACTCTGTTGAAGTCACCTTATTCAAGTTTATGATATTCAGTTAGTTTGAAATGTTAAGGTCTTAATTCTTTACTTTCCCAGAGGAAATGGCACTCTGAAGTAAATTTTTTTTTTATCACCATTGCTATGTCACTGAAAGAAAGGAAAAAATTATTCAATGCAACAATAAGGTAAATTTTAACCATTTAATAAGAACACGAAGTCTGTCTCTTTTTGTTGAAAAGATTTGTTAATTGAGCATATTATAAATTTCATAAAGAGATAATGTATTTAGACCTTGACTAAATGCTCAAATGTTTGCAGAATTCTACTGTTGAGAAGATTCAGAAGATCTCAGTGAAGAAAAAAGGGATGCAGGAACAAAGAGGAATGGTTTGTAAAGTGATTAATTAGCATTGCATTGTCAAATAATGCATGTTAAGTATGTGAATGACTTTTTAAAAATATATATTTTTATTGATTTTAGAGAGGAAAGGAGAGGGAGAGACAGAAGCATCAATGATGAGAGAGAATCATTGATCAGCTGCCTTCTGTGTATTGAGCCTGCAACCTGGGCATGTGCCCTGACTGGGAACTGAACTGTGACCTCCTGGTTCATAGGTCAATGCTCAATCACTGAACCATGCCAGCTGGGCTGTAATGACTTTTTCTCATGTGTTCTTTGGACTGATGGTTCAGTAAAATATTATAGTTATTATTGTGTTGAATAGAAAATGATTAATAGATAAGGGAAGCCATGTAATTATTACTATTTCAGTGCTTTGCATTTTAAAATAATGGAATTATTTTTATTTGTTTTAAACCCATTCAGATTATAGTATAACTAGAGGCCAGTTGCACAAAAATTTGCGCATGAGTAGGGTCCCTAGGCTTGGCCAGTGATCAGGGCCAATCTGTGGGGAGACTGGCGGGGTGAATAGGGCCCCTGCTCACACCTCCCTTGGCTGGCCTGGTGCCGCCTGCTCGCCGGCCCCCACGCCTGCTGCCACCACCAGTCGGGGCCTGTGGGCTGGGGGTAGCTTCTGCATTGAGTGTCTGCCCCCTGGTGGTCAGTGCATGTCATAGCGACTGGTAGTTCCGCCATTCAGTTGATTTGCATATTAGGGTTTTATATAGATAGATACATATTATCAAAAAATGGCAATAAACTAAGTAAGAAGTGGACATTTTTTAGTCTAGACAATTAACATTTTGAAAAATAGTGTTTCAAAGTACACATACACTTTAATTTCTAGAGCAAAAGATAACATGTAAAATACAAAATTATTTTACTTACCATAAATACCCTTTGGGTCCAGAGTAATACCAGCATAACTTTCCTTTTTGACACCTTCTGGCTAAAATAAAGACAGAAAACATTCAGTTAAGAACATAATTAAATCTATATGATCTCAATTCTTAGTTCAATTTGACCACTTTTCCAATTTAAAAAATCCTTTTTGCAAATGGGGGTGTAATGCAAAGCATGTTTAAATACTTAAATGCATAAATTCAAGAATAAGATTTTTCTGGCCATTTACATAATAATCAGAGAAAATACTAAATAGAAGTTACTATAAGCCAGGCAATTGACTTAAGTGCTTTGTATGTATTAGTTTATTTAACCTCAAAAATACTCTATGAAGTAGGTGCTATTATTACTGCCATTTGACAGATGAGGGAACTGACACACAGAGTGATCACAAAACTTATCCAATGGCACAATGCTAGGAAGTGATAGAGCCAGGATTCAAACAGGGGCAGCCTGGCTCCAGAGCCTGCATATGGAACCACCATGTAAGGATGAATAGAACAAGCCTTGCACAAAATAAGTCAATATATGTTTACTGAAGTGAATTTCATGGATGAAGTCAGAACGCAGAAAATGAAGACTGTGAACCTTGAGAGAGAAGAAACCTACTAAGAAGGTCTTCTGGTGGCTAGCTAGGCTCAAATTAAAAAACAAAAACAGAGCCTAGCAGCCATTTGTATACTGGAGCCTCTCACACAAACTGCCTGCCTCTGCACTGAACTGCCTGCCTGCACTGTGTTCTGCCATTTGAGCCAGCTCTTATAAAGGAGTTACTGGAATCCTACAATAGGACTGAAGCTTTTCCTATCCAATTGGAGCTGCACAGCTCCAACCAACCAGAGTGGCTCTATTCTGACCAATCAAGACAGTGCCTTTTGCACCAATCACACTACAAAAATTTGGAATCCTCATTTGCATGAGGACAGACCAATTAGGGAGCAGGGATGGAAAATTCTGTCTAGATAAGCCAGCTCCCCTCTGGCTCTGAGAGCACAGTTTCATTTCCACAGAAGACTGAAGACTGCATTTCCCTGGCTCAGCTGAAACATGGCCAGAGCAGCCTGGCACAGAATGGAGCAGATCAAATCACAGCAGAGCAGACCAGATCACACAGCACAAAGCAAAGCAGGAAGAAGCAGAGCAGAGTAGACCATTAAGGAGCAGACTAGCCAGAGAAGGACCTGGCTCCAGGGCCACTTGGTCCTGGGGCTGCCTCACAGCCATGCTATATCACAATAGAGCTGTTTTGTACTGAATAAAGTTTCCTTCCAGCACCCCAAATTGGGGATTCTTATTGCAGTTGTAGTGGTGCCAACAACCATTGGTTGACAAGACCTAGGAAGACACAGTTCTGTCATTAACTAGCCATGTGACCCTGGGCAAGAATCTTAATAAGATAACATGAAGATACTCACCAGACTCTATGGGTAAATCATACTTAATAAATGATAGTTTGTGTGTGGTTTTTTTTGACTTGTTTACTTACTTATTTATAAAATGGAAAGTTTTCTAGACTATAAATTGTAAACTATGCATGTATTAGTTTATTTAACCTCAAAACTACTCTATGAAATACTAGGGCATGTCTTATTTATATCCCTAGTGGCTAGTATAATATCTGGCACAAAGATTTCAAGAACACACTTTCTAAATGTGTCAGAGTGGGGGGGTGGGCCTGGAAGGCTACATACCAAATTGTTAAAATTGGATAGCTCTGGGTATGGGGATTAATTTTCTTTATGTTTTTTTCAATATTCTATATTTTCTACAATAAGCACGTTTTATTTTATTTAAAATTTTAAATAATAATTTTAAAGTTAAAAGTTACAAGAATAGTACAAAAAAGATCCAAGATAACCTCCACCCAGATTCCCCAAATGTAAACATTTTGTTACATGTACATTCTAATTTTCTGTGTACCTACTGAATTACTAAGCATAAGTTGTTGATAACTTTTTTTTTTTTGGAAAGAAAAATGTGATTTTTAAAAGAATCAGGAAAAACATGTTTCTTACCACCACTCGTAATGTTTTTACTAAGATTTCTTTTCCCAGTGAAGTCTCCAGTGAAAAGTTGATGTTGTGGAGGCCGATTTCCAGAGGAAGCACAGTAAAGGTCACCAAATGACTGGAGGAGCCCTCTATTCTCTGCTGCAGACATTTAGAGGTCTTTCTCCCCTGATGGCTGATGACTGGGCTTCCTGACGAACAGATTCCCTCCATAGCAGACATTGTAACACAGAACTGAAATATCACCAATGAACAATTATATCAAAACACTTTATAAGGAAAGTATGCCCTTTGTTCATCTGGACACAATTCTTCCCTGATACTTTTACAGTGTTAAATAATCCCTTAGATTCTAAGGCAGAGGAGAAAGTTCACTTTTGAGTTTTTAAAACATACACACAAGTTGCTGTAGACCTTAGCAATGTGAAGGGATATCTAGAAAGCTCAGCACTGCTCAGAAATATCTTACTTTCCTTACACTGTTACCTACTAAGTCAGGGGCAAAGCTACTGAAGTTCTTTGAGCATTGGTACACTGTCTCTTTGTATTGTAGACAGTGGGAACCGCAGGCTCAGGCATTCTGTGTTACTCATTTTTCTGTCTTTTAGCTCAGTCCTTGCATGCTACAGATGGTTTTATGAAAGAATGAAAACTCTTATCTCTTGGCATTCAAGGCCCTGCCCAATATGTCCTGAAATTAATTTTCCAATCTTACCTTTTAACTTCCCACTTATACCTAATTTTACAACAAGACTCTGACTCCAGAAAGACTTAGGTTCAAATCTTGGCTATTCCTCTTACTGTATAATGAGAGCAGGTTGTAAGACCTCTTTCATTCTCCCTGTCTCCATATTTATAGTAGGGATAATAGTAGATACTAACTGGCTCAAATAGTGAATACTTTTCATCTTCCTTCCAAAATCTAGTGAACTGACAGAATTGAAAACTATACCCAAAAGAATAAATCCATAATAACCAGAATAAATTAAGCAGGGAAACAAGAAAGAATGCCAATATTCAACAACTAATTTTGAAGAATTTCTCAAAAATAAAAAGTTCCTTCTTCCTCTTCAGAAACACAAATTACCAAGTTGGTTGGGGCAGTAATTAAAGAAACCTATTGGGTCATATTGGTTTATATTGTTGAACTGAGTTTTTATTTTTTTGTGTATGTCATAATTCCATTAATAGAATTCTCAGAAAGTTAGAGAATTTTTATTTATTTATTTGCACATATCATAAATACCTACTTACCCCTATCCCAGACATCCTATAGTTGTAAACAGTTCCTTTCAATTGGATCTGTTCCCCTCGTACAACAGAATATGGTATATTCATTTCCAGGAATATATCTTTGAATACTTTTGTCTTGACAGTATCAGAAACACATATACCTTCAGCACAAAGTAAAAGCAAAGTAGAAGCATATTAGGGAATTCCTATAATATTTTATTAGTACAATAATGTCTCACATTTGCTTTGCTTCAAGAAAAACTTAGATCATGGTTTTTCATTATTGTCACCCATGTCCTTAAATTTCCTATTCATTGATCTCTATCTCAATAATTATTTGTATTAACAGAAAACTTTATTTGTCCAACAAATACTGAATTCTATTTAAGTCATGAGATTTTCAACTAAAGAACCAAATCTCTTTTTAGATATTTATTATTGCCTCCATTTAATGGGTGTAAAACTTTTATTATGGAAACCAAAATTTTATAAAAACAAAAAATAGCAAAAAAACAAAACCAATCCTGAAATTATTTATAAAGTATCTGCACTAAATTGCAACATAAGTTCATCAGCCCTGAAGAGAAGTCATGCATTTATTTAACTCTACTCAAGCTCCCAATCAGAGAAAAATGAAAGTAAATAGGGGTTTGACATCAGCATTTAAAGAATGATGGCTTATAGAAGAGCAAAAGAGGAAATAGATATGGTAAAAAATGTGAGCATATCTAAGCCTTCTTGTAATACATTTAAAATAATATTTAAAATGTCACCACTAAGTCCTGGGTAAACTAAATAGACAATAACACAAATACTATATTTTTTCAATGATGGCAAAAACACAGCGTTCTACAAAGCATCAAACCACATTTTGATAATTAAATCACTACCTAAAAGAGTATGTAACTTAAGCTTGCTTACCACTGTCTGAAATGCCAACACCTTGAATTTCCCAGGTAGTTAGAGAATCAGGTAGCACAAACTGCAACTCCTTTCTGAAAGTGAAAAAGTTAATATTCAAATACAGTGAAACATCAATAAACCCAACTGGACAGCATTCATTAACAGAATTTTTGCTTGATACTACTTTAGAAAAAATTTTAAAAAGCACATCAGCTATTAAGGAAAATCAAGCAAGAAAAATATACTCTGTAAGTCTACTTGTTGATTTTTCTTGTGCTGTTTTTTTTTTTAAATTCCTCACTAGAGGTTATTTTTCCATTGATTTTTAGAGTTGAAGAGAGAGGGAAAGACAGAGAGAAATATCAATGTGAGAGAAACACATCGATTAGTTGCCTCCTGCACTCGCCCGGACCAGGGCCCAGGCCAGGGAGGAGCCTGCAACCGAGGTACGTGCCCTTGACTGGAATTGAACCCGGGACCCTTCGGTCTGCAGGCTGGCACTCTATCCACTGAGCCAAACTGGTTAGGGCAATCTACTTGTTTTATGTTTTGAGATTTTTCACTTGTTTGATGAGAATTCAAATTCAAAAGAATGCCTTTGAAACATTGCAAATTCAAAACACACACAAAAAAAGAAAAATTATGTTCATTATGTAGTATGTTCTAAAATAGGGAAGCAAAGTAATGCATATTAACACTACTCATAAAGTTGATATAACTAAAAATTTCTGATTAAGTTTATATATTTATTTATTTCATTCAACAAACAGCTATTGTCCACCAATTTTGTGTCAGGCATAGTGCTAAGTACTGAGTATACAGCTCGTAAAAGATGTAGTTCTGCTCTCAAGCAGTTAACAGTCTAGTGGAAAAAACATTTCAGTAAATAAATTGCAATACACTACAATAACTGTACCGATAAAGCACTAACAATTCAGAGGTAATTTGCATTTATTCAACACAGTTTAGTTCCTCTACAAGCCAGGCAGACTAGGTGTAAAACAGTAATCTGAATTTAATCCTTGCTCTGGAGGTAATTACATTTTAATGTGGAAGATGGGCAGGTAAATAGGCCATTATCACACTGTGATACATGCAATAGGGTTAATCAAGAGGCGTAATTTACCCAATCACTGGTAGGGTAGGGAACAGTGATGGGGAGGCTTGCCAGAGGAAGTGCTAGCCAAAGGGCAATGTTCAGCTGGAATGACAACAGTGTGGAGGAAGAATTAGAGGAACATGGGTAGAGACAAGGAGACCCATTAGAAAACTGATGACAGGCTCAGGACTCAGTGCCTTGACTGCTCCTTGGAAAGTCAGTGCTTTGAGTCCACAAGGAAGGGTGACAATCAGGGACTTCGCATTATTCATTACTGTTTTCAGTGTGTGACACTGGGGAGGCATTCCATAAAAATGTGTTGAATAAAGGAATTTAATGAGCAAAGAACCTTTCTTCTCATTAATCAATGTTTGTTTTATATACAGATATTTCAGGATAAAAAAATGGCTTCTTTACAGTATAAACACAGTTGTGCTCAGTTAATGCTTACTGAAGTGAAATGAAAGTAAATGGAATAGAACTCTTCTTCCCCAAGAGTTAATTCTGCCTTGGAATCAACTACTAGAGCAAAGCATACAGTTAAGGAAAAAAAAAAAGTGAAGCAAAAAACCAAATTTGGCCAAATGTTAGTGTGGAGAGCAGCTACAGCATTCAGACAGGATCAAGCCTTGGACTGATTTGTGGCAAAGCCACATATCAGTCTTAGCTTGGAGGGCAAAGCCCTCCCAGCACAATTATAGGCAAAAGGCTATAGTTGTAAGTTTGACCTTATAGTCTGACCCTGCAGTCCTAGGTAGCTAAGGGATGTGGGCTGCAGGGGGTGCAGCAAGTGCTGCCAAAACAAGGCTTAATAGAGTTCAGAGAATGGCAACAACAGGAAAGAAGCAGATTTGAAATTCGCAAGAACATTGTAAACATCTTGCCCTTCTTTTGCTTTGTGTGATCTGACTATAAAATAAAGCTTTGGCTTACAGGCTGTGTCACTGATTCCTCATCCAGGCACAGTGATCCACCTGGTCCCAACTGTATTCTCTTCTTTAATCCTTCACCACCTCTTCTCAGGTTCACCCCTGGCCATGCTGGACACAGTTCATATTACTATCATCTTAACTCTTAAACTATTGGGAAATGGGCTATCTTCAGATTTTTGCCATAATATTTGCATTTTCTCACATTTTTCAGAGGAATGTCAAAGAAGTATGTATATAATATTGTTGTTAGATAGGACAGGGGTCTCAAGGTTTGAGCCATTCTTACTAAATGCTGTTCTTGCTAAATGTTAAAATGAAGCACAGTATTTTGCAGACCAACTATAAATAGGATAACCCAACCTGTAGCCAACTGCAAAGAAGACATCAAATAATCGACCAAATAATGTATCTAAGCAATGGCTAAGCCTCCCTTCAGGAGGCAACGCTTTGGATATGAATCCCCTGTCTCCTTTACTAGCTGCAAGTAAATACAAGTACCTTGCTTGAGCTGACTGAATAGGGCACACAAAGTGGGGATCAAAATGGGGAATCTCTTGAGTTCTTTAATACCTTCTGGAGACACGATGAACTTCCCATAACCAGCTTTCTGGAAAATAGCTTCTTATTTCTGCTTTGGTTACTGGTGCCAGGGGCCGTATATCTGGGGGTCAGGGGAAGTATATTCAATTATAGAAAAACAACATTATTCTACTAAGAGCCAAATTTTAAATATGGACATTTAATTTAGACACGCATTTCCTGAAAGATCAATGAAACATGTTGTTTAGTGATTTCAAAATAGAACTATTAGGAGTTCTCCACTAATAGCATTGACAAAACAAAGCGTAAAATATCTTTATTTATATAAAAGCCTAATATGCAAAATGTCTCCTTGGGATTCAACCAACTGGGAGTTTGATCACTCACTGTGACATGTGCTGACCACCAGGGGGTGGTGTGGAACGATGGAAGGCCTAGGCCGGCAGCCGGCAGCCAGCAGCCACTAGGGACCCTAGCCATGCATGAATTTCGTGCACTGGGCCTCTAGTTTGTTTTATAAATTGCTAAATGTTTAGTGTTCCTGAGATTATACAAGATACTAATCAGTCTATAAAGTTATTTGCATTTTTATAATTGCAACAATTCTGTTTATGTGATTTTCTGCCTTAGCTTAGCAATTTATTTATAAATTCTCTTTAGTCAAAATGAACATAACTTCTGTTCCTGTCCAAGATGAACTAACAGGGACTGGGGTTATCCCTCTGTCTTTAAAAAAAAAAAAGAGAATAATACCAGACACACCATATAAAACAGTTTTCAGACACCAGAGCTTAAGTGACCCAGGACTGTGATCCCTGAGAGAAGGGAGAAGATTAGGTAAAGTCTAAAGTTGTCCAGGTTTCCTGTCTGGAGACAGTTTACAGGCTACAGGGCAGGGAGAGGAACCTATACAGACCCTTGTAGAGTTGCAGCAACACACATGGGAGTTTTAGGATGTCATCAAATGGACAATGTTTAAGATACACTATTAAGCAAAACAATCCTATATAATAAAAGCCTAATATGCTAAGGGTTTGGTCGTCCATTCAACCAATCAAAGTATAATATGCTAATGAAATGCTAAGGCCACTCAACCGCTCACTATAACGTGCATTGACCACCAGGGGACACAGTTGATCGGTTGACCAATCACTATGACATGCACTGACCACCAGGGGGCAGACACTCCAACCGGTAGGTGAGCTTGCTGCTGGGATCCAGTCCATTGGGACTGAGCAAGATGGGCTAGACATGCCCTAGAGCCCTCCCGGATTCCCTCCCTGGCTGGCCAACCTTCCACGTCCCTCCCCGCCCTGATTGTGCACCAGTGGGGTCCCTTAGTCTGGCCTGCACAATCTTGTAATCCGGGACCCCTCAGGGGATGTCAGAGAGCCGGTTTCAGCCCCATCAGACAAACCAGGTCGAGGGACTCTACTAGTGCATGAATTTGTGCACTGGGCTTCCAGTCAGATTATAAAATAGGACTGGTCATTCCGCTTTTGTCTGTTTTGTTTTAACTATATGTAAATGAAACAAAAGTCCTAAAAGTTATGAAAACATATTAATGAGAGTTCTATAGAATCTGAAATTATATATTGTACTTTGCCGGGAGCCGGTCCATCCTTGCTGTTTCAAGGGACCCGGCATATATGGCATACTGTTCTTAATATGTTTCCTCACCTTCTTGGCAGTATGTGTTTTAACCAAGGTCTCCTCTCTGAGAAAGGTTGTTTCCCCAGGTAGGGATTTTCCCCTGAAGTTAGGTGCCGGGAGCCGGTCCATGCTTGCTGTTTCAAGGGACCTGGCATATATGGCATACTGTTCTTAATATGTTTGCTCACCTTCTTGGCACTATGTGTTTTAACCAAGGTCTCTGAGAAAGGGTGTTTCCCCAGGTAGGGATTTTCCCCTGAAGTTAGGGAGGGAATAAAACCTCTTAACTAAGTGCCAGGCGGGTAATTAATCACTTTAACTACGAACAATCGTGCTTAAGCTACATAATCTTTACTCCCTGGAATGAAGATAAGAAACGCCCTAACCTTTGTAATAGAGATTGATAGGATTGAATCAACTGGTATAAATACAGATGCAACAAGAACAGCAAAAGACAGAACTTAGAACACAGAACTTAGAACACAGAACTAAGAAGACAGAACCTACAGACAGAAGAACTTCGCTGGAGAGAACATGGCAAAAGATCCTGGACTGAACCTGACTACAGAAATGGGCAAGAGAACCTGACTAGAACCTGGTGACTGAACCTGGCTGGAGAACCTGGACAGAACCTGGCTGGAGAACCTAGCGAGGGAACATGGCTACAGAACCTGGCTGGAGAACCTGGAGAACCTAGCAAGACAACATGGACACATAACCTGGCTGGAGATCCTAACCAAAACTTCGCTAGAGATCCTGAACAGAACTTGGCTGGAGATCCTGGCTAGAGATCCTGGCTAGGCTGCTGATCAACTGAACGCTGTCTCTGTGTCATTCCTTCTTCGCCGACTCCGTCCACACCTTTGGGGACCCCTGGACCCGCTGGGGTTGGACCCCGGCAGTTAGGGAGGGAATAAAACCCCTCAACTAAGTGCCAGGCGGGTAATTAATCACTTTAACTATGAACAATCATGCTTAAGCTACATAATCTTTACTCCCTGGAATGGAGATAAGAAACGCCCTAACCTTTGTAATAGAGATTGATAGGATTGAATCAACTGGTATAAATACAGATGTAACAAGACAGCAAGACACAGAACTTAGAACACAGAACTTAGAACACAGAACTTAGAAGACAGAACCTACACAGAGCCTAGAGACAGAAGAACTTCGCTGGAGAGAACATGGCAAAAGATCCTGGGCTGAACCTGACTACAGAAATTGGCAAGAGAACCTGACTAGAACCTGGTGACTGAACCTGGCTGGAGAACCTGGGCAGAACCTGGCTGGAGAACCTAGCGAGGGAACATGGCTACAGAACCTGGCTGGAGAACCTGGAGAACCTAGCAAGAGAACATGGACACAGAACCTGGCTGGAGAACCTAGCAAGAGAACATGGACACAGACCCTGGCAGGAGATCCGAACCAGAACTTTGCTGGAGATCGAGACCAGAACTTGGCTGAAGAACCTAGAGACAGAACCTGGCTACAGAACCTGGCTAGAACATGGCAAGAGAACCTGACTAGAACCTGGTGACTGAACCTGGCTGGAGAACCTGGACAGAACCTAGCAAGAGAACATGGACACAGAACCTGGCTGGAGATCCTGACCAGAACTTGGCTAGAGATCCTGTCTAGGCTGCTGATCAACTGAACGCTGTCTCCGTGCCATTCCTTTTTTGCCGACTCCGTCCACGCCTTTGGGAACCCCTGGACCTGCTGGGGTTGGACCCCAGCATCCAATTCCCCCTTTTTTATTTTTTAAAAGCAGGCATTAAAAAGAAAAAACCCCAAATGCTCTCTTGTATCCATTTTAAGAGTAGGATTGACGCTTTCCGCTATTACCTGAGTCCTGATCTATCACCCCAGGAAGAGCTTTGTAGGTTCTGCACTTTCCCAGGGTGGAAAGGCTGCAGTGGGGTTAAGGATAAGGCTCCTTGGGCCTACCTTCTCCCATGCCATTACATTTACCTTTCCTTCCTCAGAAAAGCATGGACATATTTCTTGTATAAAACGTTCTGTCTGACTGGGAGTAACCTTAATTCCTCTGCTAGCAAGCGTATATGTTAAAAGATCAATACAGAGTCTTTTTTCTTTAGACTCAGTATGGCACATCTTCTTAATCTAAAGATCAATACAGAGTCTTCTTTCTTTGGACTCAGTATGGCACATCTTCTCAATCTAAGTTCTGTACTATCCACCTTCTTACCCTACTCTTCTTAATCTAAAGATCAATACAGAGTCTTCTTTCTTTGGACTCAGTATGGCACATCTTCTCAATCTAAGTTCTGTACTATCCACCTTCTTACCCTACTTATCCTCTATAGGGGGGTCTGAGTACCCTGGTGGAGTCCTATCCATCCCGAGTGTCGGGGTTCTCAATGGGGGGGGCTTACCTAGGGGAATCCTGTTCCAGGAGTTCCCAAAGGTGTGGACGGAGTCGGCGAAGACTATCCACCCTCTTCCTACGGTGGAGTCCTATCCATCCTGAGAGTGGGGCTTACCTAGGGGTCCCTGTTCGGGCGCCAGATGCTGGGGTCCAACCCCAGCGGGTCCAGGGGTCCCCAAAGGTGTGGACGGAGTCGGCGAAGAAGGAAGGACACGGAGACAGTGTTCAGTTGATCAGCAGCCTAGCCAGGATCTCCAGCCAGGATCTCCAGCCAAGTTCTGGTCTGGATCTCCAGAGAGGTTCTGGTTTGGATCTCCTGCCAGGTTCTGTGTCCATGTTCTCTTGCCAGGTTCTCCAGGTTCTCTAGCCAGGTTCTGTAGCCATGTTCCCTCGCTAGGTTCTCCAGCCAGGTTCTGCCCAGGTTCTCCAGCCAGGTTCAGTCACCAGGTTCTAGTCAGGTTCTCTTGCCAATTTCTGTAGTCAGGTTCAGCCCAGGATCTTTTGCCATGTTCTCTCCAGCGAAGTTCTTCTGTCTGTAGGTTCTGTGTAGGTTCTGTCTTCTTAGTTCTGTGTTCTAAGCTCTGTATTCTAAGTTCTGTGACTTGCTGTCTTGTTACATCTGTATTTATACCAGTTGATTCAATCCTATCAATCTCTATTACAAAGGTTAGGGCATTTCTTATCTCCATTCCAGGGAGTAAAGATTATGTAGCTTAAGCATGATTGTTTGTAGTTAAAGTGATTAATTAATTACCAGCCTGGCACTTAGTTGAGGGGTTTTATTCCCTCCCTAACTTCAGGGGAAAATCCCTACCTGGGGAAACAACCTTTCTCAGAGACCTTGGTTAAAACACATAGTGCCAAGAAGGTGAGCAAACATATTAAGAACAGTATGCCATATATGCCAGGTCCTTTGAAACAGCAAGGATGGACTGGCTCCCGGCAGTACTTGAAATGGAAATAAGATTTCAACTTTTATATAAGTACACTTAACCTTATGCTAGATTTTAAAATCTTTTGCTTATATTTGGTTGTATAGGTATAAATGGAATTTTTAATGGTTGTAATATCACAGCACCATAGAATTTTAGAGCTCAAAGGCACATTGGATATCATCTGGCCTAACTTTTTTGCTTTAGAAATGAGGAGGTTGAGACTCTGAGAAGATAAACAATCATTCAGGTTTATAGAATGACCCCAGGGTCTTGACTATGGACTAGTGTACTCTGCTCCATACACTATATGTACCTCTTTGGATTCCCAAAAATGATTAACAGATTTTTTTCTTAGGGGCATTTACAAGTTATCTTTTCTATTTTAATTTTAAATAGAGCATGAAAATTGCCTTTCTTAGCAGCATAAAATTACACAAAATTCTTCATATTGGGCAGAATTCTGATAGAAAATATCAAACTTACGTAGCCTTCCCAAATGCATATGTTTATGAGACTCTTCAGCACGGAACAGGTGTGCTATGGTACAACAATTCAAAAAAGCTTGGATGCATCTTGGGCCTAACTTAATCCGGGCAGCTCGCTGTTCACAGCTTTCATCATCATTACGATAAGCTCCATCAAAACAGCATTTTTTCACTTGCATATGTTTGTATTGCGCAGCTGAAATGGTAATAATACAGGTGTCCTTGATTATGCATAAAGTCATAACACCTCACACTTAGAAGAGATCTGAAGAGATACTTCGTTTCTACTGCCATATGACCCCCTCCCCACAAGAGTCATGGTTAGTTGGCTGATCAGCCTCCCTTTGGAACTACTCTAGTAATGGGGAGAATGTGGTCTCATGAGGTAGGCAGTCCATTCTGATTCATATTAAAAGGTTAAAGGGCTTCCTGCAACTAAGCTAAATACTAAGTCTTGAAACTGGCACCTTGAGTTCAGCACCCTTTGACTATGAGAAGCACTCAAGTATTTAAAGATAGCAATCATCACTACACAAGTATTTCCTTCTTCAAGCTAAATATCCTCCCCCCCCCCCCCCCGCAACACTTTTTGTGTGATATGGTTTGAGGACCTTCACTAGTGGCATCATTCTTCATTGTAAATACTTAAATTAATGTGTCTCTTTTTGTGTCATTAGAACTTAGAATAAAAGTTAGAAATAAAATAATTCATATAAAAAATGGAAGAAATTACATTATTGTAAGCAAGATTATTAATTGAACTCAAGTCTCTGACTCCCAGCTCAATGTTCATTCTATTATAACACTGCCAATTATCAAATTTCTAGTTAAATAATTGTTTTAAATAATTTATATTAGACTTATTTCCCAAAGAGTAACCCAAAATACTATTAACTGTTAAACATATGCAATAAAAGAAATAGATTTCCAGATATACCCCCAAATTAATTAAATTATGAATGTTTTCAGAATAAAATAAAAGAATATGATTTTAATTGTTAGATTAAGTCTGTGGAGAAGAAATATTTGTGACAAATAAAAGTTTATCTTTTAGAGATAGAAATAATATTTTATTTTCTTCAGATTAAAGTTATGGCAAATGAACTATTAGATATGTTTGGAATAATTTTTTTGATTATTAGATAAATTAGATGAATTAGATGATTAGTAGGTGAATTAGATGTCTGTACATTTGTGGGTTTTTTGCCCATTCTGAGTTAGGGGACATTAGATTATGTTTAATTTTCTCCAGCTTTTGAATGATACAACCATAATCTTTTCACAATCACTTAGAGTACCTTGTTCCCCTATTTTCTCTTGCAGCATTCTTCTTGGCCTGAGAATTTCTTCACAAGGTTTATCTGTTTTGTTTTTTAAATGATAAAGACAAAAAGAAGAAAGGAAAAAAGGAGATTAAAATCTCGAAAAAAGGAAACGCCATAAAATATGTAAATATTTAAAAATTCACAAATCATTCACTCAAAATATTGAAAACATGCTTTCAACTAGGCATTACACACTATATATCTTACTATGACTTGTTTTATCTTAGGAGAGCTCATGATCTAGTGTTATATAGTTTGACTTGTTTGATCTGAGTTTGGTTTTGAATGTGGCAACCTTTTTTGAACCACTTATTATAGAGAAATAGCTAAGTATTTATAGTGAACAAAGTTTTTGTTGGATATGTTATTTTTATTATTTGTTCTTTGTACTATATTATGCTATATAATAAAAGGGTAATATGCAAATTGACCAAACAGCAGAATGACCGGTCACTATGATGTGCACTGACAACACAGGAGCTGCTCCATGGTGGTCAGTGCGCTCCCACACGGGGAGCACTGCTCAGCCACAAGCCAGGCTGACAGCTGACAAGTGCAATGGCCCGCCTCCACGGCAGCGCTAAGGATGTCCGACTGCGGCTTAGGCCCACTCCCTGCCTGTGAAAGGGCACAGGCTGGGCTGAGGGCCCCCCCCCCCCCCCCCCCCAGTGCACGAATGTCATGCCTGGCTTCTAGTTACAAATAATAGTATTAAATATACTCATGAACAATTTTAAAACCATAAAAAGAAGACAATTAAGATGTGGACTTGCTTGGCTGGTGTTGCTCAGTGGTTGAGCATCAACCTATGAACCAGGAAGTCACAGTTTGATTCCTGGTCAGGGCACATGCCCGGGTTGTGGGCTCAATCCCCAATGTTGGGTGTGCAGGAGGCAGCTGATAAATGTTTCTCTCTGATCATTTTTTTAAAATCTTCACCCAAGGATATTTTTCCATTGATTTTTAGAGAGAGGGAAAGACAGAGAGATATCAATGTGAGAGAAACACATTGATTGGTTGCCTCCTGACCAAACTGACTAGTGGTCTCTCTCATCATTGATGTTTCTGTCTCTCTCTGTGTTCTCCCTTCCTCTTTAAAATCAATTTATATAAAGATGTAGTCCTTGACCTTAGGAAGCTCCCAGTGCAGTCCTGAGAAAAGTTGTATAATCTATCTATATAAAAGCCTAAGCAACCACCACAACCAAATGGACAACCAAACAGGCTGCGTGGGGCAACCCGGCCGGCAGGAGGGTTAGTGAGGGGCAACCAAATGACCGAGCAGCAGGCTGCATGGGGCGACCCGGCCAGTAGGGGCGTTCGTGAGGGGCAACCAAACGACCGAGCAGCAGGCTGCATGGGGCAACCCGGCCGGCAGGGGGGTTAGTGAGGGGCAACCAAACGACCAAGCAGCAGGCTGCGTGGGGCAACCAGGCCATTGGGGGGGCAGTTGGGGGCAACCAGGCCAGCAGGGAGGGAGCAGTTGGGGGCGATCAGGCCGGCAGGCAGAGGCAGTTAGGGGTGACCAGGCTGGCAGCGGGGGCAGTGAGGGGCGATCAGGCCAGCAGGCAGAGCTGATTAGGGGTGATCAGGCTGGTAGGAGGGGAAGTTAGGGGTGATCAGGCAGGCAGGTAGGTGAGCAGTTAGGAGCCAGCAGTCCAGAATTGTGAGAAGGATGTCCGACTGCTGGTGTAGGCCCGATCCTGGAACTGGCAGTCGGGCATCCCCCAAGGGGTCCTGGATTGAAGAGGGTGCAGGCTCAGCCGAGGGGAACCCCTCCTGTGCATGAATTTCATGCACCGGGTCTCTAGTTCAGTATAAGAATGTGCAGTGATGCACTCCTATTGTATTACTTATAAACAGAGCTAGTCCCTACAATATTTTCTCTATCAAAGGAGGAGGGAATGATTAATTTTATGGGGGAAAGAATCCTCATAGAGGAGATGATTCTTATACTAGCTTCTCCAGGCTAATAAAAGGAAAAGCAGTTCTGATGCAGAAAGGACCAAAAGTGTAATAGCATAGTTCCATCCAAGAACTACACTTGGTTCTATATAGCTTAAACATAAGGTAAGGTAAGGTAGAGTAGGATGAGAAATAGTTGGAGAGAAGATCATAGGAGGCTTTGAGTACTTCATTTAAAAAAAAGTGTACTTCATTTTAAAGGCTAATGAAATGTCATTCTAATATCAGTGTAGAGAATATTCTGGAGAACGAACAAAAATGAGACCTAGGAGGCAAATAGTCTATGTAAGTTTCAATATCAATTTGAAGAATAAACAAAAAGTGCTGAGAGTTTTACCATTTTCTTGGGTGTCATCTGCATTTGCATTGGTGAGAAAGGTGAGTCCAGCCAGGCGGAATACCTCTGCATTGTTGCGGCCACCACCTGCCCCACAGCCCAGGTCACTCTTCTCTAAAGCTTGAAATACCTGTCCAGACAGCCAAAATGTTGAGCTTATTCAGATATAGAAATCATTCCTCTGAAGAACCAAAGGTGTGAGTTCATGGTTATAACAAACTTGTGAAATTATCATTTATCAAATGGCCAAAGTCCAAATTTCCCAACTTCATTCCTTTAGTTTGCCCTTTTACATTTTTAAAATATATACCTATTCAAAATTAAACCAAGAACTAAGTCTTAAGCTTTGGTGAGGAGCTTTTTAGAAACTGATCCATGGTGTTTTGTACTTAGATGCATGCTGCAATTGATAGAGCAGGCAGTTAGGCATGAGCAGAACATGAAAGATAGGCCAGATATGGAATGTCAACAGGGCAGAGAGTCTTAGGTGCCTAGCAATTAGCAAAACTGGGAAACAAATATTATAGGCTAGGACATTACCCTCAGGTGACCTTTCTTCCCCTAGCGTTGTAAGTCATATGGTTTAGACTCCCTTAGAGGAGGAAGGGATCAGGCGATAGTCTCATATGACTCCCATACAAGCCCTTGCATGATGACTCCCTTAAGCTAATATTAAGCCCTCAGGACAATGAGGTTCTGACTTGCATCAAATAATCTTAGGAACAAAGTCTCATGTCTACTGACCACAGAGACAGAGTTTTGGTCAAAGTAGAGATAACATCTAGGCCTCAGTTGTGTTTCAGCTCCAGGCACAGAAAAGCAGCAAAACTAGATGAAGCCATGCCATGGTTGACATCAGGATCAGATGCAATAACTAATGACTCCCATCCATAGTATCAACCAATCAGTAGAGACCACAATCCTGAAAGGACATACTTGGAAAGTTGATAAAATATTTCCCCTAAAATCCCTGCCTTTGGGAAAAAACAGATAAAAAGCCTTAATTCAATGGACACAGGGTTCTCTCTGCATCCCCTCTCCTCTCCTCTCCTCTCTTTCCTTCTTTTTCCTTTCTCTCTCTCTCTCTCTCTCTCTCTCTCTCTCTCTCTCTCTCTCTCTCTTCCTGCACCTTTCCCCACCCCCTTCTTTCCTTAGGTATGGTCTCTCTGGACCACACCTTCACCTTTCCCCTTTTCTTCTCTCAGCCCTGTTATCTTTGCTTTCTCCCTCCCAAGCTCCAAGAGTCCTTCTATTGCCGTAGACCAATTCCAGCATGTCATAATTTCAAGAGTTTCATCAAAAGGTTGATGAAACTTGGGGACTCAACAGGGTTGAGTCACGCATGTAGTCACCTGTTGGGAATGGCTAAAGGCATTTCCCCAAACTTGAATAGGAAACTGATTGTGGCTGCCAGACAGTTAAAGGGCATCTTACTCTACATGTCATTGCCTCCTACTGGCCAAACACCTGTACAGCCATAGGCTATTCCCCACACTGACAATGCTTCTGTACCCTTTGAAACCTTACCCTCTGAAGTGTATTATCTTCACCTTGCCTGAGGACAAATTGTGTTAATAAAAGCAAGGGTCCTAGACAAGGAGGCAGTCTTCAGTTCCTTTAGCTGAAGCTCCTCTGACCCCCAATGCCTTTCAAAATTATATCTCATCTCCAAACTCTTTATTAGTCCCTGGATTTCTATGTCATCTACGCACAGCGCCTTTTCCAGATTCCTGAACCCTTCTTGATGCTGGGACATGGACCCTGTCATTCTATTGCCTCTGTAACTTGTTACTTGAGTCCATGCATCCCACAGGACAATGGCTTACCTTCCTAAGAACCACTATTAGAGTACAGATTTTGATTATTAAAAAAAAGTCATTTTTATGAGACAAAATTTCTTCTACCTCTGTGACTTTCTCGCATCAGAGTTCTTGGCTCTGAATTCTTAGCCAAACTCAAGAACTAAGATCTAGCCCAGCCAGTGTGGTTCAGTGGTTGAGTGTCAACCTATGAACCAGGAGGTCACAGTTCAATCCTGGTCAAAGCACATGCCTAGGTCTCGGGCTCCATCTCTAGTGTTGGGAATGTATGAGGTGGCTGATCAATGATTCCATTTCATCACTGATGTTTCTATCTCTCTCTCCCTCTCCCTTCCTCTCTGAAATCAATCCTATCTAATAAAAGGTAATATGCAAATTAACCATCACTCCATCACAAAAGATGGCGGAGCCCATAGCCACAAGATGAAGGCACCCAGTCCTCTCAGTCCCGCCAGAGTCCCCCAGTCCCGGGGGAGAGGGGCGGCCGCTAAGAGCGGGCAGTGTGAGTGGCCTGTTGGAATGCTTGCTTCATCGCCGCGGCGATGAGACAAGCGTTCCACTGTGGCTGCGGAGGGCCTCTGGGCAGCAGGCACGGAGTGGTGGGGGGTGGGGGTGGGGATAATGCTTGTGTCGTTGCTCTGGCAATGAGGCAAGCATTCTGCGCCCAGCTGCAGATGGGCCTCTGGGCCGCAGAGAGCCTCTGCGCAGTGGGCATGGAGCAGCCAGGCCCCACAGAGAGCTACTGGCGCACAGATTCATGCACAGGGCTACTAGTGTGTGTGTGTGTGTGTGTCTGTATACACACACTAAGGAATAACTCCACTGTTAACACAATTAATATAATATCTTCCCCCAAATAAAAGAAAAATAAATGGGTGAATGCATAAATGAGTGAATTAGCAAACAAATTAATTTTTACATTGCTTAAAATAAACAAGCAAAAAGAGCACAACCTCTTGTGTTTGGGGGAGAAGGGCTCTAGGTTCTAAGTGGTGAGAATTTGTTTGGGGTGCTTATTCTAGTTTTAATGTTGATCCCAAATGTTTTCCTTTCTGAATGTTTTTTAGTTTCTTAGTTCTTTCTTCCCTGTTCAAAGAAATTCAAGCCTTAGGAAACATAGCAGAGTATAGGGGAGAGAAATGGGAACTTAGGGGAAATGAATCATTTTAAAATTCTTCTGTCACAGACTTTTATGAAAGTAAAAATACAAAAACAAAACAAAACAAAAACTCAGAGGTTGCCCATCCAGTCTTTTCCTGTGCTGCTACTATACATGTCCACACCCATATCCCCAAACCCCTGTCAATTGATGGCACTTTTGTTCCATGAATGTAATTTCTATCACAGTCATATGCCTCAAGTGCTTAACTCTACACCTGGAAGAACAAGAAAGGATGGACTTGTGCTTTGGGGAATAACATGACAATGGCTTACTTTCCTAAGAATCACTGTTAGAGTACAGATTTTGATTATGGAAAAGCAGGCCTATTCTTCCCTTAATTCTTCCCTCACAACCTACCTTAGGGGCCATACTTTTTTGAAGCACTGCACAGAGCCACCCATGCACCATAACCAAGGTTATGCACTACTTAACTTTTTCTAGGGACTTCTTGGCCTTCCTTTGGACTCCATATATAGCACTGTCCACTGCTGCTAACGCCACCCAGGAATCTGAGTGAGTTGCCAAATTAAGAGATACATGTTCACCTGGAGAGTATGAATCTGTACCTGGAGACAGATAAACCTAAAAAATCATTTGAAAAAGAAAAAAAAAAGGTCATTTTTGTGAGATAAAATTTCATAGGTTGCTGGTTATAGTCTCCTTTTTTCAGAAAAAAAATTTGATTGTGACATAATTTGTTGCTTACCTGAAGCTGGTTGCCACATTTTTCTTCAATATTTAACCAGATTGAGTCAGACACTAATTCTGCTGTCTGCTCTCCTGTGACGATGTAATAGACCAGGATACGGGCTGAAGGAACCATGTTCAGTGTCACCGGAGCATTTATACTTTGATAAGGGGAATCTGGAAGTTTCTCCCTTGTGCCAAAGTGAACGATTTTGCCCTTAGATAAAATCTAAAAATAAAGGGTGGCAACAACAATAACTACAAACACAAAACCTTTGTTTCAGGATGGAGCTTGGAGCTGGAATAGAAATTATATTAAAGAAAAAGAAAGTTAAGTTGTATGAGCCTACTGTGTGTCAGAAACTTTTATATTTACTTTAACTCCTTCAATTGTTATAATAACCAGTAGGATAGAAATATTATTTCCATTGGGCAAAAGAAGGGACTGAGGCTCAGGAATTAACAAAATGTCATACCGATTTTAGTTCAAAATCACATAATTAGGAAAATAGAGAACTAACAAATCTGTTTAAAGTCACTACAATGTCCTTTGTTTTATGGATTTAAAAAATAGACAAGTGGAGTACATCTTATTAAGGAATAAACTTTTAAAAGCAGAGGTTAGCTTCTAAGTTGGAAGCATAAGTTTTTTTTTTAATTACAAATTACATGAAGCCAAAATATCCTAAAAGATCTCTTAAGTTGTCCTTGGCAGGACTACATATAGTAGACAGAAAGTTTTGGTCCCTAAATAGGTCCCCTACTTCTTTATCAGCCAATACGATCTTTGATCCTCACTTATTTTTTTTTTTAATATATTTTATTGATTTTTTACAGAGAGGAAGGGAGAGAGATAGAGAGTCAGAAACATCGATGAGAGAGAAACATCGATCAGCTGCCTCCTGCACATCTCCCACTGGGGATATGACTGCAACCCAGGTACATGCCCTTGACCGGAATCGAACCTGGGACCTTTCAGTCCGCAGGCCGACGCTCTATCCACTGAGCCAAACCGGTTTCGGCACTCACTTATTTTTTTTAATTTATTTCTAAAAAATGTAAAAAATCCATCACCACCATCTGTTTGGCTTGCCCACTGGAATAACTCATTCCATTTCTTTGACAATTGTCAGGAAGCCCTTAACATTTTTCACACATTCTTCCCTAGATTTCACAGACAGGCATGACTGACCACCTCTGCTAACATAAGTGATTTAATAAGGAATGTTATAGAGCTATAGAACTGGAGCAGGTATGATATAACTCAACACTTAATAACAGGATTTGGATTCTCCTTTTATGCCAGTGAAAAGCATATATTTTAAATAGATCTAGGCATGTAATCTTTGGCCATGATATAGAGCATAGGTAACATGAGAATTTAATTAGGCTCTCTCTGAGGAGTAGCCAGCTGTCTTTGGTGAAAGGAGATCAGACAAGGAATTAGAGGTTCCCAGTTCAAATCAAAAGCTTCCTTTTCTAATCTGAGTGACCATGGCAAGTCTTTTAACTTATTTGTCTCTCAGTTTCCTCATCAATGAAATGGTCATGAAAATCATGCCCAATCTCAAAGGTTTTTTAAAAACTGGTTATCGAATTAGATGATGTTGTTGAAATGCTTTGTTAAAACAAATTTTAGGGATCATTATAATGTTTCTCTATGAGCAAAGGAAAATGTCCAGGTGGGGAAATAAATGCAATTTTATCATTATTTACTTACCAAGTAATTATAGTGAGTTATTTTGTCAATATATGGACTTTTGGGGGTAACAATAATATTCAGATTTTCTCCTACGAGCATAGGTTTATAGTTTCCAGTCCAGTCAATATAAAGGTAACTTTGGCTGAGAGATGAGTATGTTACTGCTCTGTAATCTTTGCTGGCCTGATTTTCTTCTGGAAGATCTGGATCATCGGTCCTGACCTAAAAGGGAACATTTCAAAGAAGACTTGTTGATTGTGATAAAATGTTTTATGTAAAATATACCTTTTAAATTCCTTTGCTTTCTAAATTCCACACCACCAAATGCTGAAGAAAGGAGCACCTCCACTACTCCCAGGTTTATACTGCTGTGGTATTAAGTAACTTTATAAAGTCTATGGACAATCATTAGAATCATATGGAATTATGGGCTGTGGTGGGCAAGTCTGGTGAAGTGAAGATAGAAAGATGCTCCAGGAACAAATATTGGTACCCTTCCTGAAATGTAATGGCAAGTTGGGGATTCCTCTTCTTATGTGTTAGGATGGCAGAAATTTGGAGTAGTGGTGGGGAGGTCATGAGGACTGGAGGATAGGAGTTGTGAATGGACATCACAGAGATTCTCTGGCCCAATTTCATTGTGAAGTGATAGTACAGGTGTAGTGCTTCATGCAGCTAGAAACTTAGACATTATTTGCTAGGAGAGATGACTATTAAGTGAGCTCCAAGGTGTAGTGCTTCATGCAGCTAGAAAAAAAGGGAGGCTCCCACATTTAACCCTTTTATGGCCCTGAAAAGAGATAAAAATTGGGGGAAAGAATATTCCAACCACTGACTTCCACTGCTGTACCTATTCTGAAGCTTCTAGATTCTAATACAGTCTTACTAAAGTAAGAGAAAATAATTAATTCCCAAATAAAAAAAAGTGATAGATTTATCCTCCTCTAGTGCCATTTTTATTTATTTTGGGGTGCAAAATTGTGGAATTGTTCACTGGACTTAAGTATAAAATCTGCTGCATAAGTTCTGCACACTAGCCAAAGCATACAGTCAAAAGTGGACACTGTCCTAGAAAATTTAACAGAATTCAGCTCACAGTAAACTCCAGCGCTGTCACTCCAGATGGGAGATTCACCACAAATGAAGCTACTCCATCACTGGAACCTGTTACACTTTTCTTTGACTCCAACTCAGCCGTCTCTTGGTTGTCACTGACCGTTTGTGCACTCAGGGTCACTGGCACCCCTCCTATTAACTCATCAAGCGAATCCTTAACTTGCACCTGTTTGTCAGAACAGTCCAAATTCAATTCAACAGCTCGGCATTTGTTTTAAAGCATAACAATTCTGAAATAATTTTTTTCCTCCCCATCAAAGTGTAAGTTATTCATGTTTAATTCAGTATAGAGAAGTGTATTCTCAGCTTATAAAAAGGTTTAATTCTATTTAGTTAAATTATTTTTAAATAGATTCTCTTGTATTTCAAGCAGCTCAAAACACAAATATTATTTTTTTAATTATGCCACGTAGATGTGATAGGTCTTCTGTTATCTAACGTCCATGTTGGTTTAGGACTAAATAAAAGAGAAAAATGAGACAGTAACTTCTGGGAATGATTCTCTTGGATATGAGAAACAAGAAATGCATCCTTCTTTCTCTTAACCTATACCTCTCACTGTCATGCATATAATCATATATACTTTCCACAAATATATACCTTATATTATTTTATTTTTATATTGCTATTAAAAGCCAGTGACCTACAGTAAGTAATAAGTAAAACATTTTAATTATACTAAATTTGATTTTTATTTTTTTTTTTTTTTTTTTTTTTTTTTTTTTTTTTTTAGAGAAACCAAGTAAATTGTCCGGTAGAATGTTTCACATTCTTTTTTTTATTTTTTATTTTTTTTTATTTTTATTTTTTTTATTGCTTAAAGTATTACAAAGGGTATTACATATGTGTCCATTTTTATCCCCCCGCCCTAGACAGTCCCCTAGCCTCCCCTATCCCCCAATGTCTTATGTCCACTGGTTATGCTTCTATGCATGCATACAAGTCCTTTAGTTGATCTCTTACCCCCCTACCTCCTGCCCCGCAACCCTCCCCGGCCTTCCTGCTGCAGTTTGACAATCTGTTTGAGGCAGCTCTGCCTCTGTATCTATTATTGTTCAAAAGTTTATAATGGTCTCTATTATCCATGAATGAGTGAGATCATGTGGTATTTTTCCTTCATTGACTGGCTTATTTCACTTAGCATAATGCTCTCCAGTTCCATCCATGACGTTGCAAATGGTAAGAGTTCCTTCCTTTTTAGAGCAGCATAGTATTCCATCGTGTAGATGTACCACAGTTTTCTAATCCATTCATCTACTGATGGGCACTTAGGCTGTTTCCAGATCTTAGCTATGGTGAATTGTGCTGCTATGAACATAGGGGTGCATATATCCTTTCTGATTGGTGTTTCTGGTTTCTTGGGATATATTCCTAGAAGTGGGATCACAGGGTCAAATGGGAGTTCCATTTTCAGTTTTTTAAGGAAACTCCATACTGTCTTCCATAGTGGCTGCACCAGTCTGCATTCCCACCAGCAGTGCACAAGTGTTCCTTTTTCTCCACATCCTCTCCAGCACTTGTCGTTTGTTGATTTGTTGATGATAGCCAGTCTGACAGGTGTGAGATGGTACCTCATTGTTGTTTTGATTTGCATCTCTCGGATGATTAGTGACTTTGAGCATGTTTCATATGTCTCTTGGCTTTCTGAATGTCCTCTTTTGAAAGGTGTCTATTTAGGTCCTTTGCCCATTTTTTGATTGGATTGTTTATCTTCCTTTTGTTAAGTTGTATGAGTTCCCTATAAATTTTGGAGATTAGGCCCTTATCGGATATGACATTGGCAAATATGTTTTCCCACACAGTGGGTTTTCTCGTTGTTTTGTTGATGGTTTCTTTTGCTGTGCAGAAGCTTTTTATTTTGATGTAGTCCCATTTGTTCATTTTCTCTTTAGTTTCAAGTGCCCTAGGAGCTGTATCAGTGAAGAAATTGCTTCGGCATATGTCTGAGATTTTGTTGCCTTTGGATTCTTCTAGAATTTTTATAGTTTCCTGTCGTACATTTAAGTCCTTTATCCATTTTGAGTTTATTTTTGTATATGGTGTAAGTTGGTGGTCTAGTTTCATTTTCTTGCATATATCTGTCCAATTTTCCCAGCACCATTTATTGAAGAGACTATCTTGGCTCCATTGTATGTTCTTGCCTCCTTTGTCAAATATTAATTGAGCATATTGGTTCGGGCCGCTAAATTTGATTTTTAAAAGCACATTTTCACAGAATAAAAAGACCATCCCGACTTTCTAAACTGAGGACAGGGAACAAAAATTTTTACTTTAAAAATCTAATGTAACCTATTACATGTAATAAAATATATATACTAAATGTAATAAAAAGTCAAGTGAATATTTTAATTCCATACTGTCAGTATTTATTAAATGAAAAATAGAGGAAGGAAAGAAAACATTAAATAGGAAGGAGGAAGCAAAAAAGACAGAGAAAAGATAGTTAGGATGAGTCAAGATGGAAAGGATGGAGAACAATACAGACAGATGTGATCAGACAGTTATGCACAAGGAGAATACAGAGTGAAAAGCACAGAGGTACAAACTCAGACACACACAGGAAGTAAAAAATTACAAGAGACAGGGGTTTCTTTTCAAAGAATGATATCTCCATCTTAAGGCTTTTTAGGAACATGACACCAAATAGTTTTAAATATTAGTTTTTTTAAACTATAGACTTATGGGGTTTTATTTATACACTAGAGGCCCGTTGCATGAAGAGATTCGTGCAATAGGCCTTCCCTTCCCCTGGCTGTTGGCACCAGTTTTCCTCCGGCTCCGGTTTTCCTCTGGCACCCGGGACCCAGGCCTTCGCTCCTCCGGCCCAGAGCCTTCCATCTTTGCTCCACCAGTTCGTGCCTATGTATGCAAATTAATCGCCATCTTTGTTGGGTTAATTTGCATGCTCTCCTGATTGGCTGGTGAGCATAGCAGAGGGATGGTCAATTTACATATTTGTCTATTATCAGGCAAGATAATTTAATGCAATGCTTATTTAGGGAATGCCTAACATCTTAAATAATGACACTTGCCCTAAGGCTGAAACTGGCCTGCAGTTTCCCACCCCTGTCCACGTCCATAGGAGAGGCAACTTTTACAGAATGAGTTCCTTCCATGATTTGCCTCTCTAGGCTTCTTCCCCTATTTGCTACCCCCATGTTTTCTGTAAAAAGAAAAAGACAATTATATTCAGCAGTTTCTCTTCCTACCCCCGCCCCCCACCTACCTTGATAGAATATGGAATTCCAGGCCTCAAGAAAAGAGGAGTAGCAACCAAATACAGTTTGTAGGGAGAGAGGACATATTTGATGGCAGAAAATTCTGCCTCTTCAGAAAATCCACCTAAAGAAATGACAAGGATCATGTTGACCTTTTTAAGGAGAATATTATCTACACTGGGATCTATTTTATGTCACTACGACTTCACAGACTTGTTCTTTCACTCACTCCATTTTGCACTCATTCATTTATCAATTGTAAGTAGGACATAGGTCAGGGGTGGGCAAACTTTTTGACTTGAGGGCCACAATGGGTTCTTAAACTGGACCGGAGGGCCGGAACAAAAGCATGGATGGAGTGTTTGTGTGAACTAATATAAATTCAAAGTAAACATCATTACATAAAAGGGTATGGTCTTTTTTTTTTTTAGTTTTATTCATTTCAAACGGGCCGGATCTGGCCCATGGGCCGTAGTTTGCCCATGGCTGACATAGGTCTTGGTTCAGAGGGGCAGTGAAGAGAAGAGTTTAAACGTCAGGAGTTTTCAAAGCCTATGTACAAGGCCTATATGTAAATATCTCCCATGTAGAATTAGAGCTATAGAGCTGAGTTGAGGAAGAATGCAAAGAAGGGACACTACTTTTCGTCAGCGGTCTGAGTTTCAGTTGAGTATGTATAAAGGATTAAGGAGAGAAGGAAAGGATAGGCCAGAGATTGAGCCTTACAGGGGATTTACCATTAGAGTGGAGAAATGTAGAGAGAAATGTAGAGGAAGTCAGAAAAGAGTGCTTGAGGTAGAGAGAATCAAAGAATGATATCTCCATCTTAAGGCTTTTTAGGAACATACTACCAAATAGTTTTAAATGTTAGTTTTTTAAAACTATAGTCTTACGGGGTTTTATTTATATATAATTTAATGCAATGCTTATTTAGGGAATGCCTAACATCTCAAATAATGACACTTGCCCTAAGGCTAAAGCTGGCCTGCAGTTTCCCATTGAGGGTTCACTGGTAAGTGCCCAATAGCATTACCCTCCAGCTAAACTTAAGCTAAACTATTAAAAATAACACACAAATTTCTAGTTTCCCCAAACCCCTTCCCAATATTACATCCCTAATACTCCCTATATTTCAGCTAACTGGATAATCTGTCATTATCAAAGATCAAGATTCACTTTCCACCCTTGGTATGTCCCTGTATAGAGGATGCTCACTTCACCCTGTCTACCATTCTTGTCTCAAAACCCTACTTATCCTGCAAGACTGATCATCTTTAGAACACTGTTCTTGGATGCTCAACCATCACCTAAGAGCTCACCTTCCTCTCAAGGTCAATAACATTAACTATTGAGCTAAAAGCATACATAGAATTCCTTCGTGTTATAGAATGCTTTGTTTACTTGTATTATAACTGATGCTAGTATGCTGTTAGCCTTTGAGTGCTGGTATTATACATCATTCATATTTGGAAGCCTGCATGCTTAGCAACACTCTTTGACTATTTTATAAATATTTATTAAACTGAATTATTTGAAATAAATTGAGTAAAAATGAAAATAAGAAACATTAAAATAATGATAAAAACAACAGCCAGGGCAAGGAGTATTAAGTTATCCTCATTACCCAACATCTACTGGACATCTGATATATACAAGGTGCTCAATATCTGAATAATTACCTCCATTCTTCATTCTTCTATTCTAGAAGTACAAATTTAAAGAGGCCTTAGGGTTTAACTTTAACTTTACAAAAAAAAAAGAAAGAAAGAAAGAAAGAAAAAGAAAAGACTCAGTATGGTTAAATTATTTGTTCAAGGTTAGTTGGGGGTTAAATATGAACCTGAAAATATAAAGAACATTGATAATCAAAACATACCAGAAGCAAGACAATTTGACTCAATGTGGAATAATAATTACTATTAAAAACCATTGGAGTGGGGTTGAGAGCACTATAAAAGATGTTAAGGATGCTAAGAAAGTAGTAGGTGGACCCAAGAAGGAGGAGGAGGAAAAGAACTAGAAAGAGGAGGAGGAGGGCCAACACTAATATGGTCCTCATTATGTAACAGGTACTGTTTTATAAAATGTTTTTATTTTAGAGAGAGAAAGGGAGAGGGAAAGGAAGGAAGGAATGGAGAAAGGAAGAGAGAGGTTAGAGAGAAACATCAATTGGCTGCCTCCTGCATGCCCCCTACTGAAACCCAGGCATGTGCCCTGACCAGGAATAAACCAGAGACCTTTGGGTGCATGGGATGATGACAATCAACTGAGCCACATTGGCCAGGGCATGACAAGTATTGTTTTAAGTGCTTTGGGTATATTGACTCTACAACCCTAACCACAACCCTATGAAGTATATACTATTATTGTACCCACTTTAAAAACACTATTGCCGCCGAAACCGGTTTGGCTCAGTGGACAGAGCGTTGGCCTGAGGACTCCCAGGTTCGATTCCGGTCAAGGGCATGTGCCTGGGTTGCAGGCACATCCCCGGTAGGAGATGTGCAGGAGGCAGCTGATCAATGTTTCTCTCTCATCGATGTTTCTGACTCTCTATTCTCTCTCCCTTCCTCTCTGTAAAAAATCAATAAAATATATTTAAAAAAACAAACAAACAAACAACAAAAAAAACACTATTGCCTCCAATTTTAGACAGAATTTCTGAACATTATGGCTTGAAAAAGACTTTAGATGACATTTGGTTCAACTTCATCATTGCACAGATAAGGAGACTGATAATGATAATAACTTCCATTTGAATACTACTTTATCAAACATTTTTACATACATAATTTCATTTTTATTTTGTTTCTCACCAGGTGAGAACATTAGGGTGCCAGATGTTCAAGCCAGATAGCCTGCAGAGCCACTCAGGATATCAACTGGGCAGGTGTTATCCTGCAGTTGAAGCAATGGGAACCCAATGACTAGAGTGGCAAAACTATATTCTAACCCTAGCTTTTAATGACACAAAAGTAAAATTTAAATATGAAAGAACTGTAGAAATCATTTATACCTTTAATATACTGTCTAAATATTTCCCAAGATAAAGGAAGGAAGGAAGGAAGGAAGGAAGGAAGGAAGGAAGGAAGGAAGGAAGGAAGAAAGAAAGAAAGAAAGAAAGAAAGAAAGAAAGAAAGAAAGAAAGAAAGAAAGAAAGGAAAGAAAGAAGGAAGGAAAGAAGGAAGGAAGGAAGGAAGGAAGAAAGAAAGAAAGAAAAAGAGAAACTTACCTGAAGACTCTATGACTGTTACACCAATATAAAGGTACTTATCGTTTAAGTCTTCCAGACTGCTGTAGGACAATTCTTTAACTGCCATTTCAGAGTTCAGTGTGACTTTAGCAACTCCATTTATCAGCTTTTTAAAGGGGGAAAATGAAAGAGTTATTTCAGAGAAAAACTTATAAGGAAAAATTAACAAAATCTGCATTTACTAGCCTCTCATAGTAAAGGCCAATGTCCGAAGAATGGTTGAGCATCAGCAATAAAGTAAATGACTGATCTAAAATTAAGCCCAGAATGTTATTTTCTAATTTATATTATTGAATTATAGACATGGGGAGTCTTAAACATCATTTGGTTCAACTAGGTCTTTTTTGTACTAGCTGACAAAGATGTCTTCTTCCAATCCCTGAGTCATCATCTATCTTCCTAGGCCTCTCGGCTTACTTTTGCTCTTAACTGAGAGCTTGTTGGGTTTTACATTTAGTTTGTGCTTTGCTGCTTACATATTGAAATATTAATTAAAAACATACAATGAGTAAAGGGATACAGGGTTAAGTCATACTGTATCATTTAATTATTAAGCATAATAGTAAAATGGACTTTGCCTTATTTTTTTCTTCTAAAATTAAATAACTTGAAGCCAGGGATTTTTGTATTATTTGACTTTACGTCTCAGTGTCTAGCATAGAATCATTAAAAAAAATCTTTATTGTTGAAAGTATTATAGAGGTCCCCCCCCCCCCCCCCCGCACACCCCCCGCTCTTGACCTCCTCTACCTACCACATTCACATCCCCTCCCCTGGCCTTCCCCACACTATTGTTTGTCCATGGGCTATGCATATAAGTTCTTTGGTTAATCTCTTCTGGCTGCCCCCGCTTCCCTCTAAAATACATCTGTTGTATAGCATAGAATCTTGCATTAAAAAGAGGCATCTAGCCCTAGCAGGTTTTGCTCAGGGGTTAGAGCTTTGGCCTACAGACTGAAAAGTCCTGGGTTTGATTCTAGTCAAGGGCACATGCCCATGCTGTGGGCTTGATCCCCAGTGAGGGGCATGCAGGAGGCAGCCAATCAATGATTCTCTCTCATCATTGATGTTTCTATCTCTCCCTTTCCCTTCCTCTCTGAAATCAATAAAAAATCCTATATAATAAAAGGGTAATATGCAAATTGACCGAAGGGCGGAATGACTGGTCACTAAGCCGTGCACTGACCACCAGGGGGCAGACGCTCAACACAGAAGCTGCCCCCTGGTGGTCAGTGTGCTCCCACAGGGGGAGCACCACTCAGCCAGAAGCCCAGAAGTCAGGCTCATGGTTGGCAAGCACAGTGGTGGTGACGGCTGCACTAAGGATGTCCGACTGCCTTGGGGAGTGGGCCTAAACCATCAGTCGGACATCTTCCAAGGACTCCCAGACTGCGAGAGGGTGCAGGCCGGGCTGAGGGACCACCCCCCCGCCAAGTGTACGAATCTCGTGCACCAGTCATCTAATATATATATATATATATATGTATATATATGTATATATATATATGTATACACACACACACACACACACACACACACACACATACATACATACTAGGGGCCCGGTGCACAAAGATTCGTGCATGGGGCGGGGGTAGGTAGGGTCCCTCAGCCCGACCTGCACCCTCTCCAATCTGGGAGCCCTCAGGGGAGCCCACTCCAATCCGGGAGTTTCTGTCTGTCTTTGAAACCATATGAACAAATTGTCTGAGACCCCCAACCCAGTTTGGTTTGTTGCTCACAGAATAATAGAGGCATTTTTTTTCTTTGCTTCATTGGTGGAGATTTCCTGGAAGTTTTAGAATATCTTCCCTTTAATTTTTCCTAGACACTCTGATTTTACTTATGTTTCTCATCTTTGCTTACCCTCCATCCCCCACTGCAACTGTAACTTGCTCTAGGCTCACTTTGCTCTCGTGTAGGAGATCCATCTGCCACCAGAACTATGATTCCCAGCATTCCTGGTGCTCCCTGTGCTCTGGGCTTCCACTTCCATCCTGGGGCTGCCATTAGAACTACTATTCCCAGAATTCCTGGTGCTCCCCACGCTGGGAGCGACTGAGGGAGCCATGGCCCCCCAAGCCTCCGGCTCTCCTGCTCTGCTCTCTGCCCGGGCGCCTGTGTATGCAAATTAACCCACCATCTTTGTTGGGTTAATTTGCATATTCACCTGATTGGCTGGTGAATATAGCGAAGGGATGGTCAATTTACATGTTTCTCTTTTATTATATAGGATATTTTTTAAAGAGGCATCTAATTTATATCTTAAACAAATAAAAGTGTCTTTCGAAAAAGCAAAGGCTAAATAACTGGTGATGCAAACTACATGAATATATAACACTGAGTAGAATGACATGAGTCCTTATCATCTGTGGAATAATGTAAAAATCAATGAATAAGAGAAAAGGGGACCAGGGCTCTAATCTGGTCCCAGCAACCACTAGCTCTTACTTAACCTTGGACAAGTAACTTCCCAATAAATTGGTTATTGGTGGAAATGCAGTGTCCACCACTGAAAGTGAGGTATCCCTTTCCCTACTAGGTGCTGAAGGGTCAGATCCTCATGATATCTCAAGAAAAAGAATTTTCTGAGATTTACACCAGTGGATGAGTGATTTTTACTTGTGTGAAATTATATTCTTGTGTCTGTAAAGTCCCATTTCCCTTAAACCAGTCCTGGAAGAAGTGCAGCTAGGGATTCAGTAGAACAAGAAGCAAAGCCAGTGTGCCGAGATTCTGGTCCATGGTGGAGCTGGGTCTGGTGTAGCATTAGGCTAGTTATAGTCCATCAGTCCAGTGTGTCTGTTACCCATGGGCCATGTGGGCAAATGCAGGAGTGTGAGAGCCCCTGCTGGCCAGGAATCAAGCAAAAGAGATAACTCCTTTATTTAAGAAATTTAAATATCTCAAATTTCATGCCTTTGCAGTGGCCACGCCTACTCTGGCCAATGACGTATTTCCAGGTATGAATGACAGGCAAATACCTTCCCTATTTCACTCAGACTTTATTGGGCATGTGTCTAAATTGCAGCTTTCTGGGAAAGCTGCACAAATGGAATGCCTGTACTATTTGGCTTTCCCTCTTCTCCTTTGCTATTAATTAATAACTGGGTTCATTACAATGGTATCAAATTCATTCACTCATAAGTACATAGAGAGTAGTACCTACTATTTGCCAGGAACCATGCTGGCTCTGAGTATATAGTGGGAACAATTCAGATTCACAAGGGGTTTAGTGTAGACAATGATAGAAAAGTAAATAAACCATTACTATTAACATTTTAGAAGGATAACTCTGTTGGGGGGTGCTGCTCTGTACATTGTAGGAGTGTAGCAGCACTCCTGATCTCTATCTATGAAATGCCAGTAGCATCTTCTTCCCCAGTTATGACAATGACAAATGTCTGTGGGACATCTCAAAATTTCCCCTTAGTGGTAAAAATAGTCCCTGGTTGAGAATAAATCATAAAACGTACTCTACTAAGAGAGGCTCAAGGCCTAAGGGAGTACCTGGCAGAGGCAGTTAACCTAGTTGAGAGGAATCAGGGAGACTTCCCAAGAAAAGGTGTCAAGGTTGAGACTTAAAGTCTGAGGAGGAATTAGCCAGACAAAGAAGAGGTTGGAGGGGACAAAGGGGAAGAGTATTCTCAAGCAGGAGCGGTATTGCAAAGACCTGGAAGCAAGAGAGACTAGTGTAAGGGAGAGGAAGGCGGGAAGTGCCAGGAGATAGGCTGGCGAGGGAGGCTGATGTCATGGCAAGTTGGCTTTATCCTAAGGACAATAAGAAGCCAATGGAGAGTTTTCAGCTTCCATTTCCCATCCCTATATAAAATTAGGGATCAGACTAGATAATTTTAAAGTTATTTTCCATCTCTAGCATTCATAATGTATCTTTAGGTTCGACTGAACATCTTAACATCTTACCATTGTGCTTCGCATTGCCTTTTCCATCATTACTTTGTTATCATCATGTAAGTCATCTTTTATTCCAAAAGAGACAAAAACTTCAGCCTCAGCAACTACTTTGTTATAAAAATACCTGTCAAACAATAATACCATAAGATTATTTGGCTATCAAGGTTATAAAAATAAAATTCAGATAAACTAACAATTTGAAATTACATTGTATACTTGATACACTTTAAATTGTCTTCCATCTACAATTACATTTCATCCTCATAAAATTACAATAATAAAGCCAAAGTGCAGGTTTTATGACTATGTGCTTGATGAAAAAAACTGATCTTGAGGAAATCAAAAGACTCAGGTCCGGAGCCCTTTCCTACAGAACACATAGCTTCCTTGATGATTTTGATGTCAGTGAGGAGCTGCCTCCTATTTCCTTTTATGTATTTAAAAGCAGCATGCCCAATCTTACTGTTATGTGAGATAAATTTTATTTTAATCCTAATTGTATATTAAACCTTTTTAGTTTAGAATTAAAGTAAGAGTAAAGGAAATTTTCCACACAGCAAATAATACTATAACAGGAACTAACTTTCCTTATTCAGAGTTTGAACAAATAATGTCTCCATTAGAAGAAATTACTTTTTATAATTCCATGTCAGGTGAGCCTTTTATGTGTTTTAGACTAAGTAACAAATACTCTATTTTAGAAGAGAGGCAGTACAGGGAAGCATTTGAGGGCCTGGACTCAGAACCAGACAGATTGTGTGGCTTACTAGCTTGCAATCTTGGGCAAATTACTGAACATTTCTGTACCTCCATTTTTTGGTTTAAAATGGGGGTAGTAATAGTATCTACCTCATAGTGTTCATAAAGATTAAATGAGCTAATATATACAGAGTGCTTCAAAAATGCCTGATAATATAGTTATGTAAATTGGTTATTGTTATTAATAACTACATGATATTGCCTTTTTATTTTTTTATTTTTTATTTTTTATTTTATTTTATTTTTTTTTTTTGATATTGCCTTTTTAAATGACCTAAACTTTTATGGTAGATTGCTTGTAAAACTAGCCCCAATTTCCACTTGCCCATATGTTCACCATCTTTGCAGCTATTTATGTGCAAAGAGTGTGAAGAAAGTCTATTTCCTCCTGGGCTGATCTTGTAACTTGCTTTGGACAAAAGAATGTGGTAGAACTGATGGTGTGCCAGTCTCAAGCTTAGGCCTTTAGAGGATTTTTATGCTTTCATATTTTCTCTTCAAGTATTTCTGCTGCTACTAGCCTGTTAGTTGATGAGAGATGCACATAGTCCAATCATCCTTGTAGCTTCAGTTAACTGGCAGCCAATTACCAGACATGTGAGTAAGACCTGCCTAAACCAGCCAGCCTCCAGCTGACCTGCCAAATGACTGCAGGTACGTGGGTGAGTCCAGCTGAGATGAGCCTAGTCCAGATCAGCAGAACTGCCAGCTAACTCATAAATGCTCATAGTTTTAAGGCATTGAGTCTTGAGGTAGTTGTGGAGCACTAGTTGGCTGATTAAGCCATTAATAAATGAAAAGGAAAGAAGGCTTCATATCTCAGTCCCAATATACTAAATCATGCTGTTTCCTAAATGTACACAATGATTCTTTAGGATTATTTTTGCTGGTGAATAACAACAAAGCTAAAATCAGAACCAGCTCACATCAGAATGAGCAAATAAACTATAGGTATAATGTCTCCTCAATCAGTCAATCCCAAACTCATGGCAGACATTGCCAATAAATCACAGATCTCAACAACATAAATGTATTAAATCAACATATTGTGCATCTTAAACATTCACAATGTTACATGTCAATTACATCTCAATAAAGCTGGAAAAAAATCACAGATCTCATTTTGGATAACTGTCACCAACCAGAGTTGGCACTTAATTTAGCTGGATAATATGAAAAATAAATAACTTTCTTACCTTGCTTTTATAGTAATTTCAAAATTATTAAAGTTCTTATAACCAATGAAACTATTTTCTGGTTCTATTGAGATAGAAAACTGTGGCAACACTGAAAATAAAAAGGAAAAGGCAATATTACCACTTAAATTAGAGCAGCCTTCTGTCTGGTAAAATTGATATAACATCAACACAACATCCAGCTGTAGTCATCATCATTATCAGGGACAACAACAACAATTACGACATCACTGGGAAGTCTCCTACTCCACCAATCGGAAGTCAAGCCATCTATCTATGTATCAGAAGCACTTTGTTTATATTTAGATTACAGCATTTATTATAGGCAATTGTTTATTTCCTTGACTAGAGTGTGGATTCCTTGAAAATAAAATGTTCTCTATATATCTTTGTATATCTTCCCCTCTCATCCTTCTCATAAGTCTTAAATATAATAAATGCTTATTAAATTAAAATAGAAAATTCCTGCTTATTTAACATTCCCTTTTTTGTCCAGTAGATAAAATCCACCCAGTCCAAAATTCCAGCATAAAACTCTGACTTTAGTCAAGAAGAGAGAGTTTATGCCCAGCCAGCGTGGCTCAATGGTTGAATGTTGAACTATGAACCAGGAGGTCACGGTTCGATTCCAGTCAGGGCACATGCCCAGGTTGCAGGCTTGATCCCCAGTGGGGGGCATGTAGGAGTCAGAGGACCAGTGATTCTCTCTGATCATTGATGTTTCTATCTCCCTCTCCCTTCCTCTCTGAAATCAATAAAAATATATTTTAAAAAAAGAAAAGAGAGTTTATAATGAACTATAAGAAATAATACCCATGCAAAAGTAAAAACTAGAGCAGAAAGGAGTTGGGTTATCCCCGCTTTTCTTTTCTTTTTTTCTTTTTTTTTGATTGCCCAAGAGAAAATACTATCACCGGTTGAAATGCCACTGTTTTCTCTTTATACTTCCTCAGACTGTGTACCAGGGCTTCTGGATTCTAATTCTATTAACCTACACAGCAGTTAATAGAAAATTGGGTGATTGAGTGACCCTGATATTGTGGACATAGACTGGCAAACAACTGTAAATGAGATAGTTAGCTACAGATACGGTTCATGTGTTTTCTGGATAGTGAAGGCTAGAAGTAAAAGCACAATGCAATTTTCTACTCTAGGCTGTGTTCCTATGTTATCAAAGATCCAGGTAGATGTGCTCTCTCCAGGATATGAAATGCAAGAAAATATTTCACCCTTTCATCCATATAGCAGGGACACTCCTGTCAACAGTGATATATCAGTGAGCAAAATTGACACAAACCCTGTCCTTAATGAGCTCACAGTCAAGCAGGGAAGACAAGCATAAGCACAGATAAACACCTAAGCCACAGTTATGAAAACAGATATGAAGAAATACAGAGACTCCTACTCAGGAAAGAGAATTCAGGGAAAGCTTTTCTGAATAAAGGCTTTTCAATTGAGACTTGAAAGGTGAGTAGGAACTGGCTAGGCAATGAGGGAGGGAAAAGTGTTGTAGGCAGATGGAATATCATGCACAAAGTACCCACTGTTGGAGGGAAGCAAGGGTGAGAGTGGTATAAAATGAGGCTGAAGAGGAGGCAGGCCAGCTCAAATTAGAGATTTTGATTTGCATTATAAATGGAATGAGGGATTATTGGGGACTTTTCAATAGTGATATAACATGATGAGATTTGCATTTCAACATTATTTTGGCTAAAACCAAGGGGGAAGAGTTTGGAAGCAGAGATAGCAATCAAGAGGCTTTGCAGTAATCCAGGAGAGAGCTTGTTGATGAATAGATGAGGGTGACCACAGATAATAAGAGGTGTATGAATTTTAGATATACACAGAAAGCAGCAAAAACACTTGGAGTAAGGGAGGTTGGTTGTAATTATATGTATTGAGAGTCTATCATCTTTACTTATTTATTTATTTTTATTGATTTCAGAGAGGAAGGGAAAGGGATAAAGGGACAGAAACATCAATGATGAGAAAGGATCATTAATCGGCTGCCTCCTGCACATCCCTAGTTCATAGATTGACACTCAACCACTGATCCACACTGTCTGGGCAAGCCTATAATCCTTAAAGTTGAGTTTCATTATAACAAATCTGTTTTCACTGTTGTGTTTAATTGTTAAATTTGTGTGTTTATTTTACATATTAAGAGTTTCATGGGGAATTAAAAATGATTTCAAGAAAGTTAAATTGGATATTAGAGCACACAAATACTCTAATAAACAACTATTAAAAACTGAAAGATTAATCTATTTATACATTAATTATTAGTCCTTTAATGTGATTGATTTCAAAATAAGAACATCTTTAATTTCCAAATAAATATATTAGGGATTTGTGAACCAGAAGAAAAATAGCATTGGACTAGAGGTAAGGAAATCCAATTGCTGTCCTTGTTCCGTCACTAATTGGTTGTAATGACCTCAGTAAATCATCTATTAGTCTTTCTGGGTTCCATTTACCTCATCTCTGAGTAAGTTTCTCCTAAAATCATAACTTGGAAAAATACCTTCACTAGTCAAGCTCCTCAGGAGGCTAGGACTCTTCAGGTTCTATGATGAGGAACAAAAGTCCAGAGAGGTTGGTGTGCTTATTCAAGGTTAAAAGAGCATGCTGAAACTAGAGCCTAGGCATGGGGACAATCACTCTCACCCCCTCCACCAGTACTTCTGACCATATCAGTAGGTTGCCTTTTCTTCAGGGATTGAGTTTACATTAAAGTCATTAATGAAAATAATTATTGCAAAAGCATTAACTCTTTATAGCTAAATTTTTAATTGTCAAAAATTACCATATTCTTTAACTTCAAAATATGCAGTTCCAGTTGTTGAAAAGTCCTCTTTATATTTAGCTTGAATTTTCCACATACCATATCTGTGAAAGCAAGATATTTAAAATTACATAAGTGTTCAAATATTTTTAATTTACCCAGCAGAAATCTAATCAATTCTTGTTTTAAGGAGGGAAAAGTAAGTCAATATAGTCTAAGTGATATATTTTATTTGCAATAAATGGAAATAGCTAGTGTTTTGGAGATATTAGACACTGTTTAGTAATTAGTTTTTCATATGTTGTGTTATTTTTTCAGGTACTTTATCTTAATATTGTCAATAGCTTTGAATTGAAGAGCTTGTGATACTTGAGAATTTACTTGATTTTGGAGCTTTATTATATTTTTAATATAATATTGAAATCTACACTATAGTAGGACATTCATAATAATGTCTCTAGAAACATATAATTCGGGTCAAGCCCATCCAGATGATAAGATTCACACCTCATGTATAAGAAGCTATAGCTGGAGACAAAGTATGGCCTGTTCAAAGAGGAAAATTATCTGGGTTTAATTAAAAACCTTCAGTCAAAAATATTTACTGAACACTGGATTAAACACTGTAGATAAAAAAAAATAAACACGATAAAAGGGTCTGTCTTCATAGACCTAACAGTCCATGGGATTTCAAATTTTTACTTTTCCATTTATTAGCAGATTGAATACTTGGGAAAGTTGCTTAACCTCATTTGTGAAATGGGAAAGACAATATCTACTTTGTGTACTGGTTATCAATCAATACATTGAATATTATCATCATCATTAATTCTATGTGCCTGTTATGTTGAAGTGCTGGAGATAAAACAGTGAACAATAAAAACACCATCCCTGTTCTCAAGGAGTTTACAGTCTAGTGGGAATAAAAGGCAAGTAAATAATTAAATAAATAATTGTAAAATTGAAATAAGTGCCACTAAGGAATAGAGAATAAAAGAAAGAGAGGGACTACATTAGATCATGTGTCCGGGACTAACGTCTTTGAAAAGGGAGCATTTAACCTGTTTTCTACAGAATGGGAAGAAGCCAGCTTTATGAAGAACACGGTAAAACACTATCTAAGCAGAGGAAACAACATGTGCAAAGGTACAAAAATACTGGCCATGAAAAGCTACCATGGTTGACACATAATCTGTCACAGAGCAAATGGCACAAGATGAAGAAATTATAACAGTTGGAGAAATGATAATAGTTGTAAAATAGGTTCAGTTCTGTGCTACAGAGTATGTAATATTTTCAAGAAAGTATACAATTTAAAAATTATCCAAATTATTTAAATTCTCCAATTTAATCCAAATTTCTAGATAATCTTCAGTATAGTAAATTAACTGTAAACTACCTTCTAGAGAACAAAGCAAAAATTACCATAAAAAGATTTTTACTTTAAAGTAATTTGGCCATTTATAGGTGCACCTATCTTATTTGTCCTACTCTAAACAACTTGAAGGCAGGAACTGTGGATTCTTCATTCCTATTTTATATCTCTCATTCCTCTTGTACTTTGCACATACTAGGAATGTGTTCACTAAATATTTTTTACATTGGATTCTGTTTAAACACATTCTTAAATCTTTTAACATGACGCCAAATGGGAGAAATAGCTCCAAGAACATCCTCCCTCTTGAAATATGATAGTCTATGCAGAAAAGACTACAAATAGTAATATATTTATAACTTTCAGAGCAAGGCACGGGACCACACTAGCCTTTTAGACTGATAGTCTATTTGATTTTCTTAAAAGATGGAAGGTTGATGGTTTTGATCTTAAAAAAGAAAGAAAGAAAGAAAGAAAGAAAGAAAGAAAGAAAGAAAGAAAGAAAGAAAGAAAGCCAGCCAGCCTGGGGTCTATTTTTTCCTCTTCCAAAGTTTAATTTCTATGTGTAAAGAAAATTGATGAGAAGTATTGGGAAATTCTCCTCTCCCCTCCCTCAGAAATTGAGTCTAGCTTCTCACTACTCTTTAAAAGATTTTGCATATCCTCATTTTTTCCACAGTAGGTTGCTTCATTTGACTGGTGATCTGCCTCACCACCAAAAGTTCCAGATATGTTTTTTTAAAGAAAACTTTATTAACAAATATTTTTAAATACCTAGGATTAGATGGAATCTTGAAGTCAGGAAAAGAGATAATTCCAGTATAATCACTTTCTTCTACAATGTCAACTCCCGATCCTTGAGGATCCTTTGAATAAAAACAAACAACATCAAAGCACATAAACCGAATTTTAAAAATTAACTGATTATATTATATTTGATCTACAGAAATATTTACTAACAAATATCCATGCCTTCAAATTAAATATGAAGGAGAAAGATTATTTAAATGTGTGGAAGGCAAATATGGCTCATTTAAGCCACGTCCCTCCTCTCTTTTTGGACCCCTTCTCCCTCTCTTGACACACACACACACACACACACACACACACACACACACACACGTATAAATCAGTTTCCAGGTATCCTAGTCTCAGTTATTTAGGTGAGATTCAACTCTATCTAGTATAACTAAAAAAACAAAGTATAGAAATAACTGATGTTATAATTAATCAAATGTGAACTCATAGGCTTTATAGATACCAAAATCTATAAAATACATTTATTAGCTAGATACTTTATAGTTGCAGTATGGTCATTTTGAGCTTGATAAAACATTCAAATTAGTTAAACAAATTTTAAAGTTTTCATAAAGCTTTCCCATAAGCTTCTTTTTCTGTGTGGGCTTGGAAATTATTTAAATGAGGTTTCTTATTTTCTTTGGACTACATCTAGAGGTCCATTTTGAACTTAACCCAGAAATTTACCACTATATGCCATGACTGTGAAATTAATGGTTGGATTTTTGAGGTTTTTTTTTTTCTTGAGTTGCAAAGGTCCATTTTGAAAAAGAATTAGAATTGAGGCAAAATATCTTCTAGGTTGATCTTTATCCCTGCAGTCCTTTGTACACTGTGCTTCTTCTAAGATGATCTCTCTCAAGAACTATTTTTGTTAGGGGCAGAAATAGAATAGTGGGGAATAGCTATAGTTATAAAGAATATTAATCATGCTCTGTTAACCGTGATTGTTTTGTTCTGATTAAAGAAAGCATGCTCTGACCTGGCTGGGAGTTGTATGCCCCGGGACCTGGGAGTTGAACTCGAAATGTGGTCCATTCTCCTTATCGGAGAACTGCCTATCATCATGGAAAGATGAACAATTTTGTTGCCAAAACAATGGAATCCTGGGCTGTAACCACCTGGAAGCACCTACCCTTTGTAACCGCTAGCCTGCATTGTCTGTAATCTGTAACCATTTTACCCATTCCTAATCTTTGTCCTTCTACCCAATATAAGCAACTTGTTTATAGGGGGAACGAAAGGGAGTGTGTGGGACAGATTTCTGTGGATGACCATTGCTCTCCAATGTTGCTGGCAATATTGGAAAATAAAACGCTCATATATGATTCAATCCTGTCTCTGCTTAATTGGCTCAAGTAGTGACAGGCAACCCAGACCCCTTCACTGTCGGGTTTCACTTTCAGGACACTTTCTGCATGCTGACTCTCCACTGCTCTAGGATCAAATTCCTCAATCCTGTCTTCCTGGGACAGCTCTTACACAGGACAACTGGCACCCACTCTTCCTTGTGTGGTGTCAGGATTCTACATCACTCAAGTGCAACCACCGAGAGGGGTAGAAGGTAGAATCAACAGCATCTGACCACATGCTCTAGTATTTTCTGACATAAAAAGGGTATTTGAGCTGACTGCCTCTCCTTAGTTCTCTTCCAGACTTCTGACATCAGTCAGCCAGTTTATGTACTATCCCCATTTCTTACTGTCATAGCTACATTCATGCTATATATTACCATGGGAAGTTCTTCATTATTTTAAAAAACCCTATGGCTATTCCTTTCATTAAGACCCAGCTTAAGATTTCCTTTACGTATTCAATTACAGAAAAGGATTACATCATCCTTCAATCTCACCCCTATTTTGTCTTCCCTCTGAGCTTATGTGTCATTTGTCCTATTGTACAATTAGGAGAAAAGGTGCTGCAGCCTATAGTGAAGGGCCATTACTAATACACCTATATTGTTAATAAGTAACTGCTCATCTTTACCTCATGATTTAGCACTATTTTTCATGTGTTAGTATGTTAGTTATTAAACTCCAAGGTCCTCAAATGTAAATTTCATTGATTATAATTCTTTATCTTGAATTGTACAAATAAAAAATTACATAATAGATATTCAATTAATTCTTAGTGATTGACTGATGTTCTTAAAGAAAGAAATCACGAAGTATATATTTAAATGATTTAGTTTAAAATCGTTGAGGTTTCATTTTCATGGCTTCTTTACACATGCCAATTTTAGAGATATAGACATACAATGTTATATTCACAGAAAGTGTTCAGTCACCATTTACTGAGCACTGAATGAGTTCATATGGCATTGGGGTAGGGTTATGAAATAATGTATCTTATCCTAAAAATGAGTTAAATTATTATTTAAATAAATAACATACTTACTATGAAAGTTAAGACAATTTCTCTTTTGGCTGGCTTCAAGTCATCATTCAGTGAATAAACTCTAACCTTTACTGTAAGAATAATTGATAGCATCAAAAACTCTGTTAAACACAAGGGTATTTTAGTTTTTTAAACAATAATCATTCTTTAAAAAGATGAATCTCATTAAAATAAATCAATACATGGTCAATACACGAAAATCAATTTTTGAAAGAAAGAAAAAGTTAGTCTGCAGATATATAAATTATTAATGAGTCCTTTCTTTTAAAAACCTGTGTCCACATAATTTCAAGTGTTAAAAAGCTCTAAGTAGTGTCAATTATCCTCCGCAGGGGAAGAAGTACCTTATACTCTACCTGATTGTTCTGGAGTGTAAACAGGTTTGTCTGTTTGAATGAAGAGAAATCCATTGTCATAGGTTATTGGCATTTTTTTTGATTTTGAAAAATGCTTTGATAAAACATCCAAATACACATGTGGAACTTGGTTTTGTCCTCCAGGCAATTGTTTGGGTTGTATCTGTAATAGAAATGTTGATAAAAAAAGAACATAATAGTTTTAAGGTTATAAAATATTCGGATTTTCTAAATACCACTGTAATCTCATTAGAAAGAGAAATAAGTATGTGTATTTAATCATTTTAAAAACAGTAGGGGAGACAGAATGGTAAATAAATTTTGCCCAAAGCCCTTCAGTGTTAAATATCATAACCAAAATTTAGTTTTAAGCAATTAAAAATATTTCCTAAATGTTATATGCATTTAGTAAAACTAAGCTATTGAAGCTCTCTCTTTGTTAAAAAAAATATATATTTTTATTGATTTCAGAGAGGAAGGGAAAGAGAGAGATAGAAACATCAATGATGAGAGAGAATCATTGGTTGGATGCCTCCTGCACGGCCCCTACTGAGGATCGAGCCCACAACCCAGGCATGTGCCTTTGCTCGGTAGCAAACCCAGGACTCTTCAGTCTACAGGTTGACGGTCTATCTACTGAGCCAAACTGGCTAGGGCTCTCTTTCACTTCATCAGCTTGCTGGATTAGCTCATGGTCTCCATTTCTTCCCTTCAACATCCTGACTGATGTCTGGACACTTTGTATTATATCTATATCCTCTATTCCCACCAGTTGAGCTGCATGCTTTCCAATATTTGTAAGTAACTGTAATTACCCAGTTTACGTTGCATGGTATGCAAATTTAATACATAAAAAGTAATAAAAGAAAGATAAATGCTTCTCCGAAAACTAGGCTTTGACACATAGGATAAAAGTTAATCACTAAAATCAACTGCTTGAAATTACATATGTGAGAGTACTGAAAAAGTTTAGAAAACAGTAACAAGCTAATAAGATTCTGCACTCAGGTTCTTTGCAAGTGTCTTTAAGTACTTTGTCCACTTCAAAGAAACAGAAACTGTGGAACAAAGATGATTTATTAAAGGTGTGGCACATAGTAAATAAGATTTGGCATTCCAATCAATGGGTCTGCACATGAAGAAAAGACCTTGGCACAATATCAAACAATTGGCAAATAAAGATACATTATAATGTTAAGATAAAATTAGACGCTTAAGATATGCACCAATATTTATGATTTGTCTACCTTAATCTCCTTTCCAATTAACTAAGTTAGCACTGTTTAAACAGAACTCACTTTTAAGAAAGAGTGGTATAAATGAACCTCAGAGCCCGAGCAGTCTTTTATTTTTCTGGTTCTTGAATTTTTATTGTAATTTAAAATAATATTTTGGTTATATTCATTCACGTTGCTAAATAAATAAGTATGGAAAATTATTTTTAGTTGTCAGAATTTTTAATAAGAAATGAGTTGAAAGCACCTTTCTAGCCAAGCTATAATAACTTAATAGGAGAAAAGTTATTTGATCAAGGTTTTATTTTATTTTATTTTATTAACTATAGGTTGTCAATCAGAGCTATTTACTTCAGTAACCAATAATTTATTCATTTTGGAAACTATAATTGTACAGTATTGGAATTTAAACAAACAAATGTTCAATAGCATCTATGGCTTTCTGTAGGCAATGCATTATAGATCAATATGCATATCATATTTCTCTATTTCTCTCTAATGATAATTTTCACAGATAATAAGTATTTTTTATGTATTTTTGAATATTTACATATTAGTACAATTTTATTTTCCTATTTAGAATTTTCTCTTTCCTTCATATTATTAGTGACTGACATACATCATTTAATAATCACACAAAGATATAATGTTATAAAAGATCAAATCTCTATGTTATCAATATTCAAACTTTGAACACATTTAATTGAGAATATTTTATATGTTTATAGAAAATAAAAGATAAATACATACTGTTAAGATTGCAGAGTTTTGGAATTTATTTTCTGTGGATAAAGTAACAGAGGCTGAAGCGTAACTAATTTTTTTATCTGGATAACTTTTAATGGAGATTGTTGCATCAAATGCTTCAGTGTATCCATAAACTTGAATTACAATATTTTCAGATGCTCCAACACGAAGTACTTTTGGTGCTGATATGACATACCTGTTGAAACAGGAAAAGAGAAGGATCAGTACCTCTATATGACATACTTTGTTATACTTCTGATTTCTTCATCTCACTTGAGACATTCAATTTAAAATAGGCACATTTTCTCAACTTAAAAATAATTTTTTAATTAAAATTTATTTGTGATCTATGGTCATTTCAGCATAGTCTACAAAAAAGAAATAGCTTGAAATCCGGACTTGAAAAATAGCACTGGAGATTTAGTTAACATTTAGGAAGGCAGTAATAGCACCTTCTTGAGCTACTGCAATAAAGAAAGACTTACTGGTGTTGACTAGAACATGTAAATAGGGTCACTATTTTTGCCCAAAGTAGAAAAAAGCAACAGTTACCAATGATTGAATTCCAGTGCTGCCACCTACTGGCTGAGTAACCATGCTAAAGTCACTAACCCTCTCTGAGACAAAAATAACTTAACTGTGAAAATATCACCTTCTTTACCAGGCTGAGGTAAGGATGAAGTGAGACTATGTACATGAAAGCACTTAACATGTTTAGTACTCAATAAATGTTAAGATTCATTAATTTCACTAAATTATTTGAAAGGAAGTAATCTTAGAAGTACTGGTGTTATACTAGTGAGTGGATTTTTAAAAAAGATAGAATAAAAGTGAGTTTGGGAGAATGCATTTGAAAATGCAAATAGTTACAGAGTCCTTAGAGACCAAATAATCACAACCATACAATAATAATGATAATAACAGTAACTGAGTAGTTGTCATATATGAGTGTCTGTATTAGCACTTTATATACAACTAGAGGCCTGGTGCACGAAATTGTGCAGGGGAGGGGTCCCTAAGCCTGGCCTGCACCCTCTCCAATCCAGGACCCCTCAGGAGATGTCCGACTACCAGTTTAGGCCTGATCCTAACTGCCCTCCCCTGCTGGCCTGATCACCCCTAACTGCCCTCCCCTGCTGGCCTGATCACCCCTAACTGCTTTCTCCTGACAGCCTGATCACCCCTAAGTGCCTCTGCCTTGGCCCCCACCACCGTGACTTTGTCCAGAAGGACATTCAGAAGACATGTGCTCTAATCAGCATATTACCCTTTTATTAGTATAGATTCTTTTAATCTTTACAACAAGCCAATGACGTAGATACTATTGTTTTCTTATTTTACAAGTGATAAGAGGTTAATTTGATTGAGGTCACCTGACTTATATGTGAATGAAAGACTTTATATTCAGATCTCTCTTGTTGTGTTAAAGTGTGGTCAAAGTTACAAGCTTTGTTCACAGCCCCAGGCTGTTCCCTCAGTTTTATTTTTCATGTGATTTATACAAGAATGAATATGAATTATATGTTTTTGAAATAAAATTTTTAATGTGTGATTTTTTTCATTGTTTATTAAAAGAAAACCTATAAATATAAACCAGGTTATTAATTATATCACAAAGTATATAGTTTGAATAGTGAAAGCTACTACATAGAAAAAAGTGTCTATTCTACTGCATAGAAAAAAGAGTTTCAATCCATAAGGTGATAATGATTGAGACCTAAGAGCTCATCACTTCAACTGGCAGAATTATTGCAGGCTCTTGTCAAAATTATGACATTTAAAAAGTCTTTTCAAATCAGCAAGTGTTTAGTAACAATGAAACTAATTTGGAGGCAATTAACTCCTTTAGACATCTGGCAGTTCTACATGACAACTAATTTGGAACCATTTACAGTCAAATTATGAAAGAGAGAAAAGAATCTCCGGACTTCCAACCGTCATCTGATTTCCCCAAGTGCTTACCCAGAAATATCGGAAAATAAGAAAACTTTAGCTTTGATGATAATAAGGTAAATATACAGAAATGTTACAATGTGCTAAGTACCTTTTTAAGCACATGATACATATATAAATTCACTATATATAAATTCACTATATATTGCTACCACCACTGTCTGAGAAAAGTCTTATTATTACCTCTATTTTACAGATGAGAAAACTGATAATTAACTTGCCCAAGGTCACTCAGCCAATAAGTTACAGAATGTGGAGTTGTTCTCAAGCAGCCTGTTTCCTGAAGTAACACTTTCAATTGCTGTACTACACTGAATTTATCAAGAGCTTTGCAAATCTAGAAAAAAAATATGTATTAATTTCAGTATTCTTAGAAATTTTGTATTTTATGTTTTAATTTTGAATTGTCTATGTGGTAGTGGTGGGGAAACATAAACTACTCAGTGTTGACAAATCCGTAAAAGATGGCTTTGGAACCACCATTTTTCCAGATTTTGGTCCATGCTGATTTATCAGTTGCACAGTCTAATCCAAAGAATTTTGCACTTTTAAAATTTTCTTTCAATAGTTGCAGAGGATCAAGCCACTCAGCTTGCAGGGGGGCAAAAATGTCAGTTTGGCCTCTACCTGGAATGTTCTTTCCCCAGATATTTGCAAAGACTGTTCCCTTCCTTCAAGTTCTATATGAGTGCCTTAGAGAATGGTGACGGAAAAAAATAAAAAATAATAATTTTAAAAAGAACCTTCTCTGTCTACATTTTCAAATAGTTCCTCATCATTTTTGTATCCTATTACTCTCCTTTACTTCTTTCTTCATAGCATGAATAATCAATCACCTGACCTTATTTATTCATTTATTCATTGGTTCATTCATTATTTGCTTCTCCCACTAAAATGCAAGCTGTATATAAATTTATGAATTTAATTGACTGATGACCATGTTGTAAATGGTACACTCTCACTTTTTCAAGAGAAAGAGAGGCAATGCTTATTAAAAGCCAGTACAGTGTATAGGAAGAATTCAGAATCCTGGTCCTAGTTCTACCAATCTCAAGCTCTTTGAACTTCAGCCACTTGTCTTTCAAAAATGAATAAATAAAAAATACCAAAGGTACTGGGGTGATTGTAGCAATGCAAGGAAATCAGATTTATGAGAGCCTAAGAACACATTTATATTCATAATATAGTTTACATATTTATACATTTATGATAAATGGAAAAAAATTAAAATGGTAAAGAGGAGTCCTTAATATTAGTCCTGCTTCTGTTTCTCTTTAACAGAGTGACTTTTGGTAAGTCACTTTCCCTGTCGCCACTTATCCTCATATGTGAAATTAGTAGGTTCAATTAGATACTCAGTTCCTTTTCAATAATGTTATTTCTAGATATGAATCACTATTTTAAGACATAGTTTAAAATATACAGTATTTCAATAATAACACTAACCATTGTGAAGAATGAGCTTGTAAATATAAAAATAATTACAATAGTTTTTCAAATCACTGTATCAGAATTAACCCCCAAGTAACCCTTGTTTAATTATGCACAGTATTTAGAAAACAATGCACTAAATATAAATAAGCAATAAATGACAAGAAAGTTTGTCATTTAGAGATTATTTTGTGCTTTTTCAAAGTGAAATTTGAATAATCACTTATGTAATTAAAAAAAAAGCAATCCCGTAAAAGCTGTCATGTTGTTAGCTATTCATCAAATCAAAATACTTCCATGAGTTTCTTATTCAGATGAGAATATTCACTTGGTATTCTCAAAAGTAGAAAGTAATTTTTGAATTAACAAAGTTAACTGATTTTATTTTTCACGCATCACAACTAAGATGCATTGAAAATCAAGATAGGTCCTTTTACTTACGTTTGTTCCTGTCCCCAACATTTCCCCAGGAAGATTAAAAAACAAAGTATGCCCCAAAGACCCATGGCTGGAGACAGCAGTAAACCATGGGTATAACCTTTTTTTTGAAGTTACTCTCCTTTTAAATAAACCCAGCTAAAAGAATTTGAGTAAATTAGTTTACTGGTTAATTATTAATGTAAGAAAGAAAGACTTCTAAGTTGGAAAAATAAAATCAGAACTGAAGCAACCTTTAATGCCCAGGTATAAAAGTAGGCAATATTTCATAGGGATTTACACCTAGAGAATTTATTTTAATTAATACAAAGAAAGGAATTCTAACATGGGAGTTTGGAACTGCAATGAATGGCTTAAAGCTAGAAACCAGTAAGTCACACTGCCCTTGGCCTTTCCTCTTTTGGCCAGGGTAACTGCTCTGCCATTACATCATCTGTGAGCACCTGGTTTAGACAGGGCTCACTCAGTGGTCTTTTTAGAGAAGTCCTGAGCAATACTGTTGTTAGAATTGGGAATCGCCTAGTGATAAGCTGAATCTGCAAAGGAAATCTATGGAATAGTTCTTTGGTCTATCCCAGTCTAGAAAAGAAGCTAAACATTAGGTGGAGGAAAGATTGTGATGGGCAATGAAAATGCCACGTTGAGCAGGCCAACATCATTCTTTAGGAAATAAGTAGCCAGTCAAAAACTTTAGTATTTAGTAGGGAATGACTATCCTTCAGTATCTATTAATTTGTACACCACAAATACAAAATTTATACCCATTCAGACACAGAATATTTTTCTTTAAAAAAAACACACAACCTCAGGTTAAATCTTTCAGTGAGGATCTTAATGTAAGAGTTCAGGAAAAACAAAGCTTCTTATAACAAAGAAGTTTAGTAATTAATTTAGAATGAAATACAATTTTATCTTTAAGATATTATGATATTTTATGTTCATTATAAAACTTTGAATTCACTACCTTCCTTATATTAGCAATCATTTCTATTTTAGTACATAGTAAATACTCTATTTTAAAATAATAAAACAAATTTCTCTAAACATTATTCTGTAATTCAGATGTTTTATGGTCACATTAGCATTCCTTGCTTTGAATTAATAAGGTTCTATTTTATAAATCCTTTAATACTGAATTCATGAGGGAAAAAAGGCACACAAAGGAAATTTGATATACAAATATCACTAAAGGTGTTTCTTGCATATATTATTAAAATGGTAAAAATATGCCACTATTGTCTGATCATCTAGCCCATTTGTTTCAAAAGAATACCTGTGAAATGATTAAACTGGGTTGTGAAAGATAGGTCAAGTTAAAACAAACAAGGTACTCTTGCCGTCATTTTCGGGAAAAGATATTAGGAGAAAAGTGAGAACACTTAAATCATCATAGATGATATATGTATGTTAAGTGCAAGTTTTTTGCTTGTATTATAAAGTGAATAGTGATGATAATGGTTTCTCAAATAGAAAACTTTTTAAAAAATGATGAATCTCAAAGACCCTTAATAGAACCAAAGTTCAACAATTTACAGATTCTCACCAGTGTTTAAAATTTTTATCTGCCTTTTAAACATGGCTCAGAGATGAATTCTTCTTTACATTCTAAAAATGCTGACCTTTGGGGAGTCTTTGGCTTTTATACAAATCTGCATCTCTAAAAGAGGAGAAGCTAGGTCTGGCAGAAACTTTGGTCGTCACCTGACCTTCCTGCTAATGCTACCTCAATTCTATGCTGATGATTGAGCACAAATGGCTTCACTTAGTTTACAAGGCCACCTCCTGACCTGGGTCCCACTTGATTCTCCAGCTTCAGTGTTCCCATTCTTCACTGCAAGCAAGAAGCTGAATTACTTATTCTTCTTTGAGGTCACCACAACATAATGGTGCTCCTGGGATAATAAATAGCCAAATACTATTACTACTATGCTTAAGCTATTTATATCCTTAATTTGCCATATCATCAGAAACATGGTTTAGATATGGATTGCTGCTACCAGCACTGCAGAACACAGACTACTCAGTGCTTGACCATAACACCACGTGAAAGAGAATTGGGGGCACAAACTATGTCCAGTTGTGGAGCCTTATAAGATTAGTCACTTGACTTCCTATGTATTTATACAAATTTTAAAAGACATTGAGCTACAAAAACTTTTTGAAACAAAATCTTACACAAAGTCTAATGTATAAAGTAAAAGTGTGTCAGTGTGGGGTGGCCCTGCTGTCTGCCTGTCTCCCTAACATGTACCCACAGCTGGACCTTCAGGTAGATCAATGGGAAACCTGGGGTCCCTGGATGCCTGGTTTAAAAACATTGACTTAAAGCACCAAACAGCTTATTCCCAATGATCTTATTTTACTTGGACCATTCCCTTTTACTTCACTCTATCAATAACTCTAAATAAAGCTTGAAATTAGTTTGTTAGTTGATCAGGCCAAAGGGTAAACCAATCTCTTTTCATCTTGTGCCCAAGATCCACTGCTTTAGCTGCAAATTAAAATTCCTCTCCCAAATGACTTGGGCTATCAACACAAAGTCTTCTAAAAGCCCCTGTTTCTTCACAATCCTCTACCTATATTTCACATCCAAGACCCTGGTATCTCAACATCAAATAGGGAATTCACACAGACTGCATGAGCCCTGGTAGAGGATAATGGAAAAGTGAACACTCCAGATATGTACTCCAGAAAAACTTTTACACATATGCCTAAAAAGACTAGTATAGAAATGCTTTCTGTAGCATTATTTGTGATAAGAAAAATTTGGCAGAAACTTAAAACAGCAGAAAAATGACAAATACATTACTTTATATGCATACAATGGAAGGCAATGCTGGTTGATTAAACCAGCTTGCAGAATGACACAAAGAGCATAATAACATTTATATAAGTTTAAAAACATATAGAGCGAGAGATCAACCAAAGGACTTATATGCAAGCATATAGGCCTAACCAATGGACACAGACAACAGGGAGGTGAGGGCATGAGTGGGGGGGATGGGGGATAATATGGAGATAAGGACACATATGTAATAACTTAATCAATAAAAAAAGAAAAAAAGAAATACACACACACACAAAATTTAAAAAAATAAAAAGCTTCTGCACAGCAAAAGAAACTATCAACAAATTGAATGGGAGAACATATTTACCAAGGTACACCTGATCAGGGCTTAATAAAAACAACAACATATAGAGCAATGTTACTGTCTATAGACATTTCCACTGGTAGTAATAGCATACACATATAATGGTGAAAAGCAAATACTAAGTCAGGATAAATTTGTATGGGAAGGGACGCAGAATATGGGGGTAGGAAGCAGGTCTATAGAGTGCTTCCAATCCATCACCTTTTGTTTTAAAGGAACATCTGAAGTCAGTATAGCACTATCTCACAAATAATTCAGTAGAGTTTAGAGGTAGATATACTGGTATTTGATAGGTTAGTTGCTGTACTTTTCTAAAAGTTTGAAATGTTACATTTTTTTTAAAGTATGTTTTGGAGTGAGGAAACTTGAATTCAAATTCTGGCTCTATCTAACTACCAATGTGATCCTGGTCAACTTAATGAAATCTTGGAACCTCCCTTTCATCATCTGTGAAATCAAATTTAAAAAATGCCTCATAGCGCTGATGGGAGAATGAAATGAAACATGTACAAAGTCTTTGGCTCTGAATTTGAACCTGAAGTAGCATGAATTTGAAAATATTCACTATTTTTATTATTACTGGTTTAAGGCATATTAATAATCGTCTACTCTTTATTTTTTAAAAATATTTTAATTGATTTTTAGAGAAAGAGAATGGGAGAGGGAGAGAGAAATATCTATGTGAGAGCGAAACATTAATCGGCTGCCTACTGCACACCCCCTACCAGGGGTCAAGCAGCAACCATGGGCACATGTGCCCTGATTAGGAATTGAACTGGCAACCTTTTGTAGCACAGGAGGACACACAACCAACTGAACCACATGTTCGAGGGCTGTCTATTCTTTATTTTTAATATGTGCATTGGATCATAGAAATCTGTATTTAATTCAGTTTTACTCTTTGGGAAAGAAATCGGTAAGTTGCCTCCTGCACGTGCGCCAACTGGGATTGAATGGGCAACCTAGATTGAACCCTGACTGGGAATTGAATCCACAACCTTTGGTGTATAGGATGATGCTCCAACCAACTGAGCCACTTTGCCAGGAAGGATGAAAAAATATCTTTATCATTGAGCCCAGAAGAATTTTTCCTCCCCTTCTTTTATTTGTTTGTTTGCTGTCGATTAAAAGTCTGGGATTTGATGACTGACCTCTTAAGAGTCCATCTAATTGTTGCATCCTAACATTCTTAGTGAGCAAAGGAGCACAAAAAGGTTCCCATAGACCAGGCCCTTTTCAGATGGCATTACGTGGCTTTCTCTTGTTTATGGCATCGATTGCCGTTAGCAGATTATGTGTACTCTACCTCTTTATCTCATAAGCTATAAAAGGTCTTTGCTCAGAAAGCTCCTCCTCACTCTGACTGTTATGTAAGATGTTGTTGAGGCATTTTCTTACTTCCCTGGCATTGGTGTAGTAATTCACTATCTTAGCATGCCCTACAAACTCCAGTGCATTTTAATAGATACTATACAGATTCAGACATAGAGGACATTTTCCCAACTTTTGCAGGGCTTATCCAAATATTGACAACACATTGTATCCTAACTCCTAACATGTATTAGTTATTGCAATAATTAACTTTCATAAATTGTCTCTAATCTTTACAACCACTCTGAAGGGTATTATTACTCTTGTGTGACTGAGGAAGAAACTGAGGCTCAGAGAAATACAGTGACTTGTCTCAGGGCACACATCTAGTAAATTGTAGAGAAGGGGAGTTACGCTGGGATCAGCAGGGAAAAGAGAGAGAGATACCAAACCAGGCTGTAGTCTTACCTTCTCTTTGACACCTTCTCCAGCTATTTTGTTTGGTTTTCCATTTTAAAGACTCTTGAAGAATTTATAGCCTGGTCCACATATTTTGATTCTTCTTTATCTACTATTGTACATTCTGGCAAAGGTTCAAAGGCACAAGAAGGGATTAAGTGTCATATAAGTGAAGAACTTAGTCTGACTTATGTCTGATTCTCTCTTCCTCACAAGGTGCTGGGGTAAGACTGGCTAAAGTGACAAGCAGGCAAATGGCAGATGGGGGAGATTATCTGAAAAGACTGAAGGGAAAATCCTGAGAACACAGTGGTTCAGAGCTAAGGATGGATGGATTTGTATTTTTAAGTCCCGAATGGTAACTGAAGCATCATGAAGAAGAAAGTTGTTGCTCAAACTATTCTTGGAAGTCACCAGAGTAGTGGGTTGGAATAGCATGTCCCAAAAGTCCACTTCAGATTACTAAATCAGTATTGGAATAGGAGAGGATTTCTGAGTAGAGGGTGTGAAGGAAGTGGAAAATAACAAGATCAAAATAGAAAATCAAGTATTCATAATGGAATGCAGTTAAGCACATTTTCTTCAGAGAAAGCAAAGTGACAAAAATGAAAGTGCCCACCATCTCTTTATCTCTTATTTTTATAACCTCATTGAAGCTGTCCTTTCTATATCTTACACCCTCTAACAGATCAAACTGGACCCATTAACTCCCTCTTTGGCTCCACTATCCCACACTTTTTCAGATACTCTTACTTCTTGTTCAACGAGTTCTCTTATCTAATTCTAATTACTACTCATCCATACATATCCACTGGTCCAGTGGCCACATGTGGTAGCCAGTCTCCAAGATGGCCCTCATGTCCTGACCTCCCTGATATTCATGTCTTTGTATGATTCCCTCCTATATTGTATTGGAGTTGGTCTATTTGATCAATAGAATAAAGCAAATATAAAGGTGTGTGACTTCTGAGGTTAGGTCACATAAGACATTGCTGTTCCCGCCTTGCTCTCTCTTGGTTGCCTACTCTGAGGGAAAGCAGACACCATGTAGTAAGGACATTCAAGAAGCCTAGGGAGAGGCCTATGTGGAAAGCCTTGGAGGCCTCCCGCCCAGAGCTTGTGAGCGAGCCACCATGGAGGTAAATCCTCCAACCCCAGTCACGCCTTTCGGTGACCACAGCAAAGCTAACATCTTGACTGAAAAATCATGAGAGAACCCAAGGCAAAATAACCTAGCTAAGTCCTTCCTGGATTCCTGCCCATAAAAACTGTAGAAAATAAATTAATGCTTGTTGTTATTTTAGCCCACTAAGTTTAGGGGTAATTTTTTTTTTTACATAGCAATAGTTAACATGTATACTAGTATAGCTGTTGCATTAAAGATAAAACTTTCACGAAAGTCCCTTGCATTCACTCCCACCACTAATGGGCATTTGCTCCTCCTTGGTCATCAATACTCATAATTTAATTTGCAAGTGTACTTTGAGTTCATAGAGAACAGCAGGCTGATAGGCCTACTTGAAAGCACCACCTGCTGCTCGTAATTTAACAGCACCCCAAAGCAGGCTGGAATAATTGGTGCTGCCTTTCCATAAGTCCTGACTTCCCATTTTATGTCTCTTCTGTGAATTAGCTTATTTCCTGGAGATAACAACACCTGCCTTGCAGGTGTTATTTTCTGAGATAACAATACCATTCACAGGAATGGTGAAATGTGATATCCCTGAGCACTGAAAATCATATAAACATGTAAGAAGTTCTTAGGCTTATTCTTTCTAGCATCTTATCTTTCCTACATTATCAACTCTGTTATTTCTGCCTGTAAACATGAAAAAGGCTCCATTAATAGGAAATAAAATTAGATATAAAAATCTTTCAGTGGATTTTTTTGCCCCAAATCACTCATCAGCCCCCTCAATTTTCTTTTCCCTTATTCATCCACAGAACACACACACCCCTCCCCGCTGAATGCTTCATGGATATCTTTATGGAAGTTAGATAGGAAGAAAATAAATAAATGAAATGATTGCCCACAGCAAAGGCCACTTGATGTTGGTTGGCATGATTTTGCATTATTATTCGACAGAAACTGATGTTCAAAAAGGATTAAAAAGAAGAAAGAAAGGAACAAAGGATGGAGGGAAGGAGGGAAGAAGAAGGAAGGAAGGAAAGAGGGAGAAAAAGGAAAAGGCCAGAATCACAAAGAAAGAAGTAGCCAGGGCCATCTATACAATTTGAGAGTCCCAGTACAAGATGAAAATGTAGACCCTTGGTCCCTGATCTAGTTTCTAGTCTCTGGATAACTTATTAACCCTTTAATTTTTTAACCCTGTTTCCTTAAATTTCTGTATTTTGCTTCTTTATTAAACCAGCTTGGGTAAATTTGAACCATGTTGAATAAATGTCCAAAAAAGGCAAATCTATAGAAACAGAGTAGATAGTGATTGACTGGAGCTGGAACTGGGAATGGGGATTACATGCAAATGAGCTGATCAGGGTGATAATTGTATTATGGTGCTCTTGAGAATGTCGCAGTGGAGACAAGCCAGACTAGACAGGGTTGAGATGTAAGGCAGTGAAGACAGCATGTCCAGACAATGTGGCAGACTGGAGAAGTGGGAATTGACAATAGTCCTCTTTGAGCAGCAGGACTAGGTGACTGGATGTGCCCAATAGGAAGAGTCAAGGATGACTCCCAGGTCTGTGGCTTGAGCAATTAATGATATGAGATACTTATGGCTGAGACGGATTATATTGGAGGAGGAGGAGCAGTTTTGTTTGGGGGAAGAGATGTGTGGACATGTTGAATTTGAGTTGCCTCTAAAATGCCCATGTGGGGGCATCGAGTAGGCAGGGGAATAGTAAGCTTTTCTCTGTCTCCCACTTTCACCATGGCAATCTCCATCGCAGACAGCACCTTCTTCACCTCTGATTCACCTGTCAATACAAACTTATCTTACCTCTTCTAGAAATTTCCTTCTAGTTCACTTCTTTTCCTGATGCTATTTTGAATTTGTTCCCTTTTGATGATATCTTTACTATCATTACAATGAGATTTGGGAAGGATTAAAAAAAATAAGTTATTTACTAGTAGTTCTCTCAGTTCCCTTTGTAAAGACACTTTTCCTTTTGTAATTAATAAGTAATCTATGGGGTGATATTTTGAGAGCAAGTGAATATCTTACCAACAATATTTCATGTAATGGTTTTAATATCTATTGATAATCTTTGTCCGAATCAAATATGTTGAGGGCTGTAAGACGGCGATTTCCAAATTAGGTGATTTCATCTATAGCAGCAGGAACTCTTTTGAATAGAAGAGCTTTCTCTTTTGTAGAAATTCAAGTTTGTGAGTGTGTGTATGTGCGTGTGTGTGCTTTTTTTTTTTTAGCATGGTGATTGCCAGAGGGAAGTGGGTTGGGGGATAAGGATCTTTTGGGCAAACAAGCTGTTAAGATTTCAGGATTATGGGAAAAGAGAGGTAGGGACTGTAGTGGAGATTTCTGGAGATGGTGCAGCCTCTGAGGGTGACATGGTCCAGGGTATAAACTTAAAAAAATGAAAGGCTGGAGTGGAGGCAGGCGTCCTGGGTGATAAAGTTTTTTTTTAAAAAAACAAATTCACTATTCCCCTGACACCCAGGGCAGTATCTGCTAAATTCTCTTAATCTGTTGGCTATATGGTGAAATGCAGCACTTTTAGAAAAGCCCCAACCAAAGTGTCCTGAAAACGCTTCTTGCTTTGGCTCCCCTGTCACCAACCACACCTCACAGAACGGTCGCCGCCCGGAGCCCCAGGCTCGCCTCGCTCCTCAACCGCGGCGCCAGCTGGAGCCCAAGCTGCGCCCGCTCAGCGGTTCATCCACCTCTGGCCTGTTGGTCGCTGAGGAGAATTTGCCTCAGAAAAGGTGAGCGGAGAAGCGCGCGGCCAGCCTCGCAAGTTCCAGGCCAGACGACCAGCATCGGAAGTGCGGGGACTCGGCGACAGCTCCAGGTCGTCCTCGGGCCCCTGCGTGAGGCGTCCGCAGCTCCGCCGCAGGGACAGGTGACCGGCTCTCCCGCGGCACCGCAGGAAACCGGGTCTCCCTCTGGCGCCGCGCACCAAGCCTCTCGCGCAAGGACTCCCCACGCCTTCCCGCGCCTGAAGCGACGGCGGAACTGGCGGCGGGAAGCCCCACCCCCACCACAGCAGGGGAGGGGCGTGGTCGCGGCAGGCCCCGCCCACGCCGCGCGCTCTGCCCCAAGGCAACCGGCACAACACAACAAGATGGCCGCCGCGCCGCTAGGCACCTGAAGGGAGTGACGGGCGCGCCTCCGCCCGGCCTCCTCCCGCGGGCCCGCTCGGCTTGGCTTCTCCGCGCTAAGTGCCAGGTCTGGTCGTAGGAGTTCCCCGGGATCCAGACAGAAAGGTGGGGGCCGGCGGCAAAGGCGGGAAGGCCGGGACCAGCTCGGGATGGATTCGGGGCGGGGGCGGGGGCGTGTGCTTGGGAACTGGGATTGGACGTGAAGGAGGGGAGGGCGTGGGGAGGAGGGTGAGGCGGGAGGTTTGGTTGAGGAGGGAGGGAAGGAGGGAGGTCTGGAGTGGGAGTGCGGGATGGTTGGGGATCCGGGCCCGGTGTGCGGCGCCGGCACCGAGAGGAGGAGGGGGCCGGGTGGCAGGGGTAACGGATGGTTTGGGCGTCCTGACGAGTGTCATGGTAACAGGCGAACTACAGTACATGGAAAAGTGGGATATTGGGAAGAAATGTGAAGAGGAGGGTTAAAAGAGGAGCGATTTTTGAAGTAAAAACTTGGTTCAAGTCTTGATGCTGTCACCTCATGTTTCCCTTAACCAGCTCTGCCTGTGACTTTGGGCGCCTTAATTTTCCTGAGCATATGTTTTTTTCTTTTGTAAAAAAATAAATAATAATTGCTAATGACTTTTGAGTGTACGGTACATGTCAGCTTCGGTTCTAAATTGTTCGCATGTATCAGCTCATTTAGAACTTAATTTGTATGAGGTTACCATCCCCATTTTAAAAATGATGAAACCAAGGATCAGAGAGGTTAAGTAATTGCCCCGATTTCACACAGTATGGAATTTGAATTTAGGCCGTTTGGTTCCAGAATCCACTCTTAATTCTTAATGATGCACTGCTTCTCGTACATGAGGTTAATCATTCTGATCTTATGCAGTATCTGCAAGGATTTAAATTCGGTATTGTCTTTAGAGTCCTTAGAACAGTCCTTTCTTCATTCATTCAACAACTACTTATTGTGCACCAAACAGTAGACAGAGTTCCTGCTTAAACTCTAGGAGAAGAAACAAGCAATAATATAGTAGTTCCACAATAATAATTTAATTCTAATTGTAAGGTGTTATAAAGGAGGCCACACCCTAGTGGGTTTGGCTCAGTGGACAGAGCATTGGCCTGAGGACTAAAGGCTCCCTGGTTCCACTCCTTCAGTCAGGGGCATGCACGTCCCTCAGTTGCAGGCTCAGTCCCCAGCATGCTGGAGGCAACCAATCGATATGTCTCTCTCACATCAATGTTCCTCTCTGTCTCTCACCCTCCCTTCACTCTCTCCAAAAAATTCAATGGAAAAATATCCTCGGGTGAGGATTAGAAAGAAAAAGAAAAGAGACCACTTTGTGCAGAGACCATGAATAACAGGAGGATAAAATCCTGCTATGCATCCTGAGTGTGTAGAAACCCTGTCTTCTCAGCTCTGTATCATTAGAGCCAACCACCGTTCATGGAGCAAAAAGTTGCTCAATAAAAGTGGATGACTGAATAAATAAATAAGGTGTGGGAAGCTTGGGTCTTAGAGTACCTGAGTAGAATGGAGAGAGATGTGAGAGGTTAATTCAGGATGTTAATAGGCTAGAGAAGGATGCAGAAGTCAGGGTGTTAAGAGGGAAAAGCAAGCAGCTAGATCATTATGTTGGGATGAAGAGGAATAGGTGGGGGTTGGTTTTCTTTGAGAAGAGAAATAATTAGAGTATTGGAATGGATTAGGGTGTCAGAATATTTGCTGGGATGAGCATTTTGGGAAATCAGGGTATATATGAGCAGTTTGGGAAATCAAAATGGATATAAAAGTGCTGAGGCAGAGTACTGAAAAGAGCTATAGAGAAATAATGGAGGAGAATAATACAATGTTAGAGAATTGGGACAGAATTCATGGGAAAATTTAGCAATCAGAATGGGATGAAGGATGGGAGGCAGAGACCATGTATAACAGGAAGATAAAATCCTGCTGTGCATCTTGACAATTGCCTTTGGAAAGAAGAGGAGCTGGATTAGAGACTTTGGAGAGGAATGGCAATGAGGACAAGAGAAAGTTAAAGAGTAAGCATATTTAAATGGGTCCAAAGGTATGGAATAAAGTAGAATTGTAGGGAAAATATTGAGATGCGATTAAAGGGCTAAGGGATGTAGTGGGGAGGGATATAGAGGTCAAGAAATGGGCATGGATATCCGCATTTTGGAGTGGACTGGGAAGAGATGGAAGGCTTGGGGATTATTGAGGTCTGCCTCATTTAGAGAAGATCAGAGAAGATGGAAATTAGGAATGTTAGGAAAGGCTGGATAGAGGTGGCAGCGTGCTCTCTACCAAGCTGTGAAGGATGGGATTGTTAGATCAAGGCAAGTATCTGAGTCTTAGAGTGACACGATGAGTAGTGTTTTGTTGCCTTGCCATATGATTCTGATTATCATAGCACTCCAGTGGCTTTCTCTTGCTCTGCAGACTACCTTGAGTGCCTTCAATATGTGTTTCCAGTTCTGAATTTTTGTTTGGTTTTATTTTCTTTTTGTCCTGCCTCTTCACACACTCTAGCCCTACCTCTCAGCTCTGTCTTCTCTGTTCTATTGCTTGGTCTTTGTTTATGTTATTGCAAACTACATCTTAGGGCCAAGCAACCTTCCCATCTCTCCCTTAAAATTGTAGTTCAAGATTTACTATCTCCAGGTGGTAGCCTCTGAAATAATGCTAGCCACGTGTGGGCGCGCACATACAGTGCGATTGAAACTTCGTGGCCCATGCACAGAAGTTGGTATTTTGTGGAAGAGCCACACTCAAGGGGCCAAAGAGCCACATGTGGCTCATGAGCCGCAGTTTGCCAACCACTGTCCTATATAATAAAAGCCTAATGTGCTAAGTGTCGGGTCAACTGGTCGACTATTCAACCAATCAAAGCATAATATGCTAATGATATGCTAAGGTTGCTTAACCGCTGGTTATGATGTGCACTGACCACCAGGGAACAGACCCTCCAACGGGTAGATTAGCTTGCTGTTGGGGTCTGGCCGATTGGGACTGGACAAGATGGGGCCGGACATGCCCTGGAGCCCTCCTGTGGTCCCTCTCTGGCCCTGATTGTGCACTGGTGGGGTTCCTTGGCCTGGCCTGCACCCTCTTGCAATCCGGGACCCCTCAGGGGAGGTTGAAAAGCTGGTTTCGGCCCAATATCGCAGGTCAGGCCGAGGGACCCCACTGGTGTATGAATTCGTGCATTGGGCCTCTAGTAAGACATAAGAAGTATTTACCACACTTGTGAAATCAGGACCAAAAACCTTGTGACTATGTCATAAATAGCAGTTATTGTGAATTGGGGGAAGCTTTTCTGACTTATCTGGAGGTTTAACATGAAAAAAATGAAAAAGAAAGTAAAGACACATAGGAGTTTGCAGTTTAAAGTGACTGGACTACTGGAAAAAGGCAGTTGGCCATATTTTACCATATAACTGAAATAATCATTCTTAAAAAACAAATATAGCAGGTTTTGCTTCCTTCAAACTAGATCATGAGTTCAGTGATGCTATGGTATTAAATTTTCTGGCTTATTCCCGTAGTCATTATTCACTATTTAGGGAACACTGGAGGAGGAACAGAATTGGAGGAAAATGAAGGAGAAATGGGGAAATGATAAATTCAATTTGGACATGTTGAATTTATGCCAGTGAGGTGTCAAGTAGGCAGTTAGGATTAGAAGTCTAGAACTCAGAGAAGAGTTAGATTGAAGATATAAATATCAATAGACAGGTGGCATCGGGAGCCATGGGTGTTGTATCAGCCATTCTCAACCTGTGGGTCATGACCATTGGAAAACATATATAGCATATCAGATATTTACATTATGATTCATAACAGTAGCAAAATTACAGTTACGAAGTAGCAATGAAAATAATTTTATGTTTGGGGGTCACCATAACATGAAGAACTGTATTAAAGGGTCACGGCATTAGGAAGGTTGAGAACCACTGTTTAGATTGTTTAAAATGTGATTAGAGAGAGACGAGAAGAGACTTGAGGACTCTGAGATTTAAAGATTGAATAGAGGAGTGTAAGCCAGCAAAGGAGGCTAAGGAGTGGCCAGGGAGGCAGGATGATACCTGGAGAGAGTAGTATCCCAGAAGCCAGAGGAAGAAACTGTTTTAGAAAGGAGAGTGTGCTCATCAGTATTAAGTACTGCTGGTTGCCAAATATTTTCAGCCTCCTACATTCTAGGACAGCGGTGGTCCTCAGACCACTGGTGGTCCATGAGGTTTGAAAGGTTGGCGACTGCTGCTCTAGCACACCTTGCAGGTAGAAGGGGCTTTGTGACTAGTTCTGGCCAATAAATTGAAAACAGAAATGAAAAGTAAATCTTCTGGCTGGAGCATGTGTCAATACAAGACCCTGTGGAGGTCTCCTTTCCTTTTGGCAAAGTGATCGGCAATGTTTGAAATAGTGTCTGCTCTTGCCAGCTTAGTGTGGATCCTAGCATCTGTAGCTTCTGAGTTTATAACTTCGTAGTTTTGAAAATTCTAGAAATATATTAATTTGTTTTGATAGCTCTGAAAAACTAACCTTGTTAAATATACTGAAAACTCTTACAGGTTTTGGTGGACACTTGGCTGCTTGCAATGAGGAAAGGTTCTCAACAAAAATTTCCTAAGTCAAAGATGCCATCATCATCTCTTATGCCCAATATGAGATCTAGGTCACTTTCACCTTTAGGTGGATCCAAGACTCCACCTTTTCATTCTGGAGGACAGTGGTGTGAGCAAGTTGGGATTGCAGATGAAAACACTATACAATTGAACTACCACGACCGTAGAGGTACCACATTCTAATCTAAGAATTTGACCACATACTCTT